GGGACGCAGGCGGCGGCCAGCCAGTCCCGGTGCAGCAGCCTCCCATCTGGGCCCGACCGCGTGCCTCCCGGGGGCGGGGCCCACGCGGGTGCAGGCCGGGGCCTGACTTTCCCAAGCCTCCCTCTGCAGGGGGCTGGTCTGAGCGGCGGGGAGCCCCCCGAGAAGGAGCGGCGGCGCCTCAAAGAGAGTTTTGAGAACTACCGCAGGTGGGCCCACGTGGGCGGCGCTGGGCTGGGGGGGCGGAGGGCGTGCGCGTGGGCGCTCCCTGTGGGCAGCAGCGCACATCTGCGCCCTCGGCTCTCCCGCAGGAAGCGGGCGCTTCGAAAGCTGCAGCACGGCACGAGACAGGGCGAGGTGGACTGGGAGAACACCACGGGCAGCGACAACACCGACACCGAGGGCTCCTAGCGGCCTTTGTGCAGGAGACCGGCGGCACGGACCAGCCGCTGACCGGCCAGGAGCGGGCGCCGCCCCGTGGGCCGCCGCCTCCTCGGTAGCCCGTTTCCACGTCGGCAGATGCACTGTACCACTCACCGGCGAGTTCCACCTTTATGTAACAACGCACACGCATGAGCAGTGTTAGAAACGCAGCTCCTAAATAAACGACCGCCGCGTCCGATGATGACCTTACTGGCGCGCACCTTCCAAGCCCTTGTCCGCCCGCGCGCACCGCCCGCCGCCAGGGGGCAGCAGAACCCGCTCCGGCAGCCCGCCACTGGGGTCGGGGGCGGGTCGAGGAAGGGCGCTTCCGCCGCTGCCCGCTTCCAAGATGGCGGCAGCGCAGCCTCAGGTCTGCCGGGCGAAGGCGAGGCGGGGCGGTTGGGACCGGCGGGAGTGATGTTGCGAGCGGCGCTGTGCCGCGTGTCGACGCTGGTGAGCCGTGCGCGGCCCCGGGGGCCGGGCCTGAGGCAGCTGTGGGGATGCGGAGTCCGCCGGGAGGCCGCGGGGAAAACACGGGCGCGGGACTGGGGCTGCCGGCGCTCGAGCTCCGAGCCTCGGCCCAGGGCGGCGCACTACCAGCTCGTCTACACCTGCAAGGTGGGCGCTCGCGCGTGCTGGAGCCGGAACTGGCGCTGAACCGCGCACTAGTCAGAAGCGGTGCAGGGGACATCTCGTGGAAGGGTGAAGCTGTTCCTTTAGGGGGCGGGCCTTCTGGGAGAGGGGCGGGGCCACGCCGCGAACGACGCCATCGGGGGCGGGACATTCATGGAGAGGGGTGGGGCTACCCCTTACGGGGCGGGGTCTACAGGAGTGGAGCTATTGTCGGGGGCGGGGCCTTCTGGGAAACAGCTGGAGCTATCCTAGGAATGGGTGCTTCTGGGGGCGGGGCGGGGCGGGGCCAACCGGAGAGGGATGCTGTCCCTTAGGGGGAGGGTCCTCCTTGGAGATGGGTGGAGCTATCCCTTAGTGGGCAGGACTTTCTGGGAGAGGGGTGGGACGGGCTCTTGGGGAGGGGTGGATTTATCCCTGGGGAGAGCAGGCCCTGAGGAAGAGGGCTGGTCCTGCCGTGGGGTGGAGCTAAACCTCGTGGGAGGGGTCTTTCTGGGCGGGGCGGGGCGAGACGGGGCGGGGCGGGGCGGGGCCAGACCTACGGCTTCACCTGTGCTGTCTCCGTGTGTCTCTACCAGGTCTGTGGGACGCGGTCCTCTAAGCAAATCTCCAAGCTGGCTTATCACCAGGGTGTGGTCATCGTGACCTGCCCTGGCTGCCAGAACCACCACATCATCGCAGACAACCTGGGCTGGTTCTCTGACTTGGACGGGAAGAGGTGAGGTCACCTGGGCAGGGTTGGGGGAACAGAGTCTGGCCCCTGACCTTCTCCCTGACAAGGGTTAAAGAGCCCCTTCTCCAGCCTTACCAGTAGCGGAGGAGCCATTGCCTTAGAGTACAGATAAACCACAAGTAACTTCTGCGTGAGTGCGCCCCGGGCACGGGGCGTGTTTTTATGTGCAAAGTCTGCTCTTGCCCAGTCCGCTTCAGCCCTGCTGCACTGCCTGGCCTCCCCCCACCGACAGCAGGCAGGAGCCACCTATCTGCCCGGCCCACAGGCCTCCCCTAGAGTGAAGGGTCAGACTCTGGGACTTGTCAACCAACGACTTCCTTTCCTCTTGGGTTCCTCCTTTCACCCTGCGAAGACATTCTGGTGCTCGTCACGCCCTTGCCCTCTGCTGGCCGACCACACCAGACTTGAGGGTTCCTGTGAGGTGGTGTGGGCGGGGCCCTGGGCCCGCAGGGTCGGCCTCACCCCTCCGTGGGAGACAGTGGTCAGGAGCCTGCGGCCAGTCGCTCTGGACAGTCCAGTTCAGCTTCTGAGCGAGCACTGTCCCCTGGGAATGGGACAGTAGTAGCAGCAGCTGCTGGGGGGCGTGGAGAAGCCAGCGGCCCTGGCTCCGACGCCACACCAGTGCGGGGACCCTGGTTCCTGGCCGGAGCTTGTCCTCGGGTGCCCTCCTGGGACCCAGGCACGGCGCGGGCGAGGGGCCTAGAGTGGGACGCCGCCTCCCTCTCTCTTCCAGGAACATCGAAGAGATCCTGGCGGCTAGAGGGGAGAAGGTGCACCGAGTGGCCGGCGACGGGGCCCTGGAGCTGGTTTTAGAGGCCACGGGGGCTCCCAAGTCTACCGCTGCTCCGGAAGCGGGTGAAGACCAGGACCCCACCCACCCTGACAAGACGGAGCCCGGCTGACCTGCCTCCGCCCTGGAGGGGGCGCCGCACCACTTGCCCCTGCCCGTTTCCCTCAATAAACAGACGTCACTTGCCGACGACGGGCCTCGGGCCCTCCTGCTGTCCCAGCTCTGGAGTCGGAAGGGCTCATGGGACCCCCACCCAGATGACCTGCCCTTGTGCTTGCCTGATGCGGACCATGGCCGATGGGAAGGGCTGGACGTGGGGTCAGACGCCCCCTGGGGGGTCACTCTGCCCCTGTGAGCCTCGGCCTTCCGGTCTGCCTTGTTTGACTGTGGCACGCTCGTAGTGCCAGCCTGCCGGGTACGTGGACGGGAAAAGCAGACAGGACAGGCACGGAGTGCCTCCATTGTGCCCACAGATCTCTGGAGAGAGAGGCCTGGGAGGGGCGACCAGCAGGCCACGGTTCTTCCCGGGGAGCAGGGCCAGCACCCACTGCCTGTCCCGTCCATCTGGCCGGACACAGAGAGGCCCCACAGATACCCCCTCCGTGCCACCTGCCATGCCCTGGACACACCGGGCTGCAGGGTGGGCCGGCCGGCTGTGGTGACGAGGGCGGTGGGAGCGGGGCCGCCGTATGACAGGCGGGGGCCCTGAGCACCCCACGTGACCCCCCCCCCCAGCCCGGGGCATGCGATTCATCTCGCGACCTTGTTTGACTGCCTTCTCAGGATGTTCCTGTGTTTATGGAAGTGTGTTTATTTCCAGAAGTGATCTGGGCCGTGTGACCTTAAACGTGACTCACCAGCCTGTCTCTGAGATCCCGGCGGGCTCCGAGCTCCTGATTGCCGCCTCGCCTCGTGCCGGTGCTGTTCTCCGGGGCGTGGGCAGCTCGCGCTCCGCCCGGATTACCCCCTGTCCTCCCCCTGGCAAACAGCCTGCTATTATTCCCTCCCGGGGCCTCCTGGGCGGCTTCCACAGCCGTCTCCCTGCGGCCGCTGCAGCCCCCGCCTGCACCTCCACAGACGCGCTGGGGCTGTGCAGGGACCGGCTTTGGAACGCAGGAGTTGGGGGGGCTGGGCCTCGACCTGGCTGCCTCACTGCCCTTGGAGTTGGTGGGGGGTGGTCCGGGGAACTGGCTGAACCCACCCAGGGCCCTCCCTGCATGGACAGGGACACAGGCCCGCAGTTTGGATGTGTGTTGGCCATGTCTTTCTTTTTGTGTCCTGATGCTTGAGCATCTGGGCCCGACGGCACCCCACTCCGCAGGGCTGTGACAGACACCCACAAGCGCACCAGGGCAGGTACCCTTCTCTGGAGCCGCTGGCGTTCCTTGTGCCAGCCTGTCCCGGGCCAGCCAGGCTCCTGTGCATGATTCCCTGCCCGCCTCCCCACCTACCCGCAGCCCCCCCGGCCCTGTGGCCTGGTGTCCTCTGCTCTTGGGACCCGTGACAGTGTCATCATCTCTTCAGTGGTGTCACCTCCTGATCTGCCAGCCTCACCACACTGGAGTGACAACAGACCCTGCCTTGTCAAGGTGGCCACCTCCAGGCCTCTGCTGGCCTCCATCCGGGTCCCAGAGCCCCTCGGGGCCTTCTCTGGGTTCTGCCCCCCAACCCCCAGTTATCCTTCCTCCCTCAGCTCTCGTCAGGACCCTCTGCAGAGGGTCAACCCAGGGAGTCATATGTCTGGGGACATTCAGCAGGGAGCGTCACGTTGGATGGTCAGCTTCCTGCAGGGCTCCTCGGGGCCTTCCAAGTGCAGACCCGGACAATGCCACAAGAGGGGGTGCCCGGCACCCCTGCCTGGGGTGCTGGTGCTGGGGCTCCGGGGCATTGAGAACCATCGGTGGTGGGTTCTGGTGAAAGCACCCCAGGGCCCCTTTACCTCAGGAGGTGAGGTGACACCACATAGGCCCCTCCCCGGTGCCACCCTCCCCTCTCTGGGGCTCTCGGCCCCCCAGAGTCATGGGTGTGTGTGCAGGGAGCAGAGGGGCTCCTGGCCCAGCAGGTCACAGGGAGAGGGGTGAGCAGGGCCCCCCCCACCGCACCCAGACCCCATCAGGGACAGTGCCACACAGGGTGTGTGTGTTTGCAGGGCATCGCCCCCAGCTGCCCCCTCAGCTGCCCCCTCACTGGCTGTCCCATGAGGGTCACCAGCCCGCGGGGTCAGGGGGACGTGATATCACAGACCCACCGAACCTCCCTTGTCCTGGTGGCCCTCGGGTCTTGGTGCAGACGGCACTGGAAGGGCAAGCGTGTCCTAGTGTGTGTCGTTAAGACAGTGAGTGACAGCCGCTCCCAGGGCACACACAGGCCGCTGAGTGGCGGGGGCCTGGAGCAGGGCACCCCGGCCTAACCCTGAAACCACAGCACTCACTTGGCAGACTTTATTTTTTCCAGAAAAACAAATGTACCTCTTGGGTCGGAAGGACCCACGCACGACGTGGCAAACACGCGAGGGCAATAAATACACATGTACATTCAAGTACTCGGGCGGCCGAGCGGGAGCCTGTGCCCTGCGGCCGGACCCCACACCTGCCCGCCCCGCCCTCGGGGGCCCCTCACCCAGGGCTGCAGGCTGTGTGCTCCGAGCGGGTCCGGCCAGCTGCCGCCCACAGGAGGAGGCGGTGCCCTGGCGGCTGTGGAGCTGAGGCTCGGCCTGGGCTGTGGACAAGGGGGGGCGCTGTGGGTGGCCAGGAGCTGCTGGCCACTGTCCCCAGGCGGCCTGTCTGCTGCCCAGTCCTGCAGCCGACCTGGATGTTCAGGGACCACATCCACCCCACGTATGGGAGAAGCAGGGATGTCACAGCCCTAGCTGGTGGCAGGGAGAGCTGGGTCCTCTCTAGGGCGCCCAGGGTGGAGCCGAGCCAGCCGGCCCTGCCGACCCCACACTGCCCACGGCTGCCATGTGGACCCCTCGTGCCATCACCGTCCTGGCAGGGGCGGCCCTCCCAGAACCAGGTCCCGTTGTTGCCGGACCTCGGAGCTTGGAGCTGAGGAATGTCCTGCTTTCCCCCTCCCCCTCGGGGCCCCTGCCTGCTCAGGACTGAGGGGCCGGGGGCCCTGGGAGCCTGCCTCTGCTGCAGGCAGTCTGGGGTGCCTTCCTGTTCCCCCTCCTCTGGTCTGGGTAGGAGGGAAGGGGGGAGGGAGGGGCCCTCTGGGGGAGGCGAGGGGCCGGGCCCGGAGTGAGCATGTCAGCGCTGAGCCTTCCCGGCAACAGCCGTGGGAGAACGGAGACCTGTGTCGCCGGTGGCCCCAGGAAGTCTGCGGAGAGCCTCGGGGGTGTGGTGGGGCAACAGGGCTTTCACATTTGGCCAGGCAGGACCGGGCGGCGGGGGCGGGCGCAAGGGGCAGGAAGTCTCGACAGCACCTCGGTCAGGGCCGCCAGGCTGAAGGCCCGGGGTGGCGGCGGAGGAGGGGAGGGGGGGCACAGGCAGGGGGGAGGGCCGGGCCGGGCCGGGCAGGCCTGCAGGGAGCTGTGTACCATGTCACGTGGGGCCGGCCCAGGACAGAGTGCCTTTCCCCAAACGCCAGCCCCGGCCCAGCCCGCCACCCCGGGGAGGGGGACGCCGTCAGGGGCGGCGTGCCCAGCGTCCAGCTCAGTGGGAAGGGCGGGGGGGCTCAGAGCCTGCCCTCGGCCACGGCCTTGGCCGTGGGCGTCCCGGACGATTCCAGCCGCTCCCCCGGGCACCCAGGAGTGGGGCGGGGCGGGCTCGGCGGGGGGCGCGAGGCCTTAGCCGGTGCCGGGCTGGCACTGCGGCCTCTGCTCGGGCGGCCCGCCCGCCTCCTGCTCGGGGCTGCCGGCGAGGTCCACCCGCTGCTCATCCATCCGCTTGGCCTGCACCCTCTGGATGAGGCTGAAGAAGTCCTCGTCCGGCATGGTGGGGCCGCGGGGCAGCCCGTCGGGTGGCGGGCAGCGCTGGTCATCGATCCTGGAGGACTGGCAGACACAGACGCATGGGTCGGCACCAGCCCGGCGCCGGGCCCCTCGCCGGGTCACAGGGGGGTCAGCTCGGGGGGCCCCGACCCCAGGAGCAGCCCACCTAGAAGGGTGGGTCGGACAACAGTGGCTGCGCGTGGGACGCCCCATCGGGGAGACGGAGCTGCTGGGGAGGCTCCGTCCGAGACCACCCTGACCGCAGCGAGGTCACGAGCCCTTGGGATGGGGCGGGGGGCTGCAGCCGCCAGAGGCCAAGGTCCTGGGAGCCCCCCGGGGCCCCCTGTGGGGCCGGGGCCGGCGCTGGTGGGCTGCAGGGGCCGAGGAGATGTGTGGGCTTCTCCGCAGGGTCTGGAGCAGACGGGCCAGCAGCCTGCGTGCATGCGGACGGGGGGCTTGGGGGCTCTTGGCCGGGGCCGGTTTGGGGGCTCCTCGGGCCCACCGAGGGCCGCGCCTTCCTGTCCTCTGTGGGGATGGACGGCAGGTCTGCATGCTGCCCGGCTTCCACACAGCAGGCCTGCTGCACGCCCCCCCGCCCCCCCCGCCTGCTGGCCCAGGCCCCCCCTTCCCCCTCCCCACACACACACCAGGGCCGCAGGCCCACCTGGCACTTGATGAGCATGTTGAAGAACTCGTCCCCGGGCTCCTGGGGGTCCCCATCGCCGCGCAGGTGGCCCAGGTTGTTGCGGGTGACGCGCAGCCCGGGGAGGCCGCCCACGCTGGCCCGCTGGTCGTCCAGCCGCCGGCTCTGGGAGCTGGCAATGAGGTCGAAGAGCTCCTCCGTCTGGGGGGAGGCCGTCAGCGGGGGCCGGGCTGTGGGGGCAGCGGGTCAGCTGGGGCTCCCCTCGGGGCGGGGGGCCGGCCGGGCTGTCACAGGGGCCCTCCGAGGGTCCCGCCCCCGCCTCTGGGGGCTCCCGGGAGGTGGTGGAGCGCCTCCCCTCCCTCCACAGCCCCAGACAGTGACGCTCCCGACACCCTGCGTTCCGGTGGGCGGGCGGAGGGTGACAGGCTCCCCAGGGTGCAGCTTCGGCGAGGCAGGGGCGGGAGCCCCCGGTGACAAGGGGCACTTTGCAGCGGGTGTGCACCGCCCCCCGGGAGCTCCGGGGCGCTGCAGCGGATGGGGGCGTGGAGCCAGCCCCGCACTCCTCAAGGTCAAGGTCAGGGGCCCCGGGGGACTCACCAACCCTCTCCTCCAGGGTGGGGGAGGCCGTGGCTTCAGCGGCCCCAGGCTGGCCCTCCTCCAGCGGACAGCGCTGGTCGTCCATGCGGCTGCGCTGGAACTTGCTTAGCAGGTCGAAGAAGCACTCCTCGTCAGAGGAGGGGGCCCGGGGGACGCTCTGGGGGGAGGGGGCAGTCAGCACCGGCCACGGAGGTGGCCCTACTCCAGTCCCCAGCCCCTCACAGACCCCCGAACACCACTGAGAGGGCTGCTTGACCTGGGCCAAGGTCAGGAGCCTCGTTGTCATCTGCCGGGGGCCCCCCAAGGGCCCCTCTGCAGCTGGCCCCTCCCCCTCCTCGCAGCGGTGACCCTGCCCCTCCCCTGGGCCACCCACCCCCACCCCAGGTCAGCGGTCACCACCTCCTGTCCCATCGCAAGCAGGGGTGTGGGCAACATGTTTATAAGGTCCTGGATCAGGGACAGGCCCAGAGGACAGCGGCTGTGGGGGGGCCAGGACCCGAGGGAGCAAGTGCCAATGTGGACACGGCTGAGGGCGGTGGGTTTGCGGCCGGACCGCCCGGGCCCTGGGAGACACCGTCAGTACAGCCCGGGCGCCGGGGAGGGCTGGACCTAGGGGGACCCAGCTGGGCCCAGGTGCGTCCCACTGGGGTGAGGGTACCCGGGCAGGGCGGCCCACGGAGGCCACAGCTCTGGGGGGGAGGGGGAGGGCGAGGGGGGAGACAGGAGGCCAGGTCACTGGGCCTGGCTTAGTCCCAACCAGCAGGGGGGCCTTGGGCAAGCCCACCCCCCCAGGGCCCAGTGCACACACCCGCACAGGGCCCACCCCCACAGAGCCCCGAGTGGTGGGGGGGGACAGCTGGTGCGAGGGCTCCTGGGGAAGGACTGGCCCGGGTGGCCTGGGCGCCCCCTGGGGCTGCCTGGCGCTCCCCCGCACCAGCCTCCCGCAGGTCACAGGCTCCGCTCCCAGGCTGTTTGGTGGCCGGGAGGACGACGGCTCAGCCAGGGGTGGTGAGCACAGCGCCACCCCACTCGGGGTCCCCGAGGTGGGCTGCGGGCCAGGTGAAGGGAGCCAGGACCCTCCCAAGACAGCTGTGACCCCGACCCTCCCCCAGTCCCCCTGGGGCTGGAGCTCAAGGGACAGCCGCAAAGGACAGCGGGCTTTGTCCACGTCCAGCCTGAGGCCTGGGCCCGGCAGCCCCCACCCTGGAGCCCGGGGCCACCCAGGAGGGGCTGCTGCTTCCCTTGGGGACCCGGGACCAGAGGGTCCGGACAGTTCGGAGGCCCCACACCCTCACTCAGGGCAGCCCCCGGGTCTTCAGGATGGGACCCGGGGGCTACCCCCGTGCTCCGACCTCTCCTTTGCCCCAAAGCCCGTCTGGCCCTGAGGGTCTCCAAGCCCCTCCTCAGGTCTCACTCCGGTCCCCCTGCTAGAATTCTGTCCTGTTTCTTGACCCCTCCGCTGCCCCGGCCCACCCTCCCCTGGCCCGCTGAGCCAGCCCCTCCGAGCAGGTGCCATCCTGGTCCCCCAGCTGCCCAGAACCCGGGGGAGGGGCGAAGGCGGCGGGGCGGCCGCTGGGGCGGAGCAGGACTCGCTCTGGGCTGACTGCTGGTCCCTGGCCCCGGTCCCTGGGCTGTCTGCCCACCCGCCGCGCAGCCCCCCTGGGGGAGCCTGCTGTCTGAGCCCAGCTTCTCACAGGCCCCGGCCCCCACCTGTCCGGCCCCAACTCACGCCGGGGCCGCAGCTCGCTGATCCACCCAGCACCGGTCGGGGTGTTCGGCCACGCGGAGCCCGGGCAGGACGCCAGGGTGCCCACGCCACCACCCTGCCCGTAGCACCCAGCACTGCCTCGCCGATGAGCCCCCCGGGGCCCTGCTGGCTGGATGCTTAAATAGGCCCCGGGGGAGGAGGGCCCCTCCCCGTCCCCGCCCGCCGGCACGGAGGCTCCATCACTCAAGCACGCAGGCACACGGGCGTGCTCGTAAACAGAACACCGGAAGACAGATTTCCCTGAGCGCCGAGCGCTCTGGCTCTCGGCCGGTGGCGGTCACACCTGAAGGGGGAGGGGGGTGGGGACCAGGGGGAGAGCACCCCCCCACTCGGACCCGGCCTCTTTCTCGAGCTGAGCCGGCCCGGGGAGAGCTGGCCCTTTGGTCGGCCGGTGCCTGCGCCGGAGCTGCGGTGGCCCCGTGGGAGGCTGGGCGGGCAGGGCCCTCCCCATTCTGGGACTCGGTCCCCCTCGGCACGGCCACCTCCCTGCACAGCAGGCCCCCGGCCTCTGCCAGCCCTGGGCCCGGGCCCCTTGGCCCCAGGGCCCTCCCTGGCCTCAGGCTGCCCGCCCTCGCGTCCCTCCCCTGCTCTGCGACCTGTGTGCAGCCCGGGTCTCCAGGGAAGAGCCCTCTCCCTGCTCACAGCTCGGCCGGCCGTGGGGCCGACCAGCAGGGCTGATGACCACAGGAAGCGTCTGGGGGAGGGGCTGTGAGCCCTGCAGGAGAGGTGAGCTCAGAGCCCCGGGAACGGAGGGGCCCCAGCCAGCGCCCGGACCCAGCCCTCCCAGGGCGCCTTCTGTGGGGGGCGCCGGGTCAGGGGTCTGGTGGGCGGGGCGCTCAGCCCGCCGTGGCTCCCCAGCGCCCCAGCGTGGGGGGCTGTCCCTGGCCCCGGCCGGCCCAGCCCTGCCCCCCACGGCCTGTCCTGAGGCAGCGCTGGAGGCCACTCAGACCGCACGGCCCGCCCTGGCCTGAGGGGAGGCCCTGCCCCAGCCGGCCACAGCCAGCACTGCCCCACCCACCGGGGCGCCAGCGCCCCTCCCCGGTGCAGGGATCCCCTCCTCGTCTCCCTCCACCCATCCGGCAGCTGGGCAGCCCTGGGGTTGCCTGGGGTTGCCTGGGGTCGGCACACACACCCGCGCCCTTGGGCTGTGGTGGTGGGGGGTGGGGGGCAGGAAGCAGTCACCGGGGTGGAAGAATCCCCCGCCACAGGCTGAGAAGGCGCTGACCGAGCCCTCGGAGGGGCCTGGACCAGGTGTTCTAGGGGGTCCAGGCTGACCTCTGAACCCTGACCCATTCCCGAGAGCCTGGTCGGGCTCCCGGGAACAGCAGGACACCTGCCAGGCCGCGAGAGGCCGGGCCCTGTCCCTCCGTCCCCCACCGGTCCGTCTCCCTGGGTGCCGCCCCGTGTTCAGGAAGCAGTGCTGGCCGGCCCTGCCTCCCCCAGCCGCCCCCAGACCCTGTCCCTGCACTGCCAGCCCGCCCGGTGCCCACCAGGCCCCGGGGACAGCCAGGGCCATGACGCCCAGCCTCGGAACAGCCCCCACGTCGGCCCCACCGGGCTCCCGGCTGGAGCCCACAGAGAAGGCACCTACCGTGCGAGGGACCTGCACCCGGACGTCCGCACTGTCCAGGGGGGAGTGGCCGCCCTCCCGGGGCCTCCTCTCAGCGGCGTCGGGACCTTCCTGGTACTTCCTGCTCCTCATGGGGAGGGGGAGCAGGTCCCTGCCGGGCCCCCGCCAGTCCCCGGAGTGGTGGCTGTCCCCATTCTGCTCCTGGGGAGAAGGCCAGGCATGGGTGGGCTCACCGGCAATCCCAGGACCCCGGGGGAGGGGTGCCGGGTGGATGTGGTCACCCCCACTTCACAGACACATGGTGACGCTCTGGCCCAAGGGGCGGGAGGAGGAGAGGCCCAGCGAGGGCCTGGCGTGGGGGGCAGGCAGTGAGAGGCACAGCGGGGCCCCGGAGGAGCTAGGGCAGGGCGTCGGCCCCCTCCGATGTCGCCCACTAAGCAACACGCGACTGTGGGTGACCCCGAGCCTTGTCTCCCAGCAGCCCCCCGTGAAGGTCTGTAACCAAGGCCAGGCGACACTGCGGTCGGTGACCAGAGGCTCCGAGGTCGGGCCGCTTCCCCAGGGCCACACCGCACCACCTGGCAGGTATGCAGCGGGTCCAGGGCCCCACCGGCCCAGCCCCCCAATCCGTCTGGGGCGTGTGCAGCGCAGGCGGCCTCACCGGTAACAGCTTTGCTTCCTCGTGGGAGGGAGCTGGCCAGGACCCTGGGGACGTGGCTGGGCAGGGGCAGAGGGGCCCACAGGGTGTAAGGACCGTGGCGTGTCCCCCAGGGAGACAGCAGGCAGGGCCCTGAGGGCAGTGGGAGGGAGCAGGCGCTGCTACTCCCGGGCCTCCTGGGGACCCACGGGGGCAGATGGCCCATCTGTCCCCCACGGCAGGGACATGACGTGGGCAGCAGGGGTGGCAGCTCAGCAAACACTGCAGGGGCCTCATTAGCCCGCGGCCCGTGCTCCGCCGACGCCCTCGTGTCCCCGGCCAAACGCCCGCACCCCGCTCACCCGCTCTGGGGGGAGCCTCAGCAGGTCCCAGGTCTCCGCGGTCAGCCTCTGCGTCCTCTTGGGCCGGGCCCCTGGAAGGGAGGGGCTCGGTCAGCCGCCGCCGACCCCCGGCCCCGAGGCAGCTGGCACGGCCACGGGGAGCCAGGCCCAGGACCCTGCGCCCCACAGCCCGGGGGCCGACGAGCCCACACTCCCTGCCCCGCGTGGAGGGAGGCCGATGTGCCCCCACCCCGTGCACCTGCAGGGCCTGGGCAGAGCCTGGCTGCGGTCCAGTTCTCGAGTTCTGGGCCCAGCTCTCCTCCCACCTACTTGGGCCAGCCCAGAGTCACTCAGGGCTCCGGTCGGGACACTCGGCGGCACCGTGGGCGCCAAGCCAGAGACCACCCCCCTGTGTGGCTGGGCCCACGTGCCACCACCCTTTCCCTGTCCTGGCCCCCAGGTTCTGAGAAAGCCCCCCCGTCCCATTGCCCTCTGCGGGCTGGGGCAAGGAGTGCCTGTGAAGGAGGGCTGTGCCCCTTGGGGGCTGCTGTCCTGGGAGCCAGGGGGTGGGGGGGTGGGCAGCTGCAGCGGCCTCATGGGATGCAGCCGGCCAGCTCCTGTGGGTCTGACTCAGCTGTGGGCTGCCCTTCCCCGCCACCCCGACTGCCCCAGAGCAGGGCCCTGCCCCAGCGCGGAAGCCTGACCCTGGCTCGTGGGGCTGAAGCACGTGGGCAGAGAGGGGGTCAGGGCCCTGCCCCTCGCAGCCTGTTAGGAGGACGCGACCCCTCTTGCCCGAGCCCCACAGCGCTGGGCGGCACGGCCCGTCCCTCCGCCGTGCGCCACGCAGGGCGGCGGGGCGTCTCGGTGCCACGGCCGAGGGGCCAGGGCGTAGCCCCACGCAGGCCTCTCCTCACCGCAGCGCCCACCAGGCCTGGCTGGGCCTCTCTCTGCTGCCCCCGACCCACCTTGTGTGCTCGGGGCCCACAGGGCCGCCCCTGCCCCGCCCAGTCCTCCCGGTCCCCGGCCTCGGCAGAGGCTGGGCGGCCCCTGGCGTGCAGCGTCCGGCCCCAGGGCGGGTCCCCTCACGGCCAGGGCAGGCGGCAGGCCCTCCGGCCAGGCTAAATGCACCCTCTGTCTGCGGAGAGCCCCGGTCCCCCTCGGCTGCGGCCTCCAGCGCCCGCGCCCTCGGCTGACTGGGGGCATTCAGCGCGGGTACCGCAGGCTGGCTTCCCGCCCCTCCCGCCGAGAGGGCGAGGTCCGGAAAGTTCCCTCAGCACCGCCCCACCCAGCCCACGGCCGACGAGCGCCCTGGGGAGCATCCGCCCCCACCAGACACCCCGATGTCCGGTCCCAGCCGGACCCCTCCCCGCCTCCCCGGGGCCCATCTGCCGGGCTCTGCCCCAAAGTCCCTCCTCCCCGCAGGGCCAGAGAGGCCCCTGGGGTACGGGCAGACCCCACCCCCCCACCGCCGCTCGGGGCTGTGCGGGGGCCCACAAGGCCCTCCCTGAGCTGGCCCTGCCCCCCGCCACCCCTTCCCTACTTTCACCAGACCTCCTCCAGACCCAGCCCCTGGATCCGGCCAGCCTGCTGGCCCCTGACTTGGGCCTCCTCCCCTCTGTCCCCAACTAAAGCTCACGGCCTGCTCCCTCCCCTCCCTCTAGTCCTGTCTCGGAGGTCCCTGCTGGGGGCTGGATGTCTGCGTCACACACGGACGCCCAAACCCCAGGGCGACGGCGTTAGAGGTGGGGCCTTGACGGGTCAGGGCTGGCCGAGGGCGCGGGACGGGGCCTGCTGCTGGGACCCGCGCCCTTCTGAGACGGGGCCGGAGAGCTCGCTCGCTGTCCTCTCCCACGCCCCGTGCGCCGCGCCCGCGAGCCAAGCCCGGAGGCCAGCCCGCCCCCAACCCCCAGCCTGCGCGGGTAAAGCTGCCCTTGCAGCCATCTGGCCTGCGGTGTCTGTCCCGCAGCCCGAGCCGACCGAGACGGTGGCCTCCGTGAAGCCCACTCCACCGCTCCCCACCGACCCCCCTCCCCTCCCCCGTCTCTCTCCTCCAAAGCCCTGGGGCCCCGGGCTCCACCACCAGCTCTGCCTGTCGGGCCGCTGGCGTGCCCCCAGCGTGGCCCCCGGAGCCCTGGGGGTTGTCGGCACTTGGCCAGGACGTGGTCGGGCGGCTGGTGTCTGCCGAGCGCCATCCCTCCGGCCACCCTCCCGAGACCGCGGACCCTGGGGCTCAGGGAGGGCATCCACCTGGCCAAGGTCACAGAGCCCGGAGGGGCAGGTGTTACACAGAGTCAGGCTCACCCCCAAAGGCTGAGTGAGGGCGAAGGCTGGAGAAGGGACAGACGCAAGGATGCGGATGGACCCCCGCTGCCGCACCACCCTGGCTGGGCACCAGGCTGCCGAGCGCACAGGTGGGCCCTGGGGTGTCCGAACCTTTGGCCTCCTCAGGGGTAAGAGCCGTGCCCTCGTCCCTGCCAGGCGCTGTTCCCAGGACGGCCGACGGGCCCGCCTCCCAGACAGGGACACGGAGGCGCAGCTGGGTCCAGGCACTGAGCTGGCCAGGACGGGCAAAGCCAGGGCCGGAGCCTACAGCACAGCCTGCCCTGCGGACGTTACTCCATGCACACCCCAGCCCTTCAGTGGGGCCGACCACAGTGTCCAGGGGACCAGAGGACCAGAGGATGAGGGGGTCCTCTGCTCGGGGACCAGAGGACGAGGGGGTCCAGGGCAGTGCACGCCCTGTGGGCCAGAGGACAGCCTCAGGGCCCCCGGGGACAGGCAGGGTGACGGCTGACAGAGGGCTCTGGGCCAGCTCCTTCTGCTTACTGAGCAGCCATGCCGGGGGGTGTCGCTGGACCCCCACCCGCCAGGCACGCCCGCTTCGAAGGGCAGGGGTGGGGCCCCCAGGACACCTGGGACTGACCCAGGCCCAGACAGCAGTGGCAGGGAGGGGCCCCACCCTCCCGGACTCACTCAGGGGGCCTCTTTGCTGGGCTGGGGCCCCAGAGGGCCGGGAGGTCACCTGAATAGCAGCCAGCTCCGGGTCCTTCGGCTGCAGGAAGGACCCTCGTCTGTGTCAAGACCGGGAAGAAAGCCGGGGCCTGGTCCCCAGCTGGCCAGGCGCCGCCACGCCCACCAGAGGCCACGCCCACTTCGGGCCACGCCCACCCCGCCTGCGGCTCCCTCCCTCCTGGATTCTTCCGCATCCTCCTGGCTCCGGCCCAGGGCTTCCTTCCTCCCGAGAGGGAGTCGACCCTCCACAAGGATGGGCTCGAGCCCCTCCCAGGGGCTCCCCTCCCCCATCCCCCCACCCCCAAAACCGACAGGCTCTGGATATGCAGCTGTCCCGTCCCCTCACCACCGAGGGACAGTTTCTAGAAGACAAGCTCTTGGCTTCTGGGAACTGGGCCAGTCCGCCCGCGGCCCCCCCACCCCCCTCGGTGCGCACCGAGTGACCGGGGGAGGGGATGACGCCGCCCCTGCAGGAGGCGCTCCCCGTGCCAGCCTCACCTGAGTGGGGGTCTCCTCCAGGGCCGCCTGGACTCGGGGCGCCTGCCTGCCTCCAGCTGCCGCATCCCCGAGCCGGAGCTCCCGGGGCTGCCGGCCCCCAGACCCGCCTCCTCCGGCGCGGGCAGACTGCCCGGCCGCCGCCCTCCCAGGAGGATGGCCTGTCCCCAGCTCCTGCTGGGGAGGTTGGCTTCTGGGGGCCCCGGCCGGGGAGGGTCCGGGCTCCGGCACAGCAGAGGAGCCGCCGTGCGGAGGACAGAGGCTCCCTTGTTCCTGCACAGCCCGGCCGCTCACCCCCCTCGACCTCCCTTTCCTCTCTCCTCGGGAGAACAGATGGGGGCTGGGCCGCGCCTCCCCGGGAGCCTTTCCCGGCGACTGCCCAGCCATGTCCCCCGTCCCCCGTCCCCGGGGCTCCCGGAGGGCGCCCCCTGAGAGCCCGGGGTTCTGCGCAGCGCGGCCCACTCTCCGAGAACCCTGCCCTGCTGCTCCCCGGGGGGCTGCGTCCCACCCCACCCCTTCAACCACGAGGCTGGGGCTAGACTCCCCGGACACTCAGGAGCCGTGTGGGTGGGGAGGGCGCAGCTACCTCCCTGCCCCGAACCTGCCCCGCACCCACCCGCAGCCCAGAGGAACCACCTTGGGGTGTCACCCCGGCCCCAGCCCAACTCGATTAATCGGTTTGCTCTGCAGGGAACACGCTGTCCTTGCACGCACATCGCCGGCCTGTGCGGGGTGACCGGCAGCCCGTGAGTGGTAAGGTCATAAAGTGACGTGGGCCTGAGCAGTGCCCGATACACCACCCCCCGGGGCCCCTCTGACTCACTCGGGGTGACTCACCCGGGGCCCCCCTCCTCCCAGCAGCCCCCACTCACTCTGTCCCCCAGCCCCAGCCCCAGCCTGGAGGGGCCCTCAGCCCCAGTGGGGGTGCAGCAGTGAGGGCCCTGTCCTCCTCTTCCGGTCTACATGGTGGTGGCACGGGGCTGTCAACCTGGGGGCCCGGGGTGGCCCCAGGCCCTTGCTGCCCCAGAGACTCTGAAGCTGGGGCCTGAATGCCGCCGTGTGGGCCACCCTTCCTCCCACGCCGTCCCCACCCCCGGAGCGCCCAATTCCAACCCACCCCTGCGATCTCCCTGACCCCTGACCTGCCCCAGGGCACAGGAGAGATAGGGCCCGCCATCAGTGCCCCGGCACCCGGACAGCCTGCCGCGCCCTCGCCCCCACCGCGAGCGCAGGAGCAGGGTGCGTAAGGACTCCACGGGTGACAGGCACCCCCGGCACAGAGGCTCCGCACCTCCTGGGGGCCCGGCTCCTCCGGGGGGCCCTGTCAGAAATTCTCCTGTTTGGGGCCCCGTGGAACCTGCACCCACAGGCCCCAGCACGAGCCGGCGCCCTCCTACCCCGGGCGGCTCTCCCGGCACATGCCCACCCCGAGGCCCAGCATCCCCACCTCGCTCTGAGCCCCCGGGGAACCGGCTCCCTGCCCCCAGCCCGGGAACTCACCCTGGGCCTCGTAGCCGGCCAGGTCTGGCTTCTCGGCGGCCGCCGGGCTGGTCAGCCGGCCCAGCACCAGCTGCAGCTGCGCCACGTTCATGCGGGCCGTGAGCTCCCCGTTCCGGTCCCCGATCTGCGGCCGGGCAGGGGTGGGTCAGCGGGCGGGCGGGCGGGCTGGGAGGCCCTCTGAGGGGCTGGCTCCCGGGGAACTGGGCCTCACCGCGCCCAGAGGTGAGGCTGGGGGTCTGTCTCTGGGTGGGAGTAGCCTCACACACCCGGACCACCCCTGCGCCCCCCCGGAAGGCTCGGGGCCTCAAGCAGCCAGGCCCCGGGCAGAGCGGGGCCCTCCCTCCTGGGCACCTTCCCACTCTGGTCAAGCGGCCACCTCTCTGGGGTCCACCCCTCAGGTGCCTGCCAGGCTCCCAGCTCCTCCCCACCCCAGCACCCCCCTCTGCCAACAGCTCCTGGCTCGGAGCAGAGGCCCAGGGCCCCAGCCCTCGGAGCAGGGGTGGTGTGCACCGCCCGGGAGCAGGCCCGAGGACCAGCAGGCCGGCGGGACTTGGACACGGAGCCCCAGGGGGCCTGCCGCACCCCTGCCCGTGCTCAGACAGACAAGGGGCTGCCCCGCCGACCCCCAGAGCGGGGCTTGTCCAGGCCTGGCCCTCCCCGACCTGGGCTTTCCTGCCCCTCCCACCTCCACCTGGGCACCTGTGGCCCCCACCCACCCATGGACGCAGGGCTGTGGTGGGATCCGGGGGGCACTGGGGGTGTGCTGGGGGGAGGTGACGTGGCCCTGCTGCGGGTGCTGCTTCTTGGGGGTAGGGAGGGTGGGTCAAGGATCAGGAAGGGGGGAGGTCAGGAAAGGTCAGGCCAGGAGCCGGGGACCCAGACTTCACCGCGCAGCCCCACAGTTCCCGACCAGGGGCTGCCCTGGCCGCAGCCGGAGGGCTCTGGGAGGACAGGCCCTCGGAAACCCTGCCCACCTTCCCCAGGAAGGCGTCTGGAGGACGCACGTCAGGGTTGCTGTGGGGAGGGGGCGCTTCCAGGGGAAGAGGCTTTGGGGAGCACCTCTGGCTGCCTCTGGCAGGTCATTGCCACCCTGGGTGGTGAGCTCAGGTATCCCTGCAGCTCAGCCCGGCCAGTTCCGCTGGGGACAGAAGGACCTGGCTGCGGGCGGCCCGCAGGGCACCCACAGCGCAGGGGCAGGACACAGGCCCCTGCTCCCCCCCCCCCCCAATGACTTGCAGCAGCAGGAGACCGGAGAGAACACAGGGACGGTCCAGGAGCAGCCCGGAGCACTCCAGGCACCCGGCCAGTCTGGAGCGGGTTGGGCAGTGCCAGGGGCCGCCAACGCTGGCCGGGGCCGAGGGGAGCAGGCGCGACTCACCTCTTGGGAGATCTCCAGGTGCTTTCTGGCGAAGGTCAGGGCCTGCGCCGGGCTCCCCATGGACACGTAGGCATTCCCCAGGCTCCAGCAGGCCCGGGCCTCGCCCACTCTGCAGGGGAGGGAAACCGAGTTCACGTCTGCTCGCCCAGATCCCCCGGCCTGCCCGCCAGCCCGGCCAAGCCAAGCCCCCAGCCTCCAGGTGGTCAGGCCCAGCAGTGACAGGAGCAGAAAAGACAGAGGAAGTGGGCGGGGGGGGGGGAGGCTCCACAGGGGGGCTGGGGAGGGCCGGTCTGCCACGGAGTGGCGTTGGTGCCCTGGGCACTTGGGCTGCCAGGGTTCCCGGTGGCCTCTCTCGCCCCCTAGTGGCCAGCCAGGCTCTCACCCTTATGGCTTCCTCCTCACCTTGGGGACAGGGATGGCCCTAGTCCCCCGGGGTCATGAATTTTTCAGGTTGAGGCAGAGATTGCCTAACACAAGCGTAGCTGTTCTAGGGCACGCGGTTCGGGGGCAGCGCCTGCACTCACAATCTGACCATCGCCACCCCCTAGTCCCCAAACGTCCCACCACCCGCGGGGAACAATGCCTCCTGGCCGGTGACTTCAAGACAGCCCTGCTCTTTGCCCCCCACCCCCGTGAGAGCCCATGGCCTGCGGCTCTGAGCCCCCTGCTCTGGCCACGGCCCCCCCAGACCGGTGTGCAGGGCTGCGTGCTGAGAACTCCTTGGTTGTCTGTCTGTCCACAGAGACTGATGCTTCTTCACTTTACACAGGGGTGGGGTGGGGGCTTACAGGGCTGATGAACCGGGTGACTGGGATGCGGCCCCCAGACCAGCCTGTGCCAGGGGTCACTGCTAGCAGCCATCCCAGCGCCCACCAGTCCCACCCCCAGTCCCACGCAGTGGGCCGTGTGGCCCCCACACTCAGGGCCACTTGGAGGTCGGCGGCAGAGCAGGGCCTCGAACCCTGGCCTCAGCCTCTGTCACCAGCTTGTGATTCGGCCCGCAAGGACTGCCAGGGGCCCTCCGGGTTGGTGGGGGTGGCAGGGGGCAGGGTCAGCATCCGCCCGCCCCGCGCCCCAGTGCGCGCACCTGTCGGCCAGCTCCTGGGCGATGAGCAGGTGCCGCAGGTGGTATTCCGCGGCGCGCTCGTGGTCCTGCAGCAGCGTGTAGGTGTTGCCCAGGCTGTAGCAGGCCTGCGCCTCCACCGCCGCGTCCCTCAGCTGCCGGGACAGCTGCAGCGTCTTCCTGCGGGGAGGGCGGCTCCGGTCCAGGGGTGCACAGCGCGCAGTGGGGGTAGCAGCCCCCGCCCGGAAGCCTCCAGCCCCAGGACCACCCCCCCCCGGGGTGTCTGTGGGGCCTGGCTGCGTCTCTTCCCTCCAATGGCCGAAGTGCCCGAGAGCTGGGGGCGGACACGGAGGCCCCACCAGGCTCTGCCCACACTGGCCAGTCACCTCACCCTCCTGAGCCTCCGCCTGTCCACGGGGCAGCCCGGGACGGCAACGCCTGGCTCAGGGTCCTGACGGGGGCGTCAGGGCTGGACCCGGTGCCCCTGAGCCGGTCTCTGCCCGGTGCCACCGCTCTGCAGGCCAGGAGGCAGGTGGCCCAGCGAGCGTCCCGGCCCAAGGCCGGGACCCCGGGAGCCAGTGAGGGCCTTAGCACTCCCAAGTCCACATGGGTGCGGCTATGCCTCCCCGGGGGTCCCCCCTGCACCGGGAGGCCCCAAGCCAAGGCTGGCCGTGTGCCCGTCTGGGGTGGCTGGGGACATCCATCCACCTAGCCCCTGGGGATCCTGGGAGGTCAGACTCACGCCCCACCTCGGGCCCCCCCTCCCCGGCGGCTGGCAGGGGTGTGCGGCTCACTTGTAGTACTCGGCAGCCACGTCGAAGCGCCCCAGGAAGACGTGGGCGTTCCCCAGGTTGCTGTAGGCCCTCCGCTCGGCTGCCTTGTCCCCAAATTCCTTCGCGATGGCCAGGCGCTGAGGACACGGATCCACGGCCGAGGTCACACGGCCTGCCCAGGGTGGCCGGCCCCAGGTCCCTGTGCCCAGAGGGAGCAGCCCCGGGAGCCCCAGGACCGAGCCCAGACAAAACCCGGGGCAGCCGTCCAGGCCGCCCTGCGCTGCCCCGCCCCCCGCCGGCCATCGGCCCACTCACCTCCTTGTGGAAGGCCGTGGCCTCCACGAAGCTCCCCAGCAGGTAGTGGGTGTTGCCCAGGTTGCCGTAGGCCCTGCCCTGGGCTGCCCGGTCGCCCAGCTCCTTCACCAGGGACAGGTTCCTCCTGGGGGCCGAGTCCCTCAGAGCCGCGCCCTCCCGGTGCGAGGGAAGCAGGGCCCGGGGACCCACCCCCCCAGGCTGGGGACCCACCCCCGCAGGCCGAGGACGCCCATTCGCTCCGGCACCGCTGGGTGCCGTCCAAGCTCCAGGCTCGGGTCGGCGGCCGCCCCTGGCCCGGACTCAAGTTTTCGGGCACAGCCTCTGTTCCAGCGGGAAGAGTTCCCCGACCCCCAGGGGCTCGGCCCAATGTCCCAGCCCTTTTTCCAGCCTCATGTGTGTTTTAAAAGCCACAGTGGGCTTTGGCCAGCAGCTTCCCTGTGCCTCTGCTCCGCCAGGATGAGCTGACGCCGTCCCAGCAGGCCCTGGGGCGGGGGCGGGGCAGGGGGGCCAGGCTGGCAGGCACAGTCGGGGGCCTCGGGGTGTGGGGGGTGTGGCGGGCCAGGTGTGAGCGCTGTGCCGCGGTCAGCACGGGCCCAGCGCGTGTCTGTGGAACCCGTGGACCGCCCCCGCCCCCCACTCACTCGTAGAACTCGGAGGCCCTGCGCAGCGTCTCTCGAACGTCCGGCGGCAGGTGCCCGGGGTCCTGCACGGCGCTCCAGGACAGCTGCTTGCCCTTGGCGTGGTACACGTTCCCGATGTTGTAGAGGGCCCGGGCCTCCCCGACCTGCGGGCGGCACCGAGGTTGGGGCGCCTCCGAGGCCGTAACCCTGAAGAGCCCACCGGCCGGGGACCGCTGGGTGGGGACACCGCCCCCAGGCACGCACGCACGCAGACGGGGGGCGCCCACCCTCCGGGCTGTCCCTGGGGCTCCGGAGGGAAGAACCTGGGGGGGCACCACCAGGGCCGCACGCTCAGGCGGGGGCGGCAGCCCACCTTGTCCCCCTGCTCCTGGGCGATGTCCAGGTGCCGCTGGCAGCAGACGATAGCCTCGTCGAAGCGGCCCAGGACCTTGAGCGTGTTGCCCAGGTTCCCGCTGGCCTTGGCCTCCCCCATGCGGTCACCAATGGTCCTGCAGGGCAGGAAGGGGGAGAGGGGCCGGGCTGAGAGCGGAGCTCGGCGGGGAGTCTCGGGGAGGTGGGCGGGGCCCTGGAAGGACCCCAGTGCACAGCTCAGGGTCCCCCTTCACTGAGCCAGGCAGGGGAGGCCCCTGTACAGCCTGCAGACACTGGGGCTCACGGAGCCCCCGGATCCAGGCGGGGAGAGCGGGGTGAGGGGAGCTGGCAGTGAGAACTGCCATTTCGACAGCTCCTGCAGTGCACCTCGGACCCGTGCCCGCCAGCACCGCACCGGGCTCACGGGCCGGTGAGGGGTGGGCCACCAAGGCTGCCGAGACCTGGCTGCTGCCGCCCGACAAAAGAGCAGGAGGCGGGCAGGACACAGAGAGGGCAGGGTGTCCCGGCAAGGAACAGCACACGGGCAGAGGCTCGGAGGCCGGAGGAGAACAGGACAGGGACAGCCAGGAACTCGGGTGGAGCGGGGGGCTACCACCCTGCGCACTGCCCCACAGACACAGGGGCACGGACCCTGGGCCACGCCCGTGCTCGCACACACGCACACGCGCACACACACACACACACACAGACACGCTCACCCCTGTCTCGGCTTAAACACAGCTGCGGGGCGGCACGTCCCAGCCCCTCCCCCAGGCCCCCATGGACCCTGAGAGCTCCGCCACCAGGCTCACGTCGTGACTACTGCTCCCCTCGACGGGGTGCCACCCAGCCCCTTCCCACCCCCCCACCCTCATGCCTGCCCTCCACCCCCCGCCCGCGGCTCACCGGGCCAGCAGCAGGTCGTGGCGGTGGTACTCCAGGGCCCGGGCGTACTCCTTCAGGTAGAAGTAGGCGTTGCCCAGCTGGCTGTAGATGGCACTCAGCGTCTTCAGGTCCTCGGTGCCCACCTGCACCGCGGCCTCGAAGAAGGCCACGCCCGCCTTGAAGTCGCCGGCCTTGCAGAGACGCTCGCCCTCCAGGGCCAGCTCCAGGCACGAGGCCTCCATCCTGGGCGGAGAGGGAGGGGGCAGTGTCACCTGGGCACCCGGACGCCCCCGCGCCATCCCCGTGGACCACGGTCCCCGGCCAGCTGTGGCCTGTGCTACGCCTGCACCCACCACTACAGCCATCATCGGGTGAACGCCCGGAGGCCGGTGCTGGGGGCGGCACACCCGTGTGGGTTGCCTGTGCCCAAACCGCCTGGCTGCTGGGGCCCAGGACCCCTGGGGGGGCGACGTTGAGGAACGCCGTGGCAGAGCGCTGGACACTGTTGGCCGCCCGACCCCCAAGTGCCAGCCGCCCCGGGGAGGGGCTGCCCGAGGCTGGCAGACCACCCTGCCGAGAGGCAGGGCCGTCCGGGGCGGCCCTGGTCCCCCGGAGAACGGCCGAGGCTCAGGGAGGGTCCGTGAGCTGACCGAGGCCACAGGCACAGGGTCTGATCCCAGCCCCGCCCCCTGCCTGCGGCCCTGGTGGGGGGAGCACACCCTCCAAGTTCTCAGTGGGCACGGGGGGCTCAGCGGAAGGTCAGCCGGCCCCCAACCCCTTCCTGCCCCACAACCCAGTCTGAGAAGCGCGTTGGCTGCTGGCCAGGACGGGCCTGGGAAACAGCTGTTCCCACCGAGCGCCAGCCGGCCCCCCCACGGTGCTGCTGTGGGAGGGACCGAGCCCCAGATGAACCCAAATCCTGGAAACCCGCCCCCGGTTCCTGCCCCGGGAACCCGGCCCCGCCCCGAGGGCCCAGGGCCCTGCGTGATCACCTAACGCCCCGGCTGGGGGCCGTGCTGGCTCCTTGCCCCCCGCCCCAGCTTGGGGCAGAGCAGAAGCCCCCGGCCCTGGGGCCCAGAGCCGCACCCTGCAGTGGGGCCCGGCCCCTGAGGACAGCTGTCCCCAGGGCGCAGCTGTCGGGCGAGTGTCTGCCCCAGGACCGACCCTCTGGGACCAACCCCGCGGCCCAGGTTCTGGGGGTTCTGGGCCTCCCTTTTCGGGGGGCCCAGGGGGAGGGGCCCTGACACTTTTCCCCAGGGTTTCAGCCTCCTCCGAGCTGCCCCAGAGGGTCCTGTGGGTCCCGGGCTCAGGGCTTGGCCCGCTGCCCTGCCTGCCCTGGGGCGGGAGGGCCGTCAGCACCGGACACAGATGCGCTGGGGACACAGGGACCCCAAGCTGGAGGCCGCCCCGAGGGCGGGGAGGGAGGGCAGGGGGGCCCCTGGGCCTCAGCAGCGGTGCCACCCGCAGCGGGAGGAGCTGGGGACCCCGGAAAAGCGGGAGCCGTGCCCTGAGCCAGTCACAGGCCGGCCCCCGATGTCCTCGTCTCAGCCCCGCTGCGTCGGGGTCCCAGGGTTTGTGGAAACCCTTGGAGTGACAGAAAACGCCCCCCAACGCCCCGCCGCGCCCGAGGCACCGGCCCCGCTGTCAGACACGCGGAGAGCTCGGGAGTCACCAGGGGAACCCCACGAGTTCCCTGCGGAGACAGAGCCATGGAGGACAGGGCTGTGCGCCCCTGTCGCCAAAGCCCCTCTGGCGGGGCCGCACGCCACGGGCTCCGCGGCTGTGTGGTCAGCAACAAGGGCACCCCGAGCGCTGCCGGCGATGGTAGCAGAGCGCCCCCAGCGGCTGCACCCGGCGCCCTGCGCCCCCCCAGGCTCACAGCTTTCTTCTGGGGGAGCCCCCTGCCGTCGCAAGGCCCCTTGTCCAGCCACAACTCCCCTGAACCAGGGCACCCGTCCCGGGGAGCCGGGCTCCCCCTCCCCGTGGCGAACAGGGGGCCTGGTCCCTGGGACCCCAGACTCAGGCAGGGCCTGTGTGGCCCGGGGTCAGGGGTCAGCCCTGAGGGCCACGCACGGGACTTCTTCCTTAGGGCCTGCCTGTCCCTGCGCGGCGGCCGGGTGAACGGCCCCCTGCCCCGCCGACTGTGGAAGGGACGCGGGCTCTGAACCGTGGGCACTCCCCGGGAGGAGGGGGCCCAGCCCCACCCCCACCCGTCTCAGGGCAAAGGTTTCAGCCTGGGAGCCTGGGCCCTGAGATCAAGGGGGTGGGCGGCACCCTGACGGGGAGTTATCATGAATGCAGACTTGGGGAGGGGGGGTCTGATACGGGTTGCTGGCCAGCACACTTACTCCAAAACCTCTGGCGGCCCCTTGAGCTCTGGGCGGGCACCTGCCCCCCGCCCCCCCTCCCAGGCGCCCCGCACCTCCTCCTCCGCAGGTTGCGCATTTTCTGCACGTACAGCCACAGCTCCAGGCCCACGGGCAGCAGCAGGGGGCGGGGCCGGGGGGCGCCGTACACCAGTTTGCAGACCGCTTTCTCCGCTAAGCTCAGCGCCGCCGGCTGGCCCTCTGGGGCGGCGGCCCACATGGCCAGGCTCCAGGCCTCCCCCGCCCTGCCGGCCAGCCCTCGCCCCACCTTGGCTGCCGGTCCCAGGGTTGCACCGGACCCCGGGCTCCCCTGCCTCTCGCCGCCCCAGGGTGGTGGGCTGCAGGCTCTGGAGGCCCCGGCTGCGGCGGACCCCAGGTCCCCGGGCAGATCCGCTGGGGCTCCCGGGGCCTGAGGGGGATCAGGGGGATCAAGGGCAGCTCAGAGCCGGGGATCAGCGCCGTCACAGGGCGGGCCCGGCCGGGAGGGGCCCAGAGGACGTCCCTGCAGGGGCTGGCACGCAGTAGGGCGCAGAGGCGGCGACAAACTCCCCGACAAACCGTTATGCTGCTCTGACCTGAGGCCAGCTCTGGGCCACGGCCGTCACTCAGCACGAAGGAGCCCAGGCCCATGGAGGGTAATGAGGGGAGAAGGGAGGGGGTGGGGGGTGCCCAGCAGGGCAGAGCCCTGCAGGCTGGGGACGCCCACCCCTCCTTCCTCCAGGGCCCAGCTGAGGCAAGGCTGGGATTTCCTCCCGGCTGGGTCTGTGCCCAGCCCTGCCCCGTCCCCCCAAAGGCCCTGCCCCAGCCGGACGGTGTCCCCCCTTAGCCCCCCGGGCCTGAAGCCTGGCCCGGCACTTGGAGTGCGCGGGCTCTGTGGAGGCAGGGCCAACGGGTGTGGAGTGCGGGTCCCGGCCATCGTGTGTGTGTGTGTGCGCGCCCCCAACAATCTAGGGGCCGTGGGGTTCCCCGCCTGGATCCCCAAGGGGAGCTCCAAGCGGGACCTGGGGGGCTGCCCAGGGCCGGGGTGGCGGGCGGGGGGCTCACAGGGCACAGACGCTGCCCTGCACCCTGGGTCCTTCCCTGGAACGTCCCAGCCACCTGGACTCCCGGCTCCCCCAGCCACCTGTGGCCAAGGAGGTAGTGGCCGACGTGGAGCTCCCTGGGCGGCGGGAGGGGCCCCTGGAGTGGGGGTGGGTGCCCACGTCCAGCCACTGAGGCTCAGAGCCCGCTGGGCCCCTGGTCCGTCCAGGCCCGTCGGGGTGGAATGGTGGTGAGAAGCGGGTCTCTCCGGACCTCCCTGCCCAGGCCACCCCGGCAGCCCCCAGGGTGACCCCATGCCCTCCCAGAGGTCCTCTGTGCCCCCCTCGTGGGTGGCCCCTTCTGAGTGGCCACTGGTCTTCTCAGAGGTGGGCACTGGGGCAGGGGGTCTCCAAGGCCGTGCAGCTAAGAACCACAGAACCGGGAAGGAGCAGCAGCTCCGGGAGGGGGGACCCAGAGAGCTGGGGGTGCTCCACCCCCGAGACCCACCTGGGGTCTGAACAGAGAGGCCGGAGCCCAGGGGTGAGCGGGGTGGGGAGGGTGGAGGACCCGAGGGCCCTGTGAGGTCTGAGGGCGGGATGGGAGGGCAGAGCCAGGGAAGGGGCTGGGCAGTGGACGCCGAGGCTGGGGACCAGGTCCGGGCCACCCGCCCGCACCGGGCTCTGCTCCGGAGGGAGTCCGGCTGGGCACACTGCCCCCCGCCCCGAGGCCTCCCTGTCCAATGCCACTGTCCACCCCCAGGACAGCACCGCTGACAGGGCAGGGCCCGGACCACCTCCTCTGCGCCCAGCTCCCGGTTGAGCCCTCGAACTGCGCGCCCGCACCAACCCCAGGCCCCCGCTCCGCCGCCCAGGGCCACTCCCACGGCCTGCGCTGCAGGCCGCCCTCTCCTGCGCTCTGAGGGTGCTGCCCGGCCCGGCAGGCCCGCTGCCCCGCACCTCGGTCCTTGCACCACCTCCGCAGGCCTGGGGGTGCCTGCCCCATCACCTGGCGAGCCGGCCTCCCCGCCACTGCCGCTCGCCCACCGAGGCCTGTCCACCGCAAGGGCGGCCGAGAGCCCCACTCCCAGAGCATGAGACCCGGGCCAGGCTGGCCAGCGTCCTCTGGCCCCGAGGGCTGTGGTCTTAGCTCGGCCTGCCAGACTCACCGCCCACGCCCCAGCAGGGAGCGACCTTCCCACCTGGGATTTGCCATCTGGCTAGAAAGACGCTTAAATGCTTGCCTCCAGTCCTCAGCCCCCGGGGGGACCCTGGCCCAAAGCCTCCGGCCCCTCCGGCCAGCCTGCCCGCCCCAGCTGGCGCACCTGCGCAGGCTCCAACACCGTGTCTGCCCAGGGCACCCCTCGCTGGCCAGGGCCAGACCGCAGCGGCCTGGGGGCTATCTGCCGAGCTCCCGCCGCCCAATACAGGGGTCACGGGCTGCCGGTGGCCAGTCTTGCCACCCTACCGCCACGTCGCGGTGGGCTTCCCCCAGCCTTCGCCTGAAACGCAGGCCCCTCCTCTCCTGCCGCGGGGCCCCACCTGACAAGGATGCCCCCACCACACCTCCCTGCCTCCCACCCCTTCCTGCCAGCCTCCCAAAGCCAGCGCTGACCAGGAGCTGCCCTGCCCACCCCTGGCCACCGCTGCCCAGCTGGGTCTAACCACCCCCCGCCACGGGCCTCCTCCTGGGCCCTGCAGAAAGCTCGGGGCTTCACAGCCCAGATCTCCCGCCCGGCCCACACAGTGCGGCTCAGCGCGGGTCTCAGCTCGCAGGGAGGCCGGGCTGAGCTCCAGGCCTCTCCCGGTGTCCCCTCGGAGCCGTCCCCTAGGCCGAGGTCCTGCCTGGTGTGTGTCCCCACTGGGCTCCGGCACCGGCCCACACCCAGGGCTCCCACGTCAGGCCGCGGAGCGACTGCCAGGCTGATGAGGACCCCATGCTCAGCCGTGCGAGGCCCCCCAGCCTGCCCACCCTCCCTCTTTGCGTCTCTCTGACACGCTCACGCCGGTGGCAGCCAGATTAACTCCTGCCGTTCTCCGGGACAAAGCACCCCCTCTCCATCAGACAGACGACCCTGGAGCACAAGCTGCCCGCACTGCTCTCCATCCCTTGGGGGGTCCTGTGGAGGGGGGGCGCCGTGGTGGTGGGGGGCTTTAGGGCAGGCCTCCAGCGTCAGCTGCCTGCAAACCCACCCGCAGGCCCTCGCCCTCCCGCGCCCTCCGCCAGCGTGGGGCCCAGGGGCCAGGCCGGGGGCTCGGCGCTCAGTCCTGGAGACCACACAATGGGGGCTGTGTCTCGGCCGGCGGCAGGGACCGGGCCACGGAGGGGAGGGGCGGCGAGCCTTCCAGAGGCCACCACACCCCCGCGCCCCACGTGCGGCCACACGGCAGAGGCCCGCTGCTGAGGGCGGCCTGGCTGGGCCCCCGAAGGCTCCGCAGCCTGGGGGCCAGGGGAGCCCGGGCTGCCCCCCGGGGAGCTGCCACCCACGACCGCCTCGCCCCGCACTCATGCCTGTCCCACTCAGCAGGACACCTGCGCAGGTGGGCAGGGTCCGGCCCCCCAGGGAGGGCCCTGCACCCACCTGGGCCGGGCCCAGGGCATCACCCTGTGGAACAGCCCTGAGGGCCTGCAGTCACTGGGCAGGCACGCAGCCCTGGGCAGGGCCGCCCAGTCGTCCCTGACGAGCGTGGGGTGCTGAGCCCAAGAATCTGCCTGCAGGCAGGTATCTTTCTGTGCGGGCACACACCCACCTGGCCGGCTGGCTCCGAGGCCCCAACCCCGGTGCAATCTGCCGGGCACGGGCGCCGGGCGGGCCGCTGGGGCGCAGACCACCCCACCCACGACACAGCCAGGTCTTCCGGGCAGCTGTGCTGCCCACCCCCCCGCCCCCCCGGTACCTGGGCCATGGCCCTGCAGAGGAGACGCCAGGCCTGGGAGGGGAGCTCCTGGCCGTCCCCTCCACACCTGCTGTGCCGGGCAGCCCCCCTGCCAGTCCCTCAGCCGGTTTCTGTGCACGAGGGGTGGGGTGAGGCAGGCAGCAGCCCACCCCTGGCCTGCAAGCTTCTGCTGGTCCCCAGCCCTCCCTGGCCTGGGAGGCCCCAGTCCCCGCAGCACCGCCCTCTGGCCCCGCTCCCACACCCTCAGCCCCCGACTCCCGGCGCCCTCCTCTGGCACCTCCGGCGCCCCGATTCTTGCGCTCCCACCCCTGCGCCCCCATCCCCACCACCCCGCGGTGAAGGCGAGTACCCGCCACGTTGCGCGCCCGCCGCCGCCGCCGCCGCCTTTGTTCCAGGCAGCCCACCTCCCGGGCCGCCCGGTCCCCGCTGCTCGCCGCCCGCGCGCGCGCTGTCCGCCGTCCGCCGACCGCCGACCGCCCAGCCCACCTGGAGTAGAGGCGCCGGGCCGGGCCGGGCAGCTCGTCGGCGGCGGGCGGGGCCGGGCCGGCCATGGGCCGGGGTCTCCGAGGGCCGGGTGCACGCTCCTCGCTCGCAGTGCCCAGCGCCTGCCACCGGTCCCCAGTCCGCCGTTCGCGCTCCTCCGTCCACTGTCCGCCCGCCTGGCCCGCCGGCGGAGGCGCCGAGGAAGTGATGTGCGCGGGGCGCCGCCCCTCCCGCCTTGGCCGTGATGTCACCGGTCCCTCCTCTCTCCAGGCGTTGGGGGAGGGGCGGGGAGAGGAAGCCCGCGGGGGACGGCCGGCGTGAGGGGCGGGGCCCGATGCGGCGGGTCGGAGGGCTGGAGTGAGCCCCTACCTCCGCCCCGGCTCCCCGACCCAGCCCCTGCGGGATCCAGGCCCCGAGGCCTGGCGTGGACATTGCCGCTGGGCCCTGCTGGCCTCCCCACCCCCTTCCTTCCACCCCCCACGTGGGGCTCCGTGAAAGCCCCCTGCCTTTGTCCGGCAGGCGCCCCGCCTCGGTGGTCCTCCGCCCCCTCCCCGGGCCCAGCCCCCGCATGAGTCACCCCGGCTCACACTGGCAGTGGGGTGCAGCCTTGGGGAGCCCGTCTGCCTAGTTCGGAGAGACCTCCCAGGGCCAGGGTGCAGGGGCTGGTCACAGATGCGCGTTCTGCCCCCCCGTGGGAGGGAATTCACAGGTCTGGGAGGAGCGGCTGAGGGGTCAGGAGTGTGTGTGGCCTGACCCTGGAAGTTGTGGGTAGCCACAGCCCCTGTCCCCCCTTTTCTCACCACGGAGACCTTCGGCTGCTGCGTGGCCCTCTTCACCCAGGCCTCATCTGTGGGGGGACTTGGAAGGATGCAGGTAGTGCAGCCAGCTGAGCCCACCCGGCGCGGTCCGGCCGGCGTCCCAGCACCGGGCCACCTCCTCCTCTGAACACCTAGAGCCCGAGTGGGAGAAGAGGCCTCCCATCCACCCGCCCAGGCTCTGCCCCGCTCCAGGGCATCTCTCCACGCGGCACGGGGGGCAGGGCCAGCTCCGGGGTGCCGGGGGTGGGGGACCCCCAGCAGGCCCTCGGGGCACACGCCGGTCTCACCTTCTCACCTTCTGGTTCGGTCCTGCCCCCTCCTCAGTCCAGACCCTCCCCGCGCGGCCAGGAGACTCCGAACCCCGGAGAGGCGCTGCGACGGAGGAGCAGGACTGGGACGTGTCCAGCCGCGGGAAGGGGCCACTTTCCCCGGGGCGCTGCAGCCCCTCCCCGGAGCGCTGCCCTCGGTCAGAACAAGGACTCCGAGGCCTCCCAGCCAGACTCCAGGCAGCGCGCAGCCCGCAGGACTCTGGCTTTGGACCGAAAATAAACGCCGGGTGACAAAGGGCCTGCTGGCCCGGCCTCTGCTTCTCCTGCGGCCGAGAGGCGGCTTGCAACCGGACCGTCTGCGCCTGGAGCTGGCAGCCCGCCGGCCCGCGAGCCCTCCCCCCACGACCGCAGCAGCCCGGCAAGGCCTTTCTCCTGGCCTTGGCCGCCGGCTGGCCCCTGCAGGGTGGGCGGTGCAGTGCTGGCGGCGGGAGGGGGAGGCTCCGGCCCGCAGCAGCCCCCAGCCTGCTTCCTGGGGCGCCCCCTGAGCCGCATCACTGGCAAGGCCAGGCTGCCCTGGCCTCAGCGTCCCCCGGAAGCCGTCAGTGTGGGCCTCCGCGTGCACATGCGTGTGGCCGGGTGCCTGGTGCCATGAAGGCCCTTGTGACAAACATGGCGTGATGGCAGAGTGAGGGACAGCTGGGTGGCCGAGAGCGGGTCTTCTTTCTCCCTGCCTTGAAGTGGGGAGACCTGGCCCCTGGGGGCCCTGGCCCAGAAGAGTCTCAGGCTCATACCAGAGCTTCCCCGGGGACCCCGAACCTTGGGGGTGCCGTGCCGTGAGCGGGCCCCAGACTCTGGCTCTGAGTCAGGCCGAGCAGGGCTGAGGGCCACCCCCCCCGACCCTGCACTGGGTGACCCCACACAAACTGCCTTCCCTCTCGGAGCCGCGCTTCTGTCCCCCATGAACAGGTTCCGCGGCCCTGTGCCACAGGGGCAGCGGGGCATCGCGGGGTCCGGACAGAGACGGTCACCGAGCCGGCACGCAGGAAGAGCTCGGGGTGCCAGCTCCTCGGGCCGCACCGCCTGTGCACAGGGGCCCGGGCCTGCTGGCCGGGTGGGGGGCACCCACCCCACAGCCCAGAGAGGGGCCTTCTCCTGCCCAGAGACCCGACTCTCTCCCAGCAGCGGGACCCACAGAGGGAGGTGGGACAGGGGCAGGGGCAGGGGACAGGCCCAGCATGCATGGGCCACGTGGCCACCCAGCCTTCCGTCCATGGAGAGCAGGGGCCCCTGGGAGACGGGTCTGGGGGACGGGCAACTCCTGGGGGGCAGCATCCCGTCCTGACTCTGCCTCCCACTGGTGCCAGACCCGCCTGGCCCCCCACTTACCCTGCTCACCCTCCCCCAACGCTCCTACCTTCCCCCAGCCCCGGGACGCACAGCCTGTGCGCCCGTGGGCGCCTCATTGCAGCCTTCCTTGTACGTTCCCGAGGTGCTGCGTGCCCCAGGCGGAGCAGAGGGCTCCGGGGGGCTGCCAGCACCCCTTCCGTCCCCTCCCGGAGGGGCCTCAGCCCCACGGGAGCATCAGAGGGAAGAAACTCGGTCTCCCACCCCGCCCATCCCTCCAGGCCCAGATGCGAGCAGGGAGCCGCCTGGATGGTCCCGGAGGCACCCCCTCCCCCCGCCATGCGCCCACCAGCTGCAGTTGGAGTGCTAAGGGCCCGCGTCAGCACAGCCAAGACCCTGCCCTTGGGACTCATCAGCCGTGACAGCCCTACCTGCGGGGACCTGCCACGTGCCTGCACCGTCACCGAGTGCTCACTGGCATCCGGCCTGGTCGGCACACCCCTCTCGTGCGGGCTGGGCCTCAGGGCAGCTGAGGTCAGACCCTGGTTTCCTGACCGGTCCCTTCTGGGACCTGTCCTCAGCCAGCCCTGGTGGGAGGTGCCAGTGGACAGTTGCATGGCTCTTGCTGCTCGCCCGGGTACAGGGCGGCCTGGGCTCCCAGAGGCGGTGGACACTCAAGGCCACCGTGGGCCTGGGACGAGGGCCAGGCCAAGGGAAGGTGGCCGGGCTCCCAGGGACCATCTCAGGGACGAAGAACTGGCCCACGGCTTCGGCGGGACCTGCGAACTCCGTGGCCCTCCAGGCGTCTGCCAGGGCCCGGGTAGATGGGGGTGCCCCACGGTGGCGTGGCAGCTCCCAGCCACCGCCTCCCCAGACCCTGCCTTCCTCCTGTGGCCACCTGCGGGGGGACCCCCCAGCAGGGCTGCTCCCCCAGGGCCAGTGGGGGGCTGGGACGTCCAACCTGGGGGCTGCCTGGGGGGTCCTGGCCCACCTCTGCTGTAAATCCCCAACCGGGGAGGGAGGAGGTAGACGGGGAGGGTGGGGGAGGGCGGGAAAGAGACACAAATGGGAGAGCTTAGGGGCAAAGAGACTGTCCGGCTTCCCACCGCCCCAATCAGCTCGTCGCCCTGAGAGAGAGCTGCTTCTTCTGTGCGGTCTGGGGAGCACGTGTCCCAATGCCACGAGGCCACCACGGCGTCACCCACAGCCACTTCCTCACCTTGGGGGCCTCCCAGCCCCCGGAGAGCAGGGGCCGCCGGGGTCCACAGGGGCACGCAGCCGGGAGCCAGAAGGGAACGGCCCGGCCACACGCGGGGCCTGAGCGCCTCGCCGGGCGATGACACGCACACGCCCCGGAAATAGCTGGAGGCTGCGTGCGGCCAGACTCCACCCGTGTCATCGAGGGCCACCTGGCCGCGCCGCATTCCTCTGCTCTTGCTTGCAGCTGGCAGCCGTGTCAGCCTGTGTGTGGCCCCGGGGCCTGTGGGGAGGAAGCGAGGCACACGACATAGGCGGTGCTCCCGTGCCTCACGTGACCCACACCCCCTCCCCGTCCTGTCCGTGCCCCTCTCCCTCCCTCCCCGGCCCGGCAGGCTGCGGCACTGGTAGTGCTGGGGAGCGGCAGAGACGAAGAGGGAGGGAGGGAAAGACGGACAGACAGACAGACCGTGCGAGAGAGGGAGAGACACAGACAGAGCCAGCGAGCTGGTGCGGCCTGGCTCTGGCTCTGCTGCTCACCAGCCGGCCCGGCCCCCCGCTGCCCAGCTCCCTTCTCCAGCCAAGGCCAGGCAGGGGGTCTCCCCGGGAAGCCCCTGGCGAGGGCCTGCAGCAGCGCCTGCACTCCGCCGGGGCCACTGTCGCCGAGAAACCTGCACCTGTGCTGACCCCTCCAGCCGGCGGCAGACTCCTGCCTGGCCGGAGCCCTGGGTCGGGGCGGGGACCTCCAGACACAGGCCCGTGTGGGGGCTGGGACGCGTCTGCCCTGCTGGTGCAGGCGCCCCACGTGGCAGCAGCATCAGAGGGGGCCCAGGTGCCCTGGGGCCACCGGGCTGAGGGACCGGAGCTGGCCTGCCGGCTGGGCACCTGGGCCCTGGAACAGGGCATCCTCCCCTGGTCCCCTCCCCACCCCAGCTGCACTCCCTCTGGCCTTGGCCCCCGAACCTCACCTTGGCCCCCGGGTGCTCACCGACCCGCCACCTGCGAGCCTGGGGTGTGGTTGCAGGGCCTGGAAGACGCCTAGAAGGTCCCTGTGGGATCCGCTCACCAGCACCCACCCCCCCCACCCCCATGCCCGGCCCCGTGTGGAGGAGGCAGGACCCTAACACCCTACCCTCCCCCAGACACTGTCACTCCCAACCATGGCCTCGGGCAGCCGGGTAGGCTGGCGGGGACAGGAGCCAGCCTCTCGTGAGGGGCTAGGGCTACAGGGGGGCAGGACGGTGGTGGGAGAACGGAGGGGGTGCTCGGGCCCGTGTGGCCATTTCACTGTGAGGATGTGGCTAGGGAGGGCAGCGGGCGAGGGGCCGTGCTCCGGCTTGGAGGGCGTGGGACCCGGGAGCACGGCAGGACCTGTGCAGACTGCTACACCCCGCACCAGCAAGCCCCTGCCCTGGGCCAGCATGCCCCTCACACCCGCATACCCCGCACCCGCACCAGGCCAGCACGGCTCACGCCTGAGCTTGCTGTGGACAGGGGCTACTCTAGCCGCCAGGGTGGGTGTGAGGCCTGAGGCAGGCATGTGGCAGCTGGGAGCCCTCTCAGTGGGGTGTCTGTGCAATGTCCATCTGTCTGTCCAGCAGCCACGAAACGGAAAAGGACGCAGGAGAGTGGGTCCTTTCCCCGCGGCCGGCCCCCATCCCACCCTCACCCTCTCATGGGTGTCTTCCCGGAGCCCCTGCCTAGCAGTTCCCAGCTCAGGCTGCTGTCGGTTGCCACGGAAACCCCCATCCTCCGCAGGGGCCCCCTCTCCTACAAGCTGCCCGTGCCCCGCCCCCAGGGCCCCAGAGCAGGCGGGGCTGAGTGTCGTGTGCTGGTGGGGGCCCAGCCGGCCAGGCGGTCCGTGTCCTGGGCTGGTTCTTCACAGCGGCTCTGGGACAGGGAGAGCCAGTCCCTAATTTCTGAACCGTCGGATCAGTCCGGCGCATGGTTTTCAGGCTCCGTGTGGGTTCGGGGTCCCCGTGTCCAGCCCTAATCTGGGGCGATGCCCGAGGTGCACAGGGCAGTGGCCGGAGGTGGGTAGCACCCTGCCTGTGGCAAGGCGGGCGTCCTCAGGAGGCCCTGGGGAGCCCCCCTTGGAAAGCCCCCGATCCTAATGATTTGATCTGTGGGCTGGACACACTCCCCTGCAACCCCCAAATCTCCCAGGGCGCGGGGGCAGGGGGTTAGGGGAGCACTCACACCTCCCAGAGGAGGCCTGTTCCCCCCCCCACCCCAGGGCAGAGCGGCTGACAGGGGAAGCTGCAGGAAGGAGGGAGAGAGGGGCAGGACCTCCTGCCCCCCACCCAGGCTCCCCACCCACCCAGCCCACCCAGCCCGGGGACCCAAACCTCCAGGGCCCCTCCCCCTCCCTGCAGGACTGGTCAAAACTCGGGGCCAGGCAGATTCAGAACTTGGGGAAAGGACCCCAACGAGCTGGTGAAAACGCCCCCTAGCGACCCGCTGTGTCAGGAGGGGCTGGGGCCGGGGTGGGCTGGGGTGGGTGTGAGCCTGATTGGAAGGTGAAGCAGGTGGCTGGGGTACTTGTCTCCCTCCCGGCTTCTAGGTGGGGGACATGCCCACCACCTGCATGTCCTCGTGGTCCCCGAGGGAGCCTGGTTAAACAGACGGCGCCGCGGAAGTTCCCGTGGACGGACGAGGAGGGCGGGAGAGGAGACAGACGCCCCTCGTTCTGGAGGCGGGAGAGCTGGAACTGGGTTCGCGGGCCCCGGGGTGCAGGGTGCAGAGAGGTCAGATCAGGCCAGCCCTCGGGCACCACGGAGGTCAGGGCGCTGGATCTGGGTGTCTCGGTCCAGAGGTCGCTGCCGGAGCCCCGCGCACAGCTGGAGGTCTCGCCTGAGCTCGGGGCGCCCTGCACCCCCAGTGCCCAGGCCCCCAGCCCCTCCCCCTGCTGCTGTGGGGGCCTCCATGGGAGGGTGGGCGGGCTCACCGGGCCTGCCAGCTGTGGGGGTTGCCCCCCTCCGGAGCCTCCGGCCCAGGGACACAGCCGCCCCAACCTTGAACTTGCTTGGAGAGCCCGGCTCTGGCCCGAGACCAGGCGACTCCGAGTCTCTGCCCAAACCCGCATTCCTGAACACCAAGAACAGTTTCTTGGCAAAAAAGTATGTTTCTAGAGGTTTACTTAGGGGGGAGGGACACAGTTCTGGGGGAAGGGCAGCAGAGGCCGGAGAGGACCCCCATCCCCCGAGCACCCCAGGGTGAGGGTTGGCTCCCAGGGTGCGGCAGAGGGAGGGCGCCCCCTGCCGGCATCGTCCCCACATTTCCCGAAGCCGTGCTGGGAGGACCGTGGGTTTTCATCAGGCTGCCTGCACCCCTGATCCCCAGTTTCTAGGGGCAGCACACCCTCCCCTGCACACGGCCCGCACCCCCGTATAACAGCCAGGAAGGCACGCAGACCCCGAGCCTGGCACCCACGACCCCCCTGTGCTCCTGCCGGGGCGCCACGCCAACTCCAAGGACTGGGGGCGCTTTGCCGGTTCTGAGGTGGGTGTAGCTGGACCCCTGAGGTGCTGCGCCGTCTCCTCCAACCTCTGGCCTCCTGGCCCTCGGTGCTGTCTCGAGGCCCAAGGGTGACCCGTCCCAGCTGACCGTCCCACGCAGTTTTTCAGAAGCACCAGGGTGGACCCATCCACCTTCAGGCCCCCTCGGCTCCTGGCCAGCAGAGACTTGGGTGGCCTCTGGGGGCTCCCTGAGGAGAGGGGGGAGCCGGGAAGGTGGGCTGGAAGGGGCCAGCAGGCCAGGCCAGCCACCAGACCCGGGGGCAGGGCTCTGAACCATAGCCGAGAGCTGCCCTGCCCTGCCCCCACCCCTTTCCCCTCAAGCTGGGACCTGCCCCCTCCCCCAGTGCCCTGGGCCCCAGAGGGGAGGCCTGCCCCCTGGGTGTGCCGCACCCTCCGCCGGCCTCTGCGGCTGGCTATACGCAGCCCGGAGGAGCAGCCCCACGGGAAGGACGCCTGGGTTTCTCTGGCAACCCTGGGGCGGGGCGGGCCTCCTCCTAGCCTCCTGCTGGGCCTCCCGGGGACCCGCAAGGCCGGGCCCAGGGCTCCCGGGCTCTGCTCGCAGCTGGCCTTTGGGCCACGGCTGCTGGCTGGTGCCCTTCCGCAGACAGGGACACCTGGAGCCTTCCCGCTGGTGAGTGCGGGGCGGCCCGCCCCAGGCCCCTGGTGGGGGGTGGGGAGGGAGACGCCAGCCAGCAGCTGGGAGGGGTGAGGACACTGCAGGTCAGGCTGGTGGTGTAGCCTTCCTGTCTTCCTCGGACTTGGCTGCGTGCAGACTGGCCGCCCTTCCTCCATCGTGGTTCCCTGGGGAGGGGTCTTCCCGTCTGGGGCTCCCCTCTGAGGGCTTGGGACCCCTGGGGGTCAACGCCAGGCCCTCCCCGCTGGGCTGCCGTGCTGTGGGCTCAGGTCCCATTATAGGCGGCACTGCATTGTCAGCTAATGAACTCTGCCACGGTTTCCCCATCTGTGAAATGGGGGTAAACGCTGTCCCAGGCCCCAAGGGAGCTGAGGCTGACGGCTCACATGTGGTCTCGGCCGGCGGGCCCGTGGCCGACAACGGCCCGGCTCCCACTCTCCTTGGGCAGAGGGCCCGGGCCCCGGGCTGTCCTGTCCTCCCGGAAGGTTCCCGCTGCCTGTGAGTTCCAGGCTGAGGCAGGGGGCAGGAAGGGACCTTCAGCCGTGCCCCCCAAGAGCCAGGGCCCCTGGAGACTGCTGTGAGCCCTTGGGAACGGTTTTGGTCCCCAGGGCAGGGGTGTCTGTCCCCACAGGTTCCTTCCCCGGGTCGCTGGGGTCCGAGGCGGTGTCCCTGCTCTGTGCCCGTCAGCTGGGGGGGGGGTGCCGAGGGCAGGTCTCTGCTCTGTGTGGTGTGACCGTGGGCCAGGTGACAGCTCCTCCCCTCGAGCACTGCCGTGAGGAGCCTCGGGCCGCCCACGTTGCCCGGGGAGCATGCTGGGTGCAGGGCCCGGCCCCTGCTGCCGCTGGCTCAAACTGCACCTGCACCCCAAACTGCAGCTGGCTCTAGGCATTGTTCTGCGCGGGCGGGTGCTGGGAGCAGGCCCGGGGTGGGGGTACAGGGCCAGAGAACCAGGAGGGGGCAGGGCCTGGGCCTGGGCCTGGGGGGAGCCGGCCTGGGGCGTGGCGCTCCCTGCCAACCTCTCTGCCGCCAGGTCTGGGAGTCTGTCCCACGCAGAAAGGGCCCGGGGCTTCTTTGGGCCACTGTATGCAGTTCCCACCGGCTTAGCAGAGGGGGCTGCCGCGGCTGGGCCGAGAGTCTGGGGGTGCGGGCGCCCCTGCCTCCGACGCGGAGCCCCCGCCCTGGGCCCTGCCCTCTGTCCTCGGCTCTCTCTCTGCCCCTCGCCCCTCGGTGGCGCTTCCATCCGGCGCCCCCAACCGCGTCCCCCACCCAGCCTCCAACCGTCTCCCAAGTCGCTGGCTGTGCTGTCTGTCACCTGGCTCCCGCCCTGGCGTCTGCCACCTCCGTGTGGCCCCGAGTCCCCTTGGGGCCCGGCCAGCGTCGAGGAGTCAGCCCGCCTCCCTGGGAGCACCTGGCGGAGGCGCTGAGGCCGGCGGGGTGGGGGAGGGGAGATGCCACCCTGACCAGACCCCCCCCACGAAGGCTGTTGGCAGCCCCCCACCCCCCGCCTGCCCCGCTTGCCCCGCTCTGGGGACCCTGGTGTGCTCGTGTGCACGTGCGTGTGCGTGTGCGTGCGTGTGCGCTCCTGCACGTCAGAGGGGCGGTGTGTACCCTCGTGCAGCAGGGTCTGACGTGCCCAGGGGCTCGGCCACCGGCAGGTCGTCCCCCCCGATGGGGACCAGGCGCGGCTCAGCCCCCAGAGAGCTTCCATTCGGCCCCTTGGCCCCTGTGCCCCACCCCCCCGGCCCCTGCTGCCGGGTGGCTTCTGGGCACGGCCTGTTGCAAGGCCAGTTTGGGGGCCGCTGCGTCCCCAGGGCTGGGTGTGAGTGGGTGGTGGTTGGGCGCCATGCCACCGCCCGGGGCCCTGTGGTCTCTGGCCCCCGGGGGAGCGGGCGTGGCAGGCCTTTCTCCTCCGCGGTCTGCGGACTGCCCCCTCCCCGAGCCTGCCCGGGCCTGCTCAGACCTGCCTCTCGAGGGTGAGGCGGCGACAGGCAAACAGGGTGGCTAATCAGAGCAGAGCGCTGCCAGCTTCCAACGGGAAGTCCGCCCCGCCCGCCATCGGGCCCGGGGCTCCGCTCCTCACGGGGCAGCCAGCACGTGCGGGCCCCCCCCACCCCCGGGGCGAGGGCAGAGCCGCTGCCCGGGGGAGGGACCACTTGCGGGTGCTGTGCGGTGCCCCGTGCTTGGCGGCGGGTGGGGTCGGCAGTCTGGGCTGCAGTGGCTGGGTGAGGACAAAGGCGCCGGCTTTTCTGGTCTGCGTTTGTGTCCTGTGTCTCTGACCCTCCAAAGAACGCCCCCCACGGTGGGGGCTGAAGTTCTGCGCACCAGCCCGGAGAGCGCAGCGGCTCCTGAGGGCCGAGTAGCCTGCCCCGGGCGCCAGCGGGCGCGCGGTGTGTCCAGGAGTCAGGCCTCTCCGCCACACTCCGCTGCGGAGTGCCAGGGGGCAGAGGGAGGGCTGCCCCGTGGGCTCTTCCAGCTGAGGAGCCCCCCCCTGTGACTCTCCCAGTCCGGGGTGGTTCAGCCTGGCCCTGGGGACCCGCCAGGGCCACCAGCTCCCGCTGCCTGGCTTCGGACCCTGCTGGGACCCTGGAGTGGGGACAGTGGCCAAGCCTGGGGACTGGAGCTGGACTGGACACCCCCAGGAGCATCGGCCACGCCAGGCCACCCCCGCCCCCAGCGGCCCCTGGTCCCCGTGTGGGGGACAGACAATGGGAGGGCGCCAGGCCCACTCACACCTCTGTGGGTGGGGGAGGAACTTCCTCAGCGAGTGTCAACCTCAGAAACCTCCAGACCTGTAAGAATTTTTGTGAATTTATTTCACCCAAACGGATGGCAATTGCCGGGAAGTGACACCTCAGCGGGCGCAGGAAACGGGCTGCAGAGTTGGCGGTTTTGCACCTTATTCTGTACGTTAACGGTCAGAGGAAGAGCCGCAGGGGCTCACGTGACCCTGGCCGGTGCTGGACGAGGGAGGCGGGAAAGGCCGAGGGGGCCTCTGGGGCTGGATGAAGTCGTGCGTCTTCCACACGGGGGGGGCGGAGCCGACGGTCAACCACAAGCACGCGGACCCTAAGGTGAGGGGTCGTGGGCCCCCTCCCCTTGGGACGTGGCTGCCCCCAGGGACCTGCCCTTCATTTCAGACCGTCCCGCGTGGCTCCTTCGGTCTCCGAGGGTGTAAAGCCGCCACGCAGGCCGCCCCTGAGCTGGTCAAGTTGGTTTGTGGCCCCTCTTTGTCCACGAGACAGTGGCATCGGGGTGGGCGGCCGGTGGGGTCCGCATGGGGCTGGGGCTTGGTGAGCAGCGCTGCAACCTGCAGGGGGCGCTCCTCTACCCCAGCTGTGGCCTCCGCTGTGTGGCCCGCCCTGGGCCTTGTCCTGTGGGACCCGTGGGCGAGGGGGAGGGTGCAGCCCAGCTCAGAGACAGCAGCACCCCAGCAGGTGCGAGAGCCCGCGCAGGGCAGGGTGGCTGCGGCCAGAGCAGCCGGGGGCTGGACGTCCGCAGAGGTCTCGGCGGGGCGAGGGAGGTTCCGAGGCCTCCGGGAGGCGCGTGCCCTCCGGACCTGGGGCCGCGTCTGGGAGCCTCGCCGTGAGGCTGCTGGGGGGCGGCAGGGACGGGACCCACCTCGGTCCCTGCCGAACTTCCCGCCAGTGGGAAGGAAGAGCACCAGGCCCTGCGTCTGGAGGGGCCGCCCCACCACGGCCTCCCCGAGCGACTGCCCTCTGCCCTTTCAGGAGCAGGCCCAGGGGGACTCTGACGTGGGGGCTGGAGGGTCGGGGCGGGGCGGTGGCCCTTCAGGACAGGGGTCAGGCCTCTGCCCGGTGGGATGGCGCTGGCTGGGCTTGTGCGCTTGGCAAGGCTACTGAGGGTTTCTGCCTGGGTGTGGGGGGGCTCTGGGAACCCAAGGGGGGCGAGCAGTCTTTGCCTGTCCCCTCAGCTGTCCAGTCTTTGAGGGCGGGGGACACCTCGGTCCCTCCCTTACGGTGTCCCTCGCTCCCAGGAACCCAGCGCGTCGCAGGGACATGCCTGTGCCCACAGCTCTGCTGGAGGGCGGCTTGCCCAACCCCGGGACAGGGCCTGCCTGGAGGCGGGGTGCCAGCCTCCCCCCACCAGCCCGCCCCACAGGCAGGACAGGGGTCCGAGCCTCACAGGCTAACTCCAGCCTCCTGCCCCAGGCCCCTGGACCACACCTAGTGACCGAGGCAGATGAGCTGCGTCCGCAGCCAGCACCCCCTACTGCCGGCAGTACTTGGGCTGCCCCCCGGGCCGGGCCAGGAGCGCCCCCTGCTGGGGCGGCTCCATCCGGGACGTCACTCCGGGGGGCTGCAGTGGAGCAGGGCCGCCCACGAGTTTCTGTGCGACGTTTGTGTCACAGGGCACCGACCCGGGGTGGCAGCGGGGAGCCCGGCCCCCTCTCCCTGCTTGGGCTGCAGACTCCTCTTTCTCTGGGGCTGCTCCCCTCAGGAAGGGGGGCCTTCAGGGCAATTAATTCCTAATGAGAGCTCCTGACCCCCTCGGCCACTCCGTGACTGCTCCCTGCCTGGTCACCAGCTCAGGGGTGACCAGGGGCCCGCAATCACCAGGGGGCGCCGAGGAGAGGTCTTGGGTCACCCATGGTTGCATTGTGGCTGGGGCGGGGCCGGGACTTGAACCAGCTGTCCTCCTGGGGGCCCCGCTGACCACAGAGCCTTGGGCCTCCCCCCAGCGCTGCCCTGCCAGGGTCCCCAGAAAAGTGACGGGGAGGCTGCTGGAGGCAGCCCGAGCAGGCCTGGGGTCCTGGTGCTAGGGCAGCTCTGGCTGCTTTCTCTGTGAGCAGAAGGGGCCCCGCGCACCTGCCGGCCAGGGAGAGCTGAGGGGCCACGCCCTTCCCCACCCGCTGCCCCCGACCAGCCCCAGGCAGCCGGACGGCGGCGGGGGCTCCCGGAGAGGCGGCTGCTGTTTCTGTGCTGGAGTCGGGGCCTGAGCCCTCGGGCCCCCTTTGGGCGGCCAAGCCTCTGGGCCTCTGGTGGGCCCCTTTCTCCTGCGCCTGACCGGAGCCGCGAGCCCGGCCCCAGCCCTGGCCGCTCCCTGACCACACGCAGCAGCCCCGGGAGGACTGGGGGGGTGGGGGGCGCTGCCTGGCGCCCCAGCGGGGGCTCACAGGGCCGGTTGCTGAGTGACACGGGGTTATTGTGCTGTCACGGGCCACCTGGAATTCTCTCCCGCCCCTCCGAGAGGCAGCTTGTTAGGAAGCCCCCCAGGCAGTTACCAGCCCAGGGCCTGGCAGCCCACCGCGCCCGCCCCGTTCCATGACCATCCTTACGCTTTCCACTGTGGGCGGGGCGCCGGGACCGGCCGGCAGCCCAGCGGGGCGGCGGCCAGGCCACCTGGAGCAGGAATGGACGCCGGCAGCTGGCCCTGAGGCTGCCCCGTGAACGCGGCCGTGTCCATCTGCCTGGGTGCGATGGCCCAGCCTCACCCCAGAGACAGCCGGGGGTGCTGCCGCCTCTGCCCCGGGGCCCCCGGGGGACTGGCGGACATGAGGGCTGGCACCAGGCCCAGGTAGCGTCCGCACCCACCTAGGTGCGCGTCGCCGCGCCCGGCACGGCCTCCCCCGGAGGGTGGTTGCGTCACCGTGAGGGGCGAGGACCTGGGGCCAGAGTGCCCCTGCCCTGGGCCTCTGCCCCCAGCCTCAGTTTCCCTGCCTTCAGGCCAGGCTGCTCCTGGTGCCTGACAGAAGGGTTGAGGTCAGGGTTTTTTCTGGAGAGAGGGTGCCGCGGGACTGCCGTGCACGGGGGCATTTTCCTGGCCCCCCACACCCTTCTCAGCCCACGTGCAGGGGCCCAGGGAAGAGCTCGGGAGCAGCAGGGTCCCTGGACGACGGAGGGCGCGCTGTGCGATGTGCCACCCTGTCTGCGTCTCCCCGCAGGGCAGACGGGCCGCGGTCCTCTGCAGCCAAGAAGGGCCTGGCGGCGGCCCTGAGGAGGCCCGGGCCCTGTGAGCAGCCAGGCGCCCCGAGGGGCGCTCCCTTCGTGGCCTGGTCCGACCACCTCGAGAGGCCGGGTGCCCTGGGGAAGGCCGGCTGCTACCCGCTGTGGACAGCAGGCAAGGAGGGCAAGGATGGGGACAGCTCGGTGTCATCGGGCCGTCTCTCTGGCTCCTCCGGGGGCCACGAGTCGTGTGCCCCTCCGCACGGGCTCTGGACGGAGAGGCCCCCGCAGGTGCTGGGGTGCCCGCGGCTGCACAGGGACAGCAGCCCGCGGCTGGAGCAGCTGAGGGACAAGATCCGGGCCCAGGTTCGGTGGCAGGGCAGCTGCGCCTCCCTGGGCACCTCGATGCCCTCCAGCGCCTCACACCTCCACAAGGCCTCCATGCCGGCCCCCCGGCAGAAGGTCCAGAAGCTGAAGAAGGCCCCTGCGGCCCCGGCCTACCCAGGTCAGTGGCAGATTTTCCTGGGGGCGGGGGGGGGGCGGGAGAGCTGCGCTGGGAGCCTGGGGGGACCCACCCGGGGGCAACGCAACGCGTCCTCTGGGCCCAGAGTCTGCAGCCTTGCGGCGGGGGCTCTGGGTGGGGCTGGCTGATGGGTATCGCGGTCAGGTACGTGGGGACGCACGCCAGGGACCCCTGGGCCAGCTTGCAGGGGATTCCGGAGGGCCTCGAAGACACAGGGTGCGTGCCCCACACCTTGGCCTGGGGTTCAGAGGCGAGGGAGAGGGTGGGAATTCAGAGAACCCTCCAAGCACAGTGCCCCCCGTTGGGCGGACGGGAGGGGTGTGGCCCTGGGACCCTCTCACTGGGCAGGCGCGCCACTCTTTATAGGAGGCAGGGGGATTTTTCTGTTAAAATCACTTTTAAGGTAATATCTTTGTTTAAAACAACTGTAAAATACACATAACACAGGCTGTCCCCACCCCGGCTCGGGGCACACACGGCTCAGTGGCAGCAGGGACAGTCCCACCGCTATGCAGCCGCCGCCGCCACCGTCCTCTCCAGGACGGTCCGTCTTCCCACACGGACGCCCGGTCCCCGTGAAACCCCACTCCCACCCCTCCCCCCGCCCAGGCCCCCACCTCCTACTGTGACTCTGCCTCCCCTAGGTCCTTACAGGAGTAGAGTCCCACAGGATTTGTCCTTTCTCGTGGGTCCGGGTCTTGAGGTCCCTCCGGCCGGGAGGTGAGGGAGCTGAGGCCCGAGGCCGGACCTGGCTGCACCAGAGGCCCGAGAGCCCTTCCGGCCGGTCTCCTCCCCTGGGGAGACCTGGTGGGCCCCGCCCGCTCTCTCGCACTCACTGGCTTGCTGGCTGTCCCCTCCAGTCCACCACGGTGGGCCTTGGATGGCCTCTGCCCTCTCTGGGTCTCCATGCCCCCCTGACGGCCCAGCCAGGGGTGGACCCAGCCATGCAACGTCCCCTCCGACTCTGACTCTCACTCCTCGTCTCCCAGGGGGCCAGCTGCTCTGCCCTGGGTTCACCCAGGGGCCAAGTCGGTCACTTACTCACTCAGCAAACATGAGCTCCGAGACCTAGCCCCGAGTTGGGTGCAGATGAGACCGGAGGCTGTTCCTGTCCTCTGGGGCTCTGGGCCACCAGACACTTAGAGTCTGTGGAGAGTCAGGGAGGGTGTGGTGAGCCCAGCCCTGCCAGGGGGTGGCCCTGGCAGCCACGCCCGCCCCCTCAAGCCCTGGGCTCAGCCATGCACGCTGGCACGCAGGCCCAGGGAGCGGGCGGGACCGCTGTGGGACCCGGTCGGGGGCTCCTGCTCGTGCGTCACTGCTTACCTTCCCCGCTCCCCGCCTCTTCTCTCCCTGAAGTTCCACGGGAAAACCCCAAAAGCATGAAAAGTTGTTCTTGTAAAAGAGAGAAGCCCTCCGCATGGTGCGCCCGAAAGGCTGCCAAAGACAGGGGTGAGTCTGGTGCCTTCGGGGCCGGCAGGGCTCGGGGACCTGAGCCCGCGGTCTGGCCCCCTCGGCGGGGCGGGGGGCGCGTGGTTTCCCGTGCAGGGCGGCTGGCCGCCGGCACCTGTTCGACTGCCCAGCGTGTGGGGTGCAGGGGGCCTCTGGGGTCACCAGGGGTCGGGCTCGAGTTGGGGGGGCTCTGCCGTGCCTGGAGGACCTCGGGCGACCGTGGAGCCTGGCTGTGTGTGGGGGGCCGCCCTCGCAGGGAGCTGCCCCTTGTGACGAAGGGCGAGTCCACGAAGCCCCCTGTTCTGCCCCAGAGGCCCTTGGCCACGCTCTCACGCTCCTCACGCACGCTCACATGCGTCTGCCCGCCACACGCGTGGCAGTCAGGCGTGCCTGCTTTCTCCTCGCACGGCGTCGCGCAAGGCACTCCCGAGGGCCCGCCCCCTCGGGCGTCGGGAGGACCCGCTGCCGGGGTGGGCTCCCCGACCCACCTGGTTTGGGATTTGGAATTCCAGGTGGCAAACCCACCTGAGCGCTGGTGGGGGGGTGGGGGCTAGGCTTCGGGCTTCGGCAGGGCAGGTGCGTTTATCCGGCAGACGAGAGGTGATGGGGGGGCAGGCGGGGGCCCCCCACTCCCACGGCAGAGGGAGGGATGCGGGGAGACATGGAGAAGGTGCCGGGAGCCGTGCTGAAAACGCACGAAACACAACAGTGGTCCGCGTTGCCGTCTCCGCCGGCCCTCCGCTTCTCTGCGGCTTGTTTTATTCTGACGGCTCGCTTGAAAAATGACCTGCTTCGGGCCCGCCGCCGGGTCAAAGGGCGTGCCACGGGCCGCATTCATCATCGTCACGGCCGTGTCACCCCGGCGGCGCTGACCATTCGTCCCTGTCAGCGGCGCCGTCACAGCCGGACTAAGGAGGGATGAGCGTGGGTTCAGAGGTCGGAGCCGCGGGGCTGGGGGGAATTGGACGAATTAGAAATCTGCTGCAGTTAACAAAAAATTAAATCACAATAGTTATAAAATATTCATTCATCCGGCCAGGGGAAAATGAAGCCCGATATTTAATTTCGGGCGGCAGCACCTCGCTCTGCATTTTTTATCATAGATTAGGCCGGCCCCGGGACTCCGACGGGGGGCACCTGGGGACTCCATCCATTTCCGCAGATTAAAAATCCTCTCGTAAAAAAATTAATTGCCATTAAACTGCTCGGCAGAAGGGAAAAAATGTGCCCGTCAGGACCCATTTATTGACCCGGGCCCTCTGGCAGGCTAATGGGGAGGCTGAGTGCCCGGCACAGGGGGGGGGGGCCTGTGGGCGGGGGTGCTGCCCCGGCCTGGCCAGCGGCAGCCCCCTCCCCGCCCGGGGCGGCCCGGCCCGGTGCCCCCAGCGCAGGGAGCTTGCCCTTTCTCCTGCGGCCCAGCAGCAGCAGCAGCAGCAGGAGCCGGCCGGACGGCGCGGGGTCTCCGGGAGTCCCACCCCCTGGGCCCCCTCTGAGCCCAGATCTGGCCTGGGGGCCGTCCCAGCCTGTGACTCTGCCCCGAGCCGGCGGGGTCCCGACCCTCCCGGGCTCAGCTCCTGCAGTGGCTGCCTTTTTGCCCGTGTGGCTCTGTGGGCAGACGCTCACAGTTGAGGAAACCGAGGCGCAGAGAAGTGAAGTCGTTTGCCCAAGGAAGGCCCGAAGCGTGTCGTGGGCAGAGCCAGAATTTAAAGGCCAGGCCTGGGACTCCCGAGACCAAGCTCTGAGCCCCCAGGGTCCCCGGGGGCCCAGGGGTGCAGGGGGGTGGGGGCGGCAAGCGTGTCCCGGGGTGGGCCTGGCTGCCCAGCCTGCCCCAGAGAGGCATGGCTCAGGGAGGACTCAGCTCTCGGGGCCCGTGTTTCTGGAGGGATGTGGCTTTACAGGGGGCGTGGCTTCAGACACAGCAGGGCCTCGGGGTCCTGTTCCAGAGAGGGCATGGCCTGTGCGTGGCCTCAGGGGTCCCTCCTGGGGGCACAGCCCCTACGGCAATGGCCCCGTGTGGCCCTTCCTCTTCCGGAACCCCCCGCTTCGGGCCTGTGGCTGACGACTCCGGGTCTGGGCCATCAGGGGGCCAGGTCCAGGCCTGTGTCCGGTCGCCTGCCCCCGGGGTCAGTTCCCGGGTGGTCTTTGCTGTGAGGCCCCCTCGGGTGTTGGGAATGCCCCCCTTCGTGGCGGACGGGGCAGCTTTTGGCCTGGATGGTCTTCTTCTCCCTTGGTCTGCCCGGGCTGGGCCTGGGGGTGGGGCAGAGCATGTCTGTGCGTGCATGCCTGTGTCATGTGTGTCCACACATCTCCGCGTGCCTGCACATGTGTCCACGTGCATCTGTGCATCTGTCTGTGTGCATCTGTGTGTGCACGTGTCTCCATGTGCACACATGCCTGTGTCCTTGCATCTCTGGGTGGGTGTATGTGTGTGTTCGTGTGCACATCTGTGTGTGCTTGCTGTGTATCTGTGCATCTGTGTGTCTGCACATGTGTCCGCATGCATCTGTGTGCTTTGCACACATGTCTCTGTGAGTACATGTCTGTGCACCTCTGCATGCGTGTTTCTGTGCACACACGTGCATGTGTATTCATGTGCCTCTGGGTGTGTGTGCTTACATGTGTGTCCACATGTGCACGAGCATGTGCCTGTGGGTGTGTCTGTGCACATGTGTCCGTGTGGGTCCCGGCGTGCATGCATGTGTCTCTGTGCGTGTGTGTGCGTGTGCCAGGAAACGTTGGGCTCGGCACCGGCCTCCACGGGGCCTGGCGGGCGGCTGCGCGGCGATGGCGGGGCTGCTGTGGCACTCGGCACGAGTGACCAGGGTTGTCAAGCAGCGCCTGGTACGTGACGTGTATCCTGCGGCCGCACCCACTCAGGAAAGCATGCCCGCGCCGGGATGCCTTCTCGGTCCCCTCGTGCTGCCAGCCTGGCATCTCGGTGGGCCCCCCACCCCGACTGTCACCGAGCCTCGCCCCCCTACAAACAGATGCATCGCCTTCAGCTCCCTGCCGCCCACCAGCTGTGAGGTGGCCCTCCCCCGGCCTTGTGTGCGCTGGAGGCTTGCTGTCACCGGCTGGGGCCTGGGGGTGAGGCCTGGCCCCAGAGGGGCCCGGCCCCGAGGGACTCGCCCTGGTCCCCGTCCCGGGGCCACCCTCGGGCCCCAGCACCCACCGTGTGTGTGTTCTCTCCGCTCAAGAGTCCGAGCTGGTGGGCGCCCATGCCTGGAGGAAAGGACAAGCGCTGGCGCGGGGGCTGCTCGGGCCCCCGCCTGCCCTCCCCAGGCTCCGGAGCACGGCAGCCTCCGGGGAGACGGCCCACCCCGCCGAACCAGGTACCTGTGCCTCCGCCCGGCTCTGCTGGGGCCCTGGGGCTGGGGGCAGGCCCCACGCCTCGGGGGAAGGAGGCGGCACTGGGTGCCGGAGCGGCTGTCTGTCCCAGTGACCTGTCAGGCACCCTCTGAGCCCCCCACGGACAGGGGACTTGGGGAAACTGTTATGTTTAAAAGACTAAGGGCAGGATTTCCGTCCCCAAGAGGCCCCTTTGGGCCCTGGGAGGCGGGGCACAGCCGGCCAGGCTTTCCAGGCACAGGGAAGAAGGGGCTTCTCCAACGGACCCCAACACCCAGCCTGTGCTGTCCTCACCAGGCGCCCAGCAGAGCCTCGAGTCACCCCGATGGGGCACCTGCCCCCGGGGGCTTCTGATGAGTGCAGGGGCCACGAGGGGCTCCGTGGGGCATGGGGCCGGGGGGCCTCTGGTTGGGGGGCTGGCTCTGCTCCCCCGTGACTGCCTGTCTGTCTTCGCAGGGGACACCGAGAAGGCAGGAGCTGCCAAGAGCCACCCTGTCCGCCCCCGGACGCCCAGTCCAGCCGCTACGCGCAGGCACCCGCAGGTGCCTCCCAGCTCGCCCCTCCAGGCGCCCTGCAACCCAGCTGTGACCATCCAGTCGGCTCTGGCCATCCTTCAAGACCTGCGCCGGCAGATCCAGGCAGGGCTGGAGTTGGCCCGGGGCCACCAGCTCAGGCGAGGGTGTGAGCAGCGGCCGTCACCGTGGTGCCGGCAGGAGCCGGCGGGGAGGAGGCCCCGGGACCCCTGTGGGGCCCCAGACCCGCGGAGCTCCTTCTCCGAGAGTCCCTGGGTCCCCACAAGGGGGACGCCCTCCTCCTCAGAGAGGGCTGGGGGCGTGCCCGCCGGGCAGCGCTGGAGAACCTTGGCCCGGTGGGAGTCCTATCCGCAGAGGACCTGGTGGACGCCAGGACAGGACGCAGCTTTCCAGAGGCCTGGGAGTCCCCGAGAAAGGCTGGGCTGCTTCCCTCAGCGGCCCTGGAGCGCCTCGGCCGGGCGGAGGGCCTGGGCCACGCGAGATGGCTGGGAGGCCCCCGCCCGAGGGCCGCGGAGCCCCCTGGAAGGGCCAAGCCCTGCCTCCCAGCGGCCCTGGAGCGCCTCCCTCACAAAGTGGGCTGGCAGCCCGTGCAAGGGCGCCCCGCTGCCCCCCTCGGGAGCAAAGGAGGCATGGCTCGGGCCTGCCCAGAGCACCCTCCAGATGGCGCCCCGGAAGGACAGTGAGGCGCCGCCGCCGCCGCTGCCCTGCCCGAAGACCCGGGGGCTCCTGGGCCGCCCCTACAGCCCCGCCTCCTTGCGAGAGTTCATGCACCAGAAGGCGCTGGCGCGGCGGCAGCAGGCCCTGGAGGAGAAGGCCTCGGCCGTGCGGGCGCTGGAGCGGAGGAACCAGAGGCTGCAGGACGTGTACCGGAAGCAGAGGGAGGCCGTCCTGGGCAAGGCCGGCCCCGTCAAGGCCGGCCCCGTGGTCTCCCAGACCAACCCCAGCATCGTGACCTTCGTCCCACACGCGGCACAGTGCAGGGTGCGCACCGGGGACGGCCGGGGTGTCGGCCCGCTCAGCCACGGCCTCCGCTCTCCGGAGTCTCCAGGCGCCTGCCTGCCTCCCTGGGGGTGACGGGGCTCCAGAGGGACCCCGTTGCCTCCGTACCAGCCCCTAAAGAGGAGACCCCGGGGAGGCCGGGGCCAGCTCCGAGGCCGACAGTGTCCGGTCTTCCGGCCTGGGGAAGGGCTCTGACCGCACTCCCCACCCCGTTCCAGGACCAGGAGGCGCCCGGGAGCCTGGGGTCACCCGTTATGCAGTGGAGCAAGGTGACTTCCGGCATGGTGCTGGGGGACCAGGAGGCCCCGGGCAGGTGGGTGTGCAGGTGCGGGGCTGCCCTTCCTGGGCAGGGCTCCTGGGGCGGGGCGGCTCCCTGGGCCCTGAGCCACACAGAGCCGGCGAGTTCCTGGAGCTGAGAGTCACACCACGTAACAGCCACCATGACAAGGGACCGAGTCAGGGGCATCAAACGCCTTCACTGTGCAGCCCGGACCTCTGTCCAGTCCCAGAAGGTTTCGCGCGGGCCCACGGGCAGCCCTTCCCGGTTCCCCGCTGGCCGCCCTCAGGCGCTTTCTGCCCCCCTGGCTTCGTGGGCTCTGGACCGTTCCGACGTGGGACCCGACAGCCCGGGACCCCCGGGGCCTGGCTCGTCTCCACGAGCACGTTTTCCGGTTCGCCCGCACTGCGCCCGGTGTCGGGGCTCCCTTCCTTCTGAGGGCCGAGGGGCATTTCGCCATGGGGGGGGGGGCCCCACACCTGGCTCCCTGTCCCTCTGCCTGTGGGCGCTGGGGCTGCGCCCGCCTTTGGCTGCTGCGGGGAGCTCCGCCGTGAACGTGGCTGGGCAGTAGCTCTCGAGACCCAGCCGTCCGTTCTCTGTGGGGTGCCCGGGGGTGGGACTGCCAGCCCGTGTCTCCCCGAGTTCAGTCGAGGGGGAACGCCCCCCTGCCGCTCTCCACGGTGGCGGCCCCCTCTCCTGGCGCTGCCGACGTCTCTGCGTCCTCGCCCACTCTTCCCCGCGTCCACCGCGGCGGGCGGCGCAGCCCTGTGGCCGTCAGCTGGGATGTCCCCCAGCTCTCACTTGCGTTTCCCTGGTGACGGTGACGGAAGTACCTCGCCTCGTGCCCCTCGGCCGACTCCGTGTCTTTGCAGGGGGAAGCGGCCGAGGTCCTTTGCCTGGTTTGGGGTGGAGTTGTTCTTTAAAAAGAGTCTGGATCTCAGCCCCGAGCACAGACACGGTCTGAATTTTCTCCCCTCCCCGAGGGGGTCTTTTCCCTCTGCTGACTGTGGCCTTCCACCCACAGTCCGGTGCCCCTGTGTCCTGTGTGGCCTGTTTTGGGGGTCACAACCGAGAAACCACCGCCGGCTGTCCCGGCTCTAACAGCTGTGTGCGGCCGTGGGGGCGCACCATGATGCACGCACGCTGTGGACACGCCCTGGGTCTGTCATGGGAGCGCCGCCAGGCTCACCCCCCGCACACGTGTGTCCCACACACGCCCAGAGGCTCTGAGCCTGACCCCTGCGCCCTCTGTCCTCGCAGCTTCTGCCTGTGTCTGAATGGAGCCTTGGACGGCGCCGAGCCCCTGGACACAGCCGGCCCCCCGGAAGGCTGGCAGGGCACGCCCCTGTGGAGGTCGGCCAGCCCCGCCCTGGGCCCCCCGGGGCTCCGGGACCTGGCCGCCCAGCACCCGTGCCCGGGGCTGTGCATCTACCTGGACCCCGAGGAGGCCCAGCGCCTGGGCACGCCGGGCCCCCTGCACTTCCGGTACAAGCAGGCCCGGCTGCAGGCCCTGGAGACCATGGCCAACATCCTGAAGCAGCGGATCGACCTCCTGACGGCCAAGCTGCTCGGGTCCGAGGCGGCGGACGCCCCCGGGGGCCTGGCCTCGGACCCGCCACCCTTGTGCCCCGGCACCGCAGCCCCCGCACCGGCCACACCGGCCTGCCCCAGGGCCCTGGTGCCCGACGGGGGCAGAGGGGCCCCCTGGGACGTGCCGGCCAGGCTGCTGCCGTCTCCCGCCAGCTTCCCGGACGGCGAGGCGCTGCTGTGGAGCCCCGGCCGGCCCCGAGGTAGGGCCGGCACCGGGCCACGGCGACCGCCGGCCCAGGGGGCAGTTAAGGGAGCCCCACTTTCTCCATCTCTCAGTATCTTCTCCCCAAGGGGGGACACCGTGACAATATCACAGTTGTCGTCACCGAGGAGGTGACGTAGGTGACAGTCCTGGCCCCGGGCATGGCATGTACTCCGTTTCCCATCAGTCACAGCTGTTGTCACCGGCCCGGCTCTGGCCGGCCAGACGGCGAGGCTGCGGGGACCCTCCTGCTGCAGGGTGGGCGCCCCCTCGCACCCCTCCCCCACCACAGCCCCTGCCCTTGTGCCGACGACCCCCGGCAAGCGTGGGCCTGGTGCCCGTCTCTCCAAAGGTCTCGTGGAGGACAGCTGTTCAGAGCTGGACAAGAGGCTGGCGAGAAACATGGCTTCCTTCCAGGCCCTCCGCCCCTTGGCCGGGAGGTAAGCCCCAGGGCCCCCGGCTTGTCCCTGTGCCGTGAGCTGGGAGCTGCTCCTTGCACCCCCAGGGCAGGGCCCCTGCTTCTGAAGGCCGGGAGCCTGGCAGGGCGCAGCCGGGCCTGCAGGCGGGGGGGAGTGGTGGTGACACAGCTCCTGGGCCACCTGTGCTGCTGGGACGCTGGCAGGCGGTGGCTCTGACGCCCCTGCGGCATGGCTGTGTGCCGAGGGCCCCGACCCGATGCCCCGCTGGTGCGCGAGCAGGTCCCAGGATGCACCCTCTCCCCACGCTCCCCGCCTCGGTTCCAGGCCCCAGGGGACACGGTCGGCCCCACTCTCCTGTGTCATCGGTGTGACTCGCAGGTTGAGTGTGTCCAGGGCACCCTGACGCCGGTGCGCCTTCGTCCTGGTCCCACGTCCGTGTCTATAAGTTCGCAGGACCACCTGGCCACAGACCCTCGCACTTTCTGGGGGCTTCCATCCCCAGCGCTGGCTGTGGCCTTCTCCGGGGGCCACTTGACACAGGTCCAGGGGGCTTTTGCAGGACAGCCGCCGCCTGGCTGACGTGGGACCCTCCCCGGGCCGCCATGCTCTCTGGCCCTCTGGGGTGCCTGCACACTTGTGGTCTGAGGGGCCCCCGCTGCAGCCCCAAGAACTGTTCTTCAGCCCACTGCCTACCCAGCGTCTCCCGGCGGGTCCCCCACCACCTTCCTCAGCAGCCAGCCCTGGCACCCCCCAGTGCCCTGCCCCACCCAGCCCTCCTCCCCGGCACACCGCATGGCCCTGCGGGCTCTTGGACCGGCTCCTGCCCCTCTCACCTCTCCACTTTGAGACCGAAGCACCCCAGGCCGTGGTCCCCAGCCCGGCCTGGACCAGCCCCTTCCCCTTGCGTGGCCCTGTGTCCTCTGGGACCCCAGGCTTGACGGGTCAGAGCCCAGCCCAGAGGGCGCAGGCGGGCGGGCAGTCTCCAGGGGGCTGGCCGTGCCTGTTGTCAGTATCAGCCAGAGCCCGCCGGGGCCCCCTGAGACCGACGCCGGGGGCCCCTCACTACCCACTCGGCTGGCCTGTCCCAGCTTTGCACCCGGCGTCGGGGCCTCGGAGGGTGTGGTTCATTAACAGAGACCTGCCAGGGAGGGTGGGGGCTGCGGCTGGGGCAGCGTGGAGCCAGGAATGCAGGTGGGACAGTTCCGTCTCTGCGGAGAAGGGGTGGTCCCAGACACCCCCTCCCCAGTGGACTCGGGGGGTGGGGGGTGAGGTGTCAGTGTGGAGCCCAGGTCTGTGAGCAGTCACACCCGCCCCCTGCCGGCCTCAGAGTCTTCCCTGGGACACGGGAGGGGTGCCCGGCGCCTCCTCCGCCCAGCACCTCCCCCCGGAATCCCCAGCCGCCCTGCCTTCCTGAAGCCCCCTGGACCTCACCAGTGGGGGGTTCGGCGTTGGTCCTTGGGGGCAAGACTTGCTGCCTTCCCCACCCACCTGCTCAACAAGTCGGTTCAGTTGGGGAATCGAGTCGTTGCCACCAGTAGGGGGCAGCATTGGGCTGCACGACTCCACTTTGGTAGCTCCGGCGTGACTTCTCCTCCAGTCCTTGTGGGGGGTGTGGGGGGAGAACCCGGAGAGGTTAGCGGGCACCCGACATCTGCACCCAGCCGCAGAAGGCTGCTGAGCCGAGGCCCGAGGCTTACGGCCTCCAGGGCCCCCACCCCCGGCATTCCCACCTGCAGCCCTCCCTCTGCCCCCTCCCCCAAAGCCCTGACCAGGTGCCCCAGGCACAGGCGGAAGTCGTCCACGAGGTGGCCCGATGACCCAGCGCCCTGGAGCGTGGGTGTCCGAGCCCAGGGCCTTGCTGGCCCCTTGAGCGGCCAGGAAAGGTACCTGGGCTGTCGTCCCTTGTCGACCAGCAGTCACCACTCACAGCTTCACAGCGCTGCCGCTCTGTGGCCGCACCCCTGGTCACCCCTCCCGCGGCCCAGATCCAGGGGCGGAAGTCACAGTCTGCTCTGGGCCCACTGTCTGAGTCAGAGAGGACGGTGACCTCTCTTACCCTGCCCTTTCCCCATGGGGACCGTGGCTCCGTGGGGGGCAGAGCCAGCTTGTCCCCGGTGTCACACGCTGAGGACGCCAGGCTGGGCCCCCAGATGCCCGTGCACCTGGCATCTCGGGAGGGAGGGGGTGCCCAGGCCCCACAGGCCCCTGCGCCCCCGGGAGAGGTGTTCGCAGCCTGCTGTACAGACGGGGAACTGAGGCTCGGAGAGGGGGGACTTTGCCCGGGTCACACGGCCCGTGGGAGGGCAAGCCGGGATTCGGAGCAGCAGGGCCTGGGCGCGGGTGCCCATGGGTTTCCCAGCCCGCCCACCCTCTGGTCCACGGCTCTCCACGGCCCCCCACGGTCCCCCGGAACCGGCTGGAAACACACAGTCCCCGGCCCAGGGGCCTCCTGAGCCCGAGACTCTGGGGTGGCAGCAAGTCCTCTGGCCGGTGCAGGCGCACACCGAGGCCTGAGGTCCACCGGGGGCCGGCCACCAGACAGCCAGACACAGCCCCCGCGGCCCAGCGCCTGTCCCTGCAAATGAGGCTTTCTTGGTGCAGGGCCGCGCTCACTCTCACGGAATGGGGGGGGCCCGCGCCCGTGCTGCTGCAAGGGCAGGCCGGGGTCCTTCCCACAGGGCCAGGGACCTCGGGGCCCCGCTCTAGACAGTTGGGGGTGACACTGGCTCACTGGTTGGTGGCTATTGGTGGCATCCCTTTAACCAAGCCTTGGCGGAGATGGCTCCCTCCTGCCACCCGCTGCTCTTGTTGGCAGGCAGGGCTGGCATCCGAGTCCAGGGTCGGGAGGAGGGAGCGAGAGAGATCTGGAGAGGACCCCGCAGGGTGCCCCCCCTCCTCGCCCCTCATGTGAGGCCCTGCCCCCCAAGAGTGGGGGCCGCCCCCACCCCGACACCCCCAGGTCATCCGCCCATTGCCTCCCTGGCATCTGCCTCCTCAGCCCCAGGGCCGCTCACTCTTTCCAGAACACTCTTTTCCACATCATCTCCCCCTGTGAGTCCGTCAGCTGTGGGGGCGGGGGCCGGGCCCGGCCACCGCCTTCCAGAACAGCAGCTGGCACACGGCAGGGGCCTGACACACACCTGTGGCCTCCGGGCCGCAGCGGCTGCTGGAGGAGAGCCAAGCCCCGGCCCCGTCTCCATGGCCACGGGTCACTCAAACGGGCCCTGGGTTGCCGTGTGCCGGGAAGGCCGGGCCATGCACCCTGGGACACAGGCCCGGTGCCCAGGGCAGGTTGGCCTTGTGGCAAAGGGCACCCAGATCCGGTGCCCAAGGTGACTGTAGAAGCCGCCCCTCGGTTGCCTGTGCTCCCCCGGGGCTGCCGTCCCCCCGGGTCTGCATGTAGAGAGCCCCGAGTCCCTGCTCCTCAGACGAGGCCCCACCTAGCGGGGGGACCCGCGGGTGTCAGCCTCCGCAGGCCCCACCCGCACGCTGCCCTCCCGGCCCTCTGGGCGCAGGCCCTTCCCTCGCAGCCCTTCACCCTCGGGTCCCAGCCCGGGCACTGCGGGAGTCAGAGGGCCCCTCGGGCCGCGGAGCCCTGGACCCCCCCCACCCGCCCCTCCATGCTCACGTGTGTGTTTGTGTCCCCAGCTCACCTGGGGCGCCAGCGCCGCCGGACCCCACCTGCGGCTCCCTGTGGCTGGAGGAGACGCCGCCGCCACCGCCGCCGTGGGCCGGAGGGGCAGGCTCGGCCACGCCCTGGACCTCGCGGAGCTGCGGTAAGGGCGAGCCTGCCGGCTGGCTGGTCGGGGCGCCGGGGGCGCCCGGCGGGGACCCCCTCCACGGTCTGGCGCTCCGGCGAGGTGCCGTGGGGGCAGAGAGACCCTGCTCTCGGTGGAGAGCGCCCACGTTTCAGTATTAAAGTGTTTTGGAGGCTTTCAGGACCCAGCTGCCTCTCTGCGTGCGCTCTTGTCACGCCTCTGTGGTGGCATATCTGCCGCGAGGGACTCGCAGCCTACGTGCCGCCCAGCCGCCCGCCCTCCCTGCCTGTGCACGTGCACCGCAGGGGCGGGAGGAGGGACGGTGTCGGGCTGGGGGCGGGCGGCGCTGCCCGGTGAGCGGGGTGAGACCAGAGCCGGGGGCCACGAAGGGCACCCTCCCCACCACCAAGGGGAGAACCGTCCGTCACCGTTGGAAAGGACAGGGCGCCTGAACTGCGTGCACACGTCAGGTCGGGAGGGGGGCTGCGAGCTTCCCCACAGACCCCGCCCCCCGGGAGAATTCGGCGGGGGGCCTGGGTGCCGGGGCAAGGACGGGCAAGAGCCGGTGCAGGCAGCCCCCACCCCCGCAGGGCTGTCCCCGTCCACCGGTGCCAGCAAAGGGCCAGGTCAGAAGACCTCCTGAGGAAGGAGGGGCCTGGCAGGAGGCTGACCCACCACAGCCTCCAGTGGGGCCTCAGGACCCCCTGGGGGCCCACCCAGGCCTGCTGTGCCTCCCAGAGAAAGGAGTGGAGGCAGAGCTGCCCCGCCCCCCCTGAGAAGCTCCCTCCTGAGACCTCCAAAGTCTGGTCTGGGCGCAGCTGTGAGCTGTCGGCCAGGGCCCGGCAGCCTCTGCTGGCTGACCCCGAGCAGGCCAGGCGCCAGGCCTTCCAGAAGAGCCAGCCCCAGGCCCTGGCTCTGCCTCCAGCTGCCTCTCCTAGCGGCAGGGGTGGGGTGGGCAATGGGCTTGCTCCAAGTTCTCCGTCCCTCCCATTGCGGGGCTGGGCCCCCGGCTGCCCCCCCCCGTCCCCGCTGTCACGGGCAGGGCTGTCCTCACACCAGTCTCCGTGCGCGAACCGGGGTTCTCGGACGGGAGCCACCCTCGGGCCACAGGCAGCCCCAAGAGCCGTGTGTGAGCCGAGTGGCCCCTGCCTGCACCTGCAGTGGCCGACGGCAGGGCCTCGGGCAGCCAGAAACCAGTCGGCAAGCAGAACCCAGAGGGCCTGCGCTGGGGTCACGTCAGACACCACCTCCAGGAAGCCTCCCGGATAACATGGGGCTGGGCCAGGCACTGCCACCGACCGGGCTGCTGCCTGCTCTGCGGGCGTCGGTCTCCTGCGTGGGCATCAGTCTCGTGGCCCCAGGGCCACGAGAGTGCGAGGGCCTGGCTGTCATCGTGGCCCCGGCCCCTGGACAGTGCCTGTCACGGGTGGGGGGCCGGCGGGGGTACTTGCTGAAGGATGAACGACCTCCTGGACGCCGAGCACCCACGGGCGACACCGAGTGCGGGCCGAGGGGTCCCGTCGGCCTCGCCTGCCTCAGGGGCCGGTCCCGTCCCCATGCGGGCTCACGGGGCGGGAGCCCGATGCCCAGAGAGGCACCGTTCCCCGCCCCTGGGTGGGATTCAGCTCGGCTCTGAGTCGGTCCCTCCAGCTCCCACGAGCGGGCGCAGCGCCGTCCCACAGAACCTTCTGGAAAGAGGGAAGTGTTCTACCCTGTGGGCTCTCCTACGCGGCAGCCACCAGGTGCATGGGGCTCTCTAGCCACTGAAACATGGCCAGAGCGACGGAAGAGTGGGTCTTTGCGTTTTACTTCCTTTGCGTTCTAGTGGAAACGCCGTGGCCCGTGGGACGGCGGGGCTCTGGCTGCCAGACTCCGCGCCGCTCGGGGCCGGGACGGCGTGACAGAGAGCTCACCTCGTCGCCACTGTCCTCACCGTTACTAGCGATAGCGACAACATTTATCAGAACCTCTCATTGGCTCCTCAGCTACCGGGCGCTTCGGGGTGGCGTGTGGTGCTAGGTTCTCGGGGCTCCTCCCCAGCTGTCTCCAGAAGACTGGGGGACACCCTCTGCTCAGTGGGGCTGCCAGCTGCCTGGCCGTCTAGGGTCCTGCCCGTCAGGGCCAGCTTGCTCCATCCTGGGTCGCAGCTCAGGGGCGCCCGGCCCGAGTCTCCCTGGTGACCTGTCAGGGGTGCCGGTGTGGCCAGAGGTGACCAGCTCCGGGTCCGGGGGGAGGGTCAGCGGGCGCTTAGGCCAGCGGGCTCCGGAGTGGGGGGGACCCGGAGCCTTCTCAGGCTCAGCCTCTCCCAAGGACGCAAACAGAAGCAGGGGAGGATTTTCCCACCGAGAAGGGACTTCGGCTCAGAACAGACACCGCAAACCATTCCTGAAAGTGACGTCTTCATCCCCATGGAGGCCAGCTCGCTGGGAGTAGCAGGGGCACCCTGAGCACCGCCCCAGCGGCTCCGTGTGTGGCCGGTGGCCCGAGCCCCCGCCGCTCAGCCCGGCCGGGTGCCTCCGAGTTTCTCAGCTGCCGCGGAAACAGCCCCAGGAAGGGCCGGCTCTGGCCTCCTGCTCTGTGACCGCGCTCCCCAGGGGGAGCTGAGCTGCTCTGTCGTGGGGGAGGACAGCACCGTGGAGAGACACCCTTCTCCCTGCCCACTCCCAGTGGTGGCGGGGGAGCCATCAGACAGTCACCAGGACGGCCTCTCATCCTCAGGCCAGAGCTCTGAGCCCCAGGAGGGAGCTGGCCACGCCATCCTCGCCTCCGCCAGCTCCCACCAGGGCCCGGGCCGAGACGATGGCGGCAGGGGTCACGGGGAGGCACGCTGGCCGCCCCTTCAACCATGGATTCCCCCCAGAGGCAGCCGCACGGGGCTGGGGTGCACCCACAGCATTCGGGGCCCTCAGAGGTCGCCCCACCCCCCGCCCTTGGGGACCTACTTATCCCAGGGAGGCTGAGGTGTCTGAGCTCATGCTCTGGAAGAAGCCACAGTCCCGAGACCGTGGGGCTTGCCCCTCTGTGTTCATTTGCGCCCCCGGCCGGGTGCCCAGCAGGGGACGGTGACAGCCTCCGAGGCTGAGCATGCATGCAATCGCCGTGTTCCCCCCAGGTGGGAGCCTCCGCCTCCCCAGGGGGCTCTGATGGGCCACTGACTCGTTCCAGGTCACCCGGTGAGCACGTGACAAGGAAGGTCTCTCTGGTGACAAAGGGCCCGTCACCTCTGCAGACACCGGTCATTGCTGAGGGGCAGATCGAGGCAATGCAGCCGTGTCTGTCTCCTCCTTGAGGACTGCGGCCCCTCAGGCCCTCCCTGGACCTGTGGGGAAGGGGTCTGCTGGGATGGGGGCCAGCCCAGCCCCAGGAGCAGCCGGGACTGCTTCCCTGCAGGGCCAGGGGCGCTGAGGCCAAGCGGGGGACCCCGAGGACGCCCAGGCGCTCAGCCGCTCCCGCCTCTGCGGTTTCCGCAGGTCAGCCCGGCCAGCCCCGGCCCAGGCACGTCGCCGACATCCGGCAGAGGTCCCTGCGCTTTCTCCAGTCCCTGGAGGTGTGTTCCCGCCCCGCTCCCCCTCCCCCCGCCGTGTCAGACAGATGACAGCTGTGTGCCCTTTCGGCCTCTCCTGCGCGGGGCAAGCTGGGGGCAGCCTGTGTCCCCTTGAAGCAGAAGAGGCCCCAGAGCAGGGACTGAAGTCTCCGCTGCAGCAGTTCGGCGGGGGGGCGGGGGGGGGCTGAGAGGCGGGGCTGGGAGCAGCAGCAGGGGGGGGCCACACAACAGTCAGAGTATCCCAGAACGCCCAGGACACCCGGGGGCTGGAGGGACAGGCCCCGCCAAGAGTGCCACCCTTTGGGGGGATGCCTCCCGTTCTCGGGGGTGGCCCCACCTGGCCTCTTGGCTGTGGGGGCAGCAGGCTGGGTCAGGAGAATCCTGAGGCTTGCGCCCTCCCTGCAGCGGCACCAGCAGACTCGGGAGCAGGCACTGGCTCTTCTGCGGCAGCGGGCGGAGCTGGAGGTCTGGGAGACCCAGAGAGCCCTGGATGAGCTGCTCCTCAAACACCGGCTGGAGGTACCCGGCTGTGCCCCTGCCCCTCCCTCAACACCCCCCCACCCCGCCCAGGGCAGCGTGCCCACCTGTCCCTCCGAGCCCGTGGCCCTCCCAAGGTGGATGCGGCTTCCTCCCTGAGTGGGGGCCGCCTGCCTTTGCGGAGAGGCAAGGTGCGGGGGTTACAAACACGCTGCTTCCCGAAATGTGGGCCCCGCCTGCGCCCCAGAGACGGCCGGCTGCCTGCTGGAGGCCTCTCCACGGGCGACACGTGGACATTCCATGCACAGCAGGGACAGGAGGGTTTTCCCGCTAGGGTCCTGGGGGCTCCAGGCTGGGGCAACCGTCTGAGCCTCCCGCTCCCCCACGTCCTGGGCTCGTTCGGCGCCTGAGCCAAGGGCTCTCTGTTGGAGCTCCCGGCCCAGGTGTGCGGGATGCTCACACCTGGACAGGTCTGCCCGGGGAGGGGAGGGAAGGGCAGGGCAGGGCAGGGCCCCAAACCTCTGTGCCCGCACCCTCCATCCCCCCGGCAGACGGGTGGCACTGGCTGGTGGGGGTGGTGCACAGGGCACCCAGCCGGGGCCGGCGGGGGGCTGGTGTCTGCGGTCTGGTTGGACAGGACGAACCTTCTTAGAAGTGACTCTTGTCTGGGCCTTTGGTCTGGGGACCGTTGGTGGGATACTGTCGCAGAGCACACTCAGGGGACATTCCCAGAGAGTAAGGGGCACGCTGGCATGTGTCTGTGTTAGCACGTGTGTGCATGTGTGCATGTGTGAGCATGTGTGCACACGTGTGTGTGCAAGCACACCGGCAGGTGCCCCTGGACCCACATGGCACAGACACACCTGGCTGGGTTTTCCCATCCTCCATACCCCTCTTCCTGCGGCCAGCATGGGTGACTGCCGGGTGACTGCCATTCCTCAGGGGACTCAGGGCTGCGGCCCTGGCCGTACTCCGTCTGTGTCAGCTGGACACCTGCCCCCTCCCCTCACCCAGCCCTCTCCCAGGGGCAGGGAAGGAGCTGCCCCACGTGGGGGCTCCCGGTGTCGGAGACACACCTGGGCTGGGCTCCTTCCCAGCTCCCAGCCTGCCCACTGCCTGGGGGGCCACCTGCCTGTCCTCCCCCGCACATGCCTGTCCCCACAGAGGCTGATGGGGAACCATGCGGCCCTGTCCAGGCCGGGAGCAGCTTCAGAACCGGAGGGGCTGCAGGTGTGTGGGGACCCGGATCTGAAGACCTCTCAGAGTGCTGTGACAGCCGGACTGAGGTGCGTCCAAGCCTGGGGACCGGGGCCCCGCCTGATGCGGAAGCTGGGGTGCGGGGGTCTCGGAGAGGCAGGGGTGCCGGTGCTGCCGCAGCTGAGTGCCCAGTGCTTTCTCTCCCGGCAGGTCGCAGCCTGTCCTGGGCGGAGATGCCGCTGTGCCCTCCCGGGGCTCCGAGGAAGGACAGGGGAGGCAGGACGGCCAGCCAGCCTCTGCAGGTGAGACAGTCCTCAAGGCCAGCCACACTGCCGGCGGAGCTCACTCCCTGCATGGGCCCTGAGGGGGCCCTGAGGGTAGGCACACGGCCAAGAGGCCCAGAGAGACGGGGTGATATCCCCGAGGCCTCGCCGTGAGGGGCCACCGGGATTTGGAACGAAGTCTGTCTGATGCCAGAATTGTGAGTGACCCCTGGGGAACAGTGCGCCTGCTCGTGGGGCAAGCCGGGACCCCACTGCCACCCACACACCCGGGGACAGCGGGCCTGGGGACAGCAGGAACGTCTTTGGCAGACGCTGGGTGACACACCCCGGCAGCGGGGTCGTGGCTGAGTAAGGAAGAGCGTGGTGCGGTCCGGCCCTGTCCCCCCTGCCCTGGGGCCCACAGAGCCTCAGCCGCACCCGCCCCACTCCTGGCAGACCTCCGGAGGGGCCCTCGCCGCCTCCCCAGAGTCCCGGTTGCAGCCCCTCCGGGAACAGGGAGCCCCACGTGTTCTAGGCTCACCAACATGCCCACCTCTGTTCCTCCGAGGGTTTCCCCTGAGCCCTCTCTCGTGTGCTAGCAATACATACGCAGCTCGCCCCCCCCCCCACGGGGCTGGGGGCTGGCAGGTGAGGGACCCTGGCTGCAGGCGTCAGGGACGCAGGGCAGCCGGCCTTGAGCCCCGGCCCCAGTGGAGCTGGAGGCGCAGATGTGCGAGGCCCAGCCCAGCCCCACTCCGCCCTGAGGCTCTGCTCCCTCGGCAGGTTCTAGTGACTTTCGCCTGAAGCTCTTGTGTGGGCGCTGAGTAGGATGAGACTGGGTCTTCCCCAGAATCCCGTCTGTCTGGGCAGAGGCCCCACGCGCCCTTGAAAGCACAGAGTCCTCTGCTGCTGCTGGGTGGCGTGTGTTCAAGTCCACTCTGTCCCCCTGGGTTTCCCATCAACCACCGAGGGACGCGCCCTGGGCCAGCCCCGCCCACCTCGCCCCCGCGGATCCCGCCCCTCCGCGCTGGGGCCCCGCCCATTTCTGCTCACCGCGCTCTCAGTTTCTGCTTCGCGTACTTGCTGTTCGGGAACGAGTAGGGTTATCCCGTGCTCCTGCTGACCCGACCCCTTTATCACTTCTCGTCGGCTGAGCCTTTCCCTGGTCCTACGCTGCGCTCTGCAGTCCGCTTTACCGGATGCTGATCTCGCCACGCCCCCAACAGGCGGCGGGCGGCACGCCCCTCCCATTTTTTCCCACCTCTGTCCTTGCCTTCCCAGCGCGGTTCCTGTGCGCGGCGTATCCTCAGCCCTGGCTCGGTTTTTTCTCACCGAGCCCCGCACCCTCCGCCTTCTGGCTGGTGGCGTACGCGTGCGCATTTCATGCGTCCCGTTGATCCTCGTTTCCTTTCGTGCCGTCCTCCTTCCCTTCGTTTGGCCCGCTGTCGGGTCAGCGAGCGTCCTTCCAGGATTCCATCTCTTCTGCGTTGTTGGCGCGGGAGCGGCGCTTGTTCTTCCGTGGCCGCCGTGGGGTTTCTAGTCACACACCCCCCGCCCCCTGCAGTGGGGTTTCTAGTCACACACCCCCCGCCCCCTGCAGTGACGCCCGTCTCCTTGCGCGGAGCAGCAGGCTCTTCCGATCCGTCCGGGTCTCCTTTTCCGGACTTTGTGCAGCTGTCTTCACGCATTTTGCTTGACGTGTTTTACAAAGGCCACGGCATTATTTTAAACACTCAACAATCTTCTAAAAGTTAGACATACGTACATATACACACACACACACGTGCGCACATGCATCTGCATGCGTGTGTATAGAGACAAGGCCCAGCACAAATAACGCCCCTTTTTAGTGACAAAATCTCTTACGACAAAATCACAAGCTTGTTATTCTGTAACGTAACAATATGACGCTCAAGCACATCATCTTACGTTCGAGGTGAAATGTTCAAATTAAAACTATAAATTATCGCACCCGTATTATTACCCCGCCAACCACACTCAAGCAGATGTTACTGCTGCCCGACCCTCTGTGTGTGTGTGTCTGTACACATTTATACACACACACACATTTCCCCTGTGCCCCCTGCTCTCCGTTCCTCTGTGTGGGGCCTGGTCTGCTCCCTGGCACCACTGTCTGCCCGAGGGCCCCCGTGGACACTGCCGGTGGTGCTGTTCTGCTGGGGACGGCGTCTTTGGGCTTCCCGTACTCTGCCCTTAGATCGGAGAACCAAGAGGCTCCGCCGCCTGGTGGGCGGAGACAGACACAACCCCCTCCCACTGCTCCTCCTGGAGGCCGCTTCCCCTGCACCAGGGCTCCCCGAGGCGTGCCCCCCAACCGGCTGGCTGCCGAAGGTGCTGGGGGCCCCCCACGGCTCTCCGGGGTCCCTCTGTGCGGCTCTCTCCTCCGAGTCTCTGTCCCACCAGCTCCAGCTGCCCGGTCTCTCCAGACTCCCAGCTCCACCCCTCCCCCCGGGGCGGGGAGTGTGGGGGGGGTCTCACCTAACTGGCTTTCTGTCTCTCAGGGTGAGTGTGTAGAATCGCCTAGTGTGTCTGGAAACCCCTTCATTCACACTCGTGTGTGTGAACACTTATCTGTGCTCCTGCACACACACACATGCTTTTTTTTAAAAAGAGTTTATTTATTTATTTTTAGAGAGGGAAGGGAGGGAGAAAGAGAGAGAAACATCAATGTGTGGTTGCTGGGGGCCGTGGCCTGCAACCCAGGCATGTACCCTGACTGGGAATCGAACCTGCGACACTTTGGTTCGCAGCCCAAGCTCCATCCACTGAGCTACGCCAGCCAGGTTTTTCTTTCTTTCTTTTTTTTTTTAAGATTTTTCACACACATGCTTTTTCGTTCACTGGTTTTTAAAGTCTCTTCTCAGCGGGACAGTCCGCCCACAACCCCGTCCCCTGCACCCTCTCTCAGCAGGAGCGCGGGTGCGCACACGGCCTTGTTGGACGTGTGAGGGCTTGTCTCCGTCACCGAGGGGCGGCCGGCCCAGGTCAGGGGCCGGGCCGCTGCCTAAGCCGGGGGCCGGGGCCCTGCTCTCGCCCCGTCTGCTTGCTGCTGGGTTCCGGCTCTCTGGGCCTCGGTCTCCCCTTCCGTGGAGGTGAAGCACCTGGACGAGCCACCCTCGAGCCCCTCTGCCTTGGGTCTGGTCCTTTGCACACTCAGTGTGTTCACACTCCAGGACTTCACAGCAGGGCGAAGGAGACAGTCGCTTCCTTTGGCACGGCCGGTGAAGCCGTGTGTACGTGGGGACATTAAGTTGCCCCAGGCACCCGACTTCTAAGGCCCTCCCGCAGAAAAGGCCCTGGCACCCCTATGACACCCGACTGTGGCCCACTTTCTGTCCTCAGAGCCCGCGGAGGAGGGGAGACCAGACCAAGGCCTCTCCCCGTTGCTCCTGGCCAGACTGTATCCTGGGGACAGCCCCATCCACCAGGTACGGGGAGCCCTCCCCTGGGGGGAGGAGCGTAGCAGTGGGGTCCGGGGGAGGCCCTGGCAGCCGAGAGGAGGCCCAAGTCTTTGCTCAGCCACCTCTGTAAGAGCCAGCACGCAGGGCCTCTCCACGAGGGTCCTCGGCTGGGGGAGGCTGTGCTGGCTGCGGGCATCACCCCCCTTCCTGCTGCCCAGGGGCAGGGGAGGGGTTTGGGTGAGAGCAGGCTGTGCAGCAGGCTGCTTCGGGCAGGGCTGGCCCCCACAACCCAGGCGGCACATTACAAAGCAGGTGGTCTGGCCCACTCCAAACCTTTGGGGTATAAGCAAGGGCCCAGGTGTGATCAAGGCCAAGGTGGTGAGGACCCCACGCTGCCCTCAGGAGCTCACAGTTGGGGAGGGGGCACGCCACAGGGATGAGTGGGGCGTGCAGTCCAGGAGGGCTTCCTGGAGCCGCCAGCCTCCTCCCTTGGCTTGGGCGCACGCCACTTCCATGGGGAGAGGCAGGGCCTGGGAGCGGCCTGGAAGCTGGGCAGTGATGATGTGGCCTGGCCGGTGTACACTGCCCCAGTGGAGCCGGGCAGGGCCCCGGAGTGCCAGGCCCTGAGCTCTCGGGTGCCTCACGCTCCAGATGTTACAGCAGAGCCTCCGGGAGCAAGAGCTGCACGCACAGTACCTGGCCGCGCTGCTGCGCCTGCGCGAGAAGGCGCTGGAAGAGAAGACGTGCTCGGAGCTGGCCTGGCTGGAGCACCGGAGAAGGTGGGCGCAAGCTCCGCCCCCCCCGCCCGGGCCCCGCCCCCGCCCGCCCCGCCCCGGGATTCTAACCCCGCCCCAGTCCCTGAAACCCTTGGGAAACCAACTGTGCTGATCCACGTAGCATGGGTGTTGGCAGAAAGTAAATAAGGCAGTCAAGTAGCCAAGAATAAGCACGTAAATATTAAAGCCACCCAGAGCCCCACCCCCGAGCATACCGCTGCATATTTGCAGTCTGCCTGGTCCGCTCTTGCTGGGGGAAGTACGCGCACGGCTATTCGAACGGCGTGCGCCACAACCGCACAGACCGCCTATGACCTGAGCGTTCACTTAAAAGCCAGGTTCACCCGTCCGAGTCCCCACGTAACTGCCGCAACACCCAGGGTGCCCAGAGCGGCGGGACCAACCAGTTCCCCAGCCGGCCCTGGGGGTGCTTGTCCGGGACAGTTTCCTCCAAGCGAACTGGGGGAGGGGCTGCGGGGGCAGTGGGAAGGCCTCTGGTCAGCTTCCCGGGGTTGCCACACTGGCCAGAAGGGTTATTCCAGCTGAGGTCCTTGCCGGCAGTTTATAAGCTCCGGGGGTTCTCTTCGGTGCTCCCCGCCCCCCTTCCTCAAGGGACCCTCAGCTGGGCTGGAGCTCCAGGCTGGGAGGTGCTGCCCTCCCTTCGTCTCCCAGGCCCAAAAGGGGTGGGGAAAGGGACAGGCTTGGCCGGGGCCCCTATTAGCTCCCCCCCGATCTGCCCACACGTGGCCGCCTCCCCCTGGTGCCCTGCTGCAGAAGGGGGCGTGCCAGGTCCCCCCCCGCCCCCCGCCAGCTGGCCAGGGCTGGCTGTGTCTGGCTTTCCACACCCACGTGCCAGATGTGACGTTGGTTGTTCGTCTGGCCGCCCCCCTCAGGTGTCTGGGCAGCGAGGGGGGCGTTGCTGTGCTGGCAGCCTTGGCGGAGAGGCAGCGGCAGGCCCTGGGCGACCTTGAGCGGGAGCAGGTGAGGCCGGCTGGACCCGGGCAGCGGGCGGGTGTGAATCCTGGGGTGGTCACATGGCCACGGCTCCGGAACCCCCAGAGTCCCGAGCCCCCCCCAACACCCAGGGCTGCTCAGACATCTCACCTCTGACCCCGACGGCCCATCTGGAGAGGGGAGGTGGGGGGCAACAGGAGGAGACCCAGACAGAAGAATTCAAGTGGCATTCTCCGTAGGGGGTGGCGCCACCAGTGAACCAACCATGCAGCGGGCCTGCGAGGGGTCCAGTTATCGCGCGGCAGGGAGGGCGGCCCAGGGAACGGGCCTAAGGGCTCCCCGGTCTCCCGCCTGAGAGCAAGCCAGCCCTGGCTGGGAGCCTGGAGCTGGCCAGCGGCAGGGACCGCCCCCCAAACCTGGCGTCCTGTGTTGCAGGCGGAGATGCGGGGGGCGGAGTCTGGGGCCGGGGCCCCTGACCGCTGGGGCCTGGGGCCGCTACCCCTCAGGGTGGGTGTGCAGAGACCTGAGCGTGGGCAAGGTGGCTTTGCAGAAGGGCATGAGGTTGGAGACGCAGCAGGGAACAGAGGACAATGGGGACAGTTTAACGGAGGGGTGAGTTCAGAAGCAGGAGAGGCAGAGCCGTGTGGGGAGGGCAGGGGTGCAGCCAGTGTGTCCCAGCCCTGCTTTGGGAAGGACCCAAGGACAAGCACGCCGCCGTCCCTCCTGCCTCCTGCAGGAGCCCCCTGTTGGCCAGACCCCAGGGCAGCCACCGTGCACGGGGCCTCCTGGCCGAGCCGGGTGAGAAGGACAGGGGCTTCCGGAAGGGCAGAGGGGGGCCCCACCCAGTGCTGCAGCCGGCTGCCCCCGAGACAGCGGGTTCCCTTCCACGTGAGCCTCCGTGCAGGTGGGGTTATGGCTGACGCCGCCCCCCCCCCGCCCCCCGCCTCAGAGGGAGATTCGGTCCCTGCGGCGCAGTCCCCTGTCCTCACGCCACGACGAGAGGACCCTGCTCCTGCAGCATCACCGGGACATCCTCTCCGTGCAGAAGTCCTTGGCCCGCCTGCAGCGGGAGCTTCAGGCCACGCCCTGGCTGCTTCAGGTGGGCACTGTCACCTGGGCTGCAGGCCGGGCGGTGGCCAGGAGACGCTTGTCGCCCATCTGCTTCATGGGAATGTGCAAGTCCCTCGTGAAAACACTCCGGCGGGCAAGGGACTTGGAGGGGTACAGACGGAGGGCAGATGGGGTGGCCACCTGCGGGGGTGGGGCATGGAGGTCTCCTGGGCCGGGCTCGGCCCTGCAGGATGAGCCGGACCCCTAGTGGCAGTGGGAGGGGCTCCAAGGCAGGAAGAAGCTCGGGCCTGAGGGTCCTTGGAGAGGCCGGTCTCTTTGGGGGCATCCTCCGTCCAGTGCCCCATCCAGGGGGCGGGTGGGGTGGCTGTTTCCAGCCTGAGCTTCCCCTGTGCACTGGGAGCGCCGCCTGCGGGTCTCCCCCGCGGCTGAGGGTGAGTGAGCTGATTCCGTGGGGCACCGGCAAGGGCCAGCGGGTGCACTGCGGGAGGACCACCAGCGGCGGTTGCAGGGCTCCCGTGGGTCAGGCCCACCTGTTTCAGCCAGGTGCCTGCTTGTGGGAGCACACCCTCCACCTGCTTTCTGAAGCGGAGAAGGACCGGGGGTGTCCGTGCCGGCTCACCCTCTGCCTGCCGTTTCTCGCAGAGTTCCGGCCCCGACGTCCCGGCTGCCCGGGACGGGGACTCTGAGACAAGCCAGCCGCCGGAGGGGCCTGTGTGGGGCGCATCACACCCCCCGACGCCACACAGGCCTGGCAGCCCTGGCAGCCACCGCCCCTGCGGAAGCACCGAGAGCCTGAGTGTCCCACTGTGAGTGGTCCCAGGTGGCCCTGGCCTGGGTGCTTGCCACCTCCCCCCAGGCCCTAGCACTGCACCCCACGCCTTGTCACCTGCTCCAGCAGTGGCCCCATCTGTGGGCCGTGGGCCCTGCTGGTAGCTGCTGGGTGGGGAGGGGCCAGCCAGGACCTGCCTTTCTTTGCCCATGCACTAGACACCTGGCCACCGACCACAGCTGTCCCCTGGATGTGACTCGTGTTCCCCTCGTTGAGAGCTGCGGCTGGGGCAGGACACTCCAGGAGGGCGCAGCCTGGGGGGGCAGTCACCGCCCCTCTACCCTGCCCTGCAGCCTTGTCACCGAGCAGCAGGACAGGACATCCTCTGGGGCAACTTCAGCTGTGGACGGTCACCTGCAGCCTCGGAGGCCAGCTTGGGGACAGGAGACACCCACGGCCGATGGCTGGCCCAGCACCCAGGGCGGGCCGGTGGAGAGCGGCAGCCATACGGGCCAAGGTAACCGGGGGGGAGGGGCAGTGGCAGCCGGAGGACAGGTGGTCGCTCTGACCAGATACAGATGCTCTCGGCTCAGGGCACTGTGCCTGAAGAGGGTCCCTGGTGGCACCCAGCATGGTTTTGACCCATGATAACGGCACCCCAAACTGGGCTGGAGCCGAATACCTCCAGTACCCTCAGGCCGGTGGCCGTAGGACCCTCATAGACCCCTGGGCCTTGGTGCCCCACACCTGCCAGGTCCAGGGCGGAAGGAAGGTGTAGCAAGACGATGATGCACAGACGTGAGTCCCTGGGGCTTCTTGGCAGAGGCCCCGCGGTCCCCGCTTTGCCCCCACTCTGGTGGTCTCGGGGACTCTGCCGTGGTCAAGGCCTGTCCTTGCCCCGCCTTCTTCCGGAGGTTTTCCTGGGAATCACGTCAGTGACGCTCCCACAGCGATACTTTTAGGAGCAGGTAACCGCGTGTTTTTATACGTCCTCACCCGGGCCAAAACCACGTAAGTGCTGTGGCTATTTGGAATTAGGAGATTTTTCTCACGTGGCTGCAGAACTCCTGGACACTGTGTCTCCCCCGTCCTGTGCCCTGCGCTCTCAGCACTGACGGCCCCTCTGCCTCGCAGGGGACGCGCAGCCCGACCCCTGCCCCTGGCCGGCAGCGCCGGAGACCCAGGCTCTGACGGAAGGCCACGCACAGAGCTTCCGGGGCCGGAGCCCACATCCCCCGGGCGGAGAGGGGCCCTGCAGTCCCCAGGATGCCGGCGTGAGTGGGGGCCCGGCCTGGCTGGGCCAGCCCTGCCAGGCGGCTTTGGGTGGGCTGGCCTCATCCGTCCGGTGCGGGTGCTGACAGACCAGGGTCTCTCTGGTCCGTCCATGGGTGGGACACTGGGGCCCACTGGGAGAAGGGGGGTCGCCAGGGCCCTCTGGAGGGGGTGGTCTTTGGTCTTCACCGCGGTCACCAGAGCCCAGGGCTCTCTCCATGGCTGAGGGCCACGGACGGGTGCCAGCAGAGGCGGCCACACCCTGGCGGTGGCATGTCCTCCACTTGTCCCCAGCAGGTGGCGGAGGGCAGAGCGGGGGCAGCATCGGGGCTGGACTCTGCCGGCAGCCCTGAGGGCGCGGCGCCCACAGTGGAAAGCCAGCGGCCAGAGCAGCAGAGGTAGGGGACCTGGGTGCGGGGCAGGCTGGGCCTGTGGGACCCTCGGGCAGGGGCTGGGACCTGGGGCATGGGGATGGTCGGCCCACTGCTCCCTGTATTCTCGCCAGGGAGCCCTCACTCCCTCTGGGTGCCCCTCGCACTGGCCCGGCCCACTGTGCACCCTCAGCCCGCCCCACGCCCTCTGGAGTCTCAAACAAGAATGCCTCCTGGTGATCCGCCCGAGAGCCAGGGGTGGGGGCAGCAGGAGGGGCCCTCAGGGGCATGTCCCTCTGAGCCTCTCGTGTGGCCACCTCCACCCTGCCCTGATGTCGCGAGGCTGGGGCCGGGACCCCCCAGAGACAGGGCCCTCACCTGGACCTGCGGAGCCCCGAGCTCCAGCGTCACCGCCCCACCCCCTGTCGGGGTGGCCGAAGGCCCCCTGCAGAGACCCTGAGCCAACAGGAGACGGGGAGGGTGGGGTCCCTCCTGGGGGCACCCTGGACCTGCCCGCCACGTGTTTGCAGGACAGAGACCTATCAGCAGGAGGACCCCCACGGCCCCTCCTCCTGGCAGGAAGCCGCCCAGCTGACCACTTGTCCAGGTAATGTTCCACCTACTCCCCAGGGCCCCCACCTCCCTCAGTACCATCGAGTCCTCACTTAAGGGTCACCCCAGGACACTTCTAAATCACAGCCAGCCTCTCCCACAGCCAGGCTGGAGGGCCACCCGCTCCCCTCCCCTCCCAGGGTCCTGGCGGGCAGGTGAAGGACCAGGCGGACTCCTGTCTGGGACATCCGTGCCGCAAATGAAAACAGAACAAGACACAGACAGCCACTCGGTCTGTGAATGGCAGCCGCAGTGCTGAGCCGCGTCCCCAAGGCGCCCCAGCAATGTCCCCGCAGACGTAACTCGCTTCCCAGCGGCGGAACCACTTGGAGTCACAGGGGCCGCACTCGGGGGCCGTGGGCGTTTCCTCGGGCTGTGGCGGGGTTCTCTGGCCTCGGCCCACTCGCTCAGCTGTGGGGTGTGAGCTGCTGCCCTTCCGGCGCTGCAGGGACGTCGTGGGGACCGGAGAGTGTGTGAAACTGTTGGTGACGTCTCCCCACTCTCCTCTCTCTGTAGCTCCTGCAGCGGCTGAGGAGGCCACGCCCCCCACCCAGCACCAGGGCAGCGCCCTGCCCCAGCTCCCCGCCCCCTCTGGGACCTGCTCCGGGTCTTCAGCGGGGTCCCGCAGCTCCTCTCCCGAGAGCGGCCCATCCTGTCCCTCTCTCCAGGAGTTCCAGAAAGTGTCCGCTTTTCTGGTCCAGCTTTCGGAGAGCTCTACCTCCCCGTCAGACTGGGAGGCCGGGGACAGCCCGGATGCAGACCTGGGCTGGTCTGGAGGGTCTTCTCCTCGGGACTCTGGGGGGCTGCACGGGGACGGACGGCAGGAGACCTGGGAGGGGCCGGCAGGCCGTGGCACCAGCCCCCTGCACCGCCCCTCCACCGTGTCAGGCAGTCCAGAGTCGGAGCCAGGCCCCTGGCAGCGAGGCTGGACGCCGCTGCCCCCCCGTGTCCCCTCCCCCGGGGCGGGATCGGAGCTGTCAGAGGCGTCCAGCGAGGTCTGGGATGAGGACAGTCTGCGGGAGCCTGGCGCGGGCGTCCAGCCGGCCGCGGGGCGCGCCTCACCTGCCGGTGGCTCCGGTGACCTGGAGGATGGAGGGGCACCTCGCACCCCACTTCTGTCCCTGGGCCCTGGCGGGGGACAGGAAGCTTCTGGAACCAGTGGGAGCCGGACCCGTGGGTCAGACACGGGAAAGGCCGGCCGGACGCCCCCCGAGGCTGCCCGCACGGCTTTCCCGTCCGATCCCAACTCCTGCAGTGACTTGGACCTGTCCCTGTCCTTGCCTTCGGGGTCCTCGGCATCCAAAGAGGCGGATGTCAGCGAAGGACTGGAGCCCGGGCCTCCGCAGGCGTCCCTGGGCTGCCCCGAGGGGCCCTGGGCTGCCGGCCTGAGGGCGCCCGCCGCCGACAGGAAGCCCCCAGAGTGTCCTCCTGGAGCCGCTCGTCTGCCGGCAGCCCTGAGGGCTGGGAGCGGGGCACCCGGGCAGGCGGGGAGCGGCGCAGCCCCTGCGCTGGAGGAAGCTCCGCCTCCGTCGGCCGGCCGAGTCCTGCGGGAGATCCTGTCCCCGGTGGACGACGTGCTGTCCTATGGCAGCACCGACCTCCCGTCCTCCACACGCAGGGACGTGCCCCTCCCTGCTCTGCCTCCCGCGCCCCCAGCAGAGCTCAGGGCCACCCCCAGCCCCCGCTCAGAGGACTTCCCTTCCCCACCCGAAGACGCCCTGTGTCCTGGGGGCTCACTGAGCCCCCCAGAGGAGGGCACCTCCATCAACACCTGCGAGTTGTCGTCCTTGTCCGAGGAGGGGCCGCCCGAGGGACCGTCCCTGGGGCCCCAGGAGGCCAGCCTCTGCCTCGGGGCAGGCGGACGGGGTGGAAACCTCGGGGACCAACTGGGTGAATCCAGTTCTACTGGGGGGAACCAGGCTGTGGGGGGCCGATGGCCTGAACCCTTCAGCTGGCTAGGGTCCCCCTCATGGGGCGGGGCCGGCGATGCCCCGGATGGGATCCCAGGGCTGACGGTGCAGCACCCAACCCTGCCCCGAGTGGACTGTGTAGCTGGGGGGGCCCTGCCCACACCGTGGGCGGCTGGCAACCCAGGGCTGCCTGGCACCTGGCGGGGGGACCCGGCTCCTGCTTTAGACGCGGGTCCCTGCGCTGGGCCGCCCGGCGTGGACAGGACGCAGGTGGTGGATCTGGTGTCCACGGAGCTCACCCGGAGGATCCTGTGCGACACGCTGGCAGCGCTCTCCGAGAGGGCCGCGCCGGGCCGCCCGCCGACCGGAGAGCGGGCGGGTGCCAGCCGTGTCGCCAGGCCCCCCACAGCAGGGCCGGGCAGTGTCGGGGAAGACGGGACTTCTGAGGAAAGAGCAGACGTCCTCCGGTGACCCAGGGGCGTCATCGGCATCACCGTGCGATTGTGTGTGAGTGCACTGGTGTGTGTGTTTGTGCGTGTGTGTGCGTGCTGGAGGCCTCGGGGACTCTGGGCCTCCCAGGGGCGGAGCCGCCACTCGGAAGGGCTGGCCGGGGAGGTGGTCATCGGGTGCAGGGCCCGAGACCGGGCAGTGACCCCTGCACGTCCGCTGCAAACTGGCTCCGTCCGCATGTTTCTGGGCGTGGGGCCCACGGCTTCCCCCGGGCTCTCGAGGGGGACCCTGACCCACAGGGAGGAAGAGGCGGGAGGGGAGGAGGCCGCCACCCCGGCCGGGGAAGGGGCGGAGGGCGCGGACGTGAGGGAGACCAGTCCTGCAGAGCCGGGGGCTGGGAGCAGGCCCTGGGCACAGACCTGTCACCGTCCGAGGAGACCACGTGCCAGGACGGGGCCATCGGCCAAGGCCGGGAGAGGGAGGGCGTGTGGCTTTAGGGGCACAGGGAGGCCAGGGGCTGCGGCGGGCTGCAGTCGGGCTGCGGACGCCCGCCCCTTGGCTCTGCTCAGGGAGTCGTCAGTGCAGTTAGTTGCGGGAGTGTGACCTCTGGGGGCCGAGGGTTGCCTGCAGGCCACATGTCTGGGGCGGGTCTGCCACCCTGACGACGGCTGGCGACACGGGGCTCTCTGGCACCTGGTGGGGGGACCCGGCTCCCGCCAGGTGCCTTCCCTGTGTCCGGGGAAGTCACTTGTGGCTGTGCGGCCCTGCAGGTAGAGGGCGTGGCTGCTCAAGGGCAGAAGGGCACTTCCTCCCCACAGCCAGCCACCCTGCGGCCTGTCCCCTGGGTGGGGGGGGGCAAGGCCTCCCCCAAATGAGCTCCTCTGGACTCCTGGAAGAAGCGGGAGCCCATGTCCTCGTGGTGTCCACGACTGAACGTGTCTTCCGTGGCCCCACGTGGGCCTGGACCGTGTTCGGAGGTGTTGGCCGTGCTGCACCGGAAATCCACGCTGCAAGGCACCAAGGTTTCCGGTGCGGAACGTCAGAGACGGTGAACCGGGAGCAGGACTGAGGGCTGCCGGTGGGGTCTCAGCCGGCTGGGGGCAGGGCGGTCCTGGGGCCCGCTCGGTAGGACAGCGCCGGGACAGCTGGCCTCTACCCACGGGTCTCCACGGACCTTCACGGGCCAGCGCTGGTGCCTAACTGTGGGAGCCACCACGCAAGACACTGCCTGGTGGGCTCTGACTGGGTCCCTGCAGCCCCCCCCCCGCTCCCCTAGAGCAGGGCCCTTGCCACAGCCGCCGTCCTGACAGAAGCCACAGGACCCTTGGGCTGACTAGGACAACAGCAGACCCTTATGTCCCGTTTGCCCGTCCCCAGAACTGGGTCTCTGGGCCGCGGCGGGGGCCTGAGCTGCGTCTCCCCCGAGCACCCAGAAAGCTGGAGACTGTTCCTCCGGGGGGAATTCCCTGTAATTCATCTGTATCTCCTCTCGTTGACCATCTGCCTATCATCCGTCACCTCCCGTGCGTCCATCTGTCCGTCTGCTCTGATCTATCATCCGTCCACCCATCCACCCATCCTTTTCCAGTTCTCTTCTTGACCTGGGAAACCCCTGCTTGATGGGAAGTCCAGAGCCCCCGGAGCGGTGCGGCGGCCTTAGGAACGGCCGGTCCTGGCGCCGACCCCTCCAGGCCCCGGCTCCGCCCACCCAGGACCCCAGCCCCTCCCCCCGGCTGTAAGAGGGGATGTCACTCACATGACTACTTCCTGGGGAGCTCCGCCTCCACCACCTGGAGAGCCGGAGACCTCTGTCTGCAGGGCTGGCCCTCCACTCTGCCACTCGGGGAGCGCCCCGGAGAACACTGCGGGGGCCCTTCCCCAGGCCCTGGCCTCTGGGGCGGCCCCCCAGGCCCAGGCCCAGGCCCGCCCGCTCCCGTGCCACCGCGCAAGGCACCGGCTGACATTCACGTAGACGTCACGCCGGCTGTTCCCCAGTCCACCCTCCAGCGCAGGAGGAGAGGTTTGGAGCGGGCGGGGAAACGTGTTCATTTCTCTGCGCGCGCAATTTCCAACCAAATTTTGAGCTTCAGGGTTTATTTTTGTTTTATTGATTCCCTTCCAGTTTTCTGAACAAATTAGTCTGTAATTTTTTTTTTTTCCATTTACGGCTGACCCTTTGGGATTTATGACGCCGTGTGAGAGGAGTTATGTATTTCACACACGCGTATTCGGCACGGCGATAAATCCGCCGCGTGGAAACCCTGCAGATCTGCCTCCAGTTCCACGGTCCCCTGTCCGGCGGCCGCGTGGGTGGGCGCTGGCGTGACACCGTGGCTGAGCACGAAGCTGAAACCAGGGCCTCACGGCGTGACCTCACCCGGGTGACCCAGCAGGCCGCGGTGTTGCTGGGGGCATCTCCCAGCCTGCGGCCCCCTGTCCCCAAGGGGGACTAAAGAGAACCCCTGCCTCCCTCCCCCGACAGTGGCACCTGGGGGAGGCGGGCCATCAGGTGACTGGCTACAGAACAGCGTTCGCCGAGGGGGCGGGCATTTGTAATCCTGGCCCACGTGACGTGCGTGCGGCCGAGGGCTCCGGCGTTCGGCGGCATTGACCCCGCAAGCCTTCAATGTCAGGATCACTCCCTTCCAAGGCCCCCGCGTGCTCGAGTTGGCTCCGATCCCCAGTCACCTCTTGCGCCAATAAATCTTGATGCGTGTCTCCAGAGAAGTCATTATCTTTCATAGACCATGATTATTTCTCCGTTAAACCCCACATTTAATTTTCCTGCGATCTGTCTCTTTCAGCTTCCCCGCTTAACGGTCCCTCCTGCGTAAAACACCCATGAACCCGTCTCCAGTGCTCGAAATCCCAGATTATCGGACCAGTTTTACGAGACCCTTTCATTTCTTACTCCGGGGCCGTCACGGCCACTGCCATAAAACACAAGTGAAGGCCACAAGGGCCGCTTCCGGAGGGGCGGGGCCATGTGCTCGGGGTCCATTTAGTTGGCGTCTTCCCGTGCCCGGTGGGGAGGGGGCGTCCACTGCCCAAGCTGCTGGCCTCCCCGATGGGCCAGGCTCTCCTGCAGCTGGGGCCGAGGCCGTCTGGCCCGGGGCCCGAACAAAACCAGCCCCAAAAGTCAGCCCTGGTCCACGCTGGCTCCCGGGCAGCACCGAGGTCCCGGAAGAATGCCTCCAAGTCCCACATCCGTCCCCGAGGGCCTTTGTTCTACCTGTCCACACTGTGCCACCAAACACCAAACTGCTTCTTGGCCTTTGTCCCCCAAGGAGGCCGTCCTTTGCCCCAAGCAAAGGCCCCTCTCTAATGCCCCATGAACACAGCGGAGAGAAGCCTGGTGGCATTTGCACAACTTGACTGCCTGCCCCAGGGCTCGCCTCCAAGCAGCCCCATTTACCCTCCGAGCTCCAGACTCACACAGCCCACCCCTGTCCCAACACCGCCCTCATGGGCCCAAGACAAACTCTTGATTTCCACACTCTCCCCGGAAATTGCTCTCCTGCCCCTCCCCCGCGTCCTTCTCCTCCGCCAAGAGCAGCTGGCCAAGACCCTGCAGGCAGACACGTCCCCTTTGCCTCACACTCTGGATTTGATCCACCGCATGCCCCGCCTTCAAAACATCATCAGCACCACCACCCACCTCTTACCTGAGGGCCACCGTCTCTTGGGGGGCTGTGATGGCCCTTCCAGGTCTCCTGCCACCCCCTCCTGCCCTCCTGCCCAGCGGCCAGAACCACACCCCACCTCCAAGTCCTCCTGCGGGCACCGTCACATTCAGAGTCAAGGCCCTGGTCTGCAGCCTGGCTAGGGAGGCCCGCGCGGTCTTGCCCTCAGCTGCGCCTCCAGTCCTCCCTCTGCCCCCGCGCACTCTGCCCTGGCTATGCCGGCCTCCTCGCTCCTCTTCCAACGTGCCCGCCTCAGGGCCTTTGCACATGCAGTTCCCCCGCCTGGGCTGCTCACCTCCTTCCTCACCTCCTTCTCCCCGCAAAACACCTTCTCTGAGAGGCCTCCTCATTCTCTGCGTTCAGCAGTCCCCTCCACACCCCTCCCGTAACTGCTTTTTATAGCACTTCTCTCTCTCTCTCTCTCTCTCTCTCTCTCTCTCTCTCCTGGAATGCAGACCCAGCGGCTCCGCTTTGTCTCCACTGCTCAGCCAGCAGCAGAAACCGAAGAAGTGTTGGTGAGGACACGCAGCGGGGAGGGCAGAGGGGGAGAGGCGGGACGTGGGAGAGGCCTGCACCCTGACACAGAAGGACACGATGTAAAGAGCAGAGAGATGATCGCATGGGTATAAATGTAGTTCAAGTTCAAATCCTACAGTTCACTTAAAATTCATCACCATAAGATCAAGGTCATCTGGAACAGACGAACCTGAACTCCAGAACAATGGATGGCAGCCGCTGACTCATACTGGCTCTGGGATCTGCTTCCTTATTTTGTTTTAGTCAGTTAAAGGAGAAATCTAGATATGCACAGCAATTAGGAATAGCAATTTAAAAGTCAGGTCCCTCAGGTTGGGTTAAGCAAAAAGTCATAGGAAGCTTCATTTCCCAGGTTTGCAGAGAGGCCAGCCTGGCCCACTACAAAATTTAGCGCCTGAATGCATCTGAGTTTGCAGGGGTGTTTTGCTACATTTCCTGAGTTGAACCCTCATATTAAAGTGTCAAGGTCAAGGTGGCAGACCCTCTGAAACCCCGGGTAGCACTGCCAGGTAAAACACAGGACGCCCAGTTACCTGTGAATTTCAGATAAAGAGCGCGTTGGTTTTGTCTACATGCGACCCCTATGTGATATGCAGAGTTAACGGGATATACTTAGACTTAAAAATGATGCGCTGTTTATCTGAAATGCACATCACGGGGACCCCTGCATTTTCATTTGCAAAATCTGACGACTCTCTACCCCGGGCTGGGGGATGGGGAAGCTCCTGAGCCGGAGGCCTAGGCGGTGGGGGCGGGCTCTGGAGGGGAGCGTGAGAGGTCCAGCCGGGGCGGGGCCTGACTGGCGTGGGCGGGGCCATAGGCGTGACTCGACACTCGGGGGTGGGGAGAGGCGATGTCTGGCGCACAGGGAGGCGGGACCTGACCGCCCTGGGCGGGGATGAAGGCGTGGCCCAGCGCCGGGGGCGGGGCCGCGTGGAGCACGTGATGGCGGTTGCCGGGGTGAAAGGTCAGGTGAGCCCAGGCACTCCCAACATGGCGGCTGCCGGGGTTGTGGTGGCGGGGGCGGCAGAGAGCAGCCTGGGACCCCCGGCGGGAACGGCGGCCCGAGCCCGGCGGCCGCCCTCGGGTCCACCAGCGCGGCTGCCCCCGCTGCTCGTGCTGCTGGCGGCGGCGGCCGGGCCGGGCGCGGGCGGCGCGGCGCGTCTGTACCGCGCGGGCGAGGACGCCGTGTGGGTGCTGGACAGCGGCAGCGTGCGCGGGGCTACGGCCAACAGCTCGGCCGCGTGGCTGGTGCAGTTCTACTCTTCGTGGTGCGGCCACTGCATCGGCTACGCGCCCACCTGGCGGGCCCTGGCCAGGGACGTGCAAGGTGAGGCGCGCCCCACGCGGTACCCCGACCGGCCCGGCCCTCGCGGCCCCCGGGATTCGTCCCCGGGCCCGCGGCATCCTCCCAGGCCCCCTTTTCCTTGCCCTGCAGAGACACCCCTCTTCGGCCATCGCTGGCCTGCGCCCTGGGTACCCTAGATGCCCGCGCCCCTCCCCGCGCACCCTGGGATCCTTCCGAGGGAGGCTGCTGTTTCAAATTGGAAAGACAGGAACCCTTCTCCCCCAGCTGTCATCCCACAGCTGTCCCAGCTCTCCCGACACCTAGTTGGAGCCTCGAGAAGCTCCAGTGACTTCCCCGGCCTTCATCCTCACTGTTTCCTGACTGGTAGACCGTTCGCAGGCATTCCGCTTGGGCGCCTAGACTCCCCCTTCTTTGAGGATCCGCGTTTCAACCCCAAGTCGCTTTCCCTTTAAAGCCTTCTGGGCGGGGTTGCTGACCACATGGATACTCCAAGTGATCCCCCAACTCAGACGTCCAAAGGCCCCCCGAGCATTTCATTGGGAAGTCCCTTGGTCGCAGACACGCAGCCTTTGGTGACTGTCATCCACCAGACTAGCGGTAACGTGCCTGCACTTCACGGTTGGCCGCCGGTGTAAATCCTCCCGCGCAGTGTCAGTCCCCGAGCGCGGGCTGCTGTGAACCGCGGAGTCGGAGTCGTAGCAGCCTCCTGCCCCCCAGCCGGCCGGCTTTGAAACCGGATGTGTATGGCTCTGAGGCAGGAGCTGGTCCCAGCAAGAGTGAGGTTTGGCGGGCCGCCCGCTGGTGTTGCGCTAGCCTGTAATTACGTGTTTCAGTGGGTGGGAGGGCAGCAAATTGCCACGCTTCCTTCCTACCCTTGTTTTTAAGGCTTATATCCAACCCTGCTGTAATTTTCTCCTACCTGAACTGATTCTGAACGTTTAAAGAAGTCGAAATAGCATTTGTTTTGTTTAAGATTTTCTTTTAGTTTTAGAGAGAGGGGAAGGGAGGGAGGAAGAGCCAGAGAGAAACATCAGTGTGTGGTTGCCTCTCAGGCACCCCCAAACAGCGACAGAACTGCAACCCGGGCAAGTACCCTGACCCGGAATCACACTGATGACCTTTCAGTTTGCTGGACAACACCCAACCAACGGAGCCACGCCAGCCAGGGCCAAAAGAGTGGTTTTGTGCATAATTGTGAATGATTATCTTCAAGGGACATGCTCGTCTTAGCTCAGGGTGTTGGGGCTTTTTAATTCTAAGGGGTTTGTTCTTTGAGCTCATGGTTTAAGGACCCAGTGTTGCACACTGGTCACAGCTGAGACTAAGAAGTGCACAGAGAACTCCTTAGGTTTGTTTTGTTTTGTTTTGTTTTAAAGCCGTTGCCTTGAGAACAAACAGGTGCTTTAACAATATAGAGAAGTTTCTGGTTCTCACTTGTTACTTGGTGGCAGAACGGAAATGGCAATTAAAATGCAGGGAGCCCTGGTAGGGCCTTTGCCACCTGTTTATTGCGTATTTTGATTTTTCAACTTTTCAGCTTAGTTTGTGAAATACAGAAATCGTAAAGTATGGTTAAAACATTGCAAAGCATTCCCCGGTTGAGCCAGCACTTGAGGAGCCTTGAACATTGTCCCCGGAACTTGGAAGGCTGCTCGTGACGGTAAACTGTCGAACCCGTGCCAAATGGCGTGAGTGACTTAATTGTTAGCTGAGTGAGGTCGTCCCCGGGGGGTCAGACCGCATCCGAGTCCCGGCCGGACACGCGAGGCCGAGCCCGGAGGCAGCGCGGCGGGAAGTGGAAGTCGGCTGCGGCCCGGGAGGCCAGGGAGGCGAGAGCAGGGTGCGAGGCCAAGGGTCTGTGGGGACCCGGCAGAGGGTCCCCAGCGCCAGACCACCTCCGCGGCTGCCCGGGCACCAGGTCTGACTGGGGAGCGTCCCGCCTGGGGACTTGTTAGGAGTACACGTGGTCGGCCCAGCCCCTGGGGCCTTGGGGTGGTGACTGCCGTTTTCCTGGGTCTGGATCGCACTTCAACTCTTCGCAGACACAGTAAACGCTTCTTCGGGTGAGAAGGTGGCTCCACAGACGAAAGGTCCACCGTCGGGTGTGGACGCCGCGCCACGCCCCTGTTTGTGCAGATGCGGCTCGGGCCGTTGCTTGCAAGGACACTCGGACAAAGCCCCGCTGCGTCCCGAACACCCCCGGGCAGGCCGAGCCGCGTGCAGGCCCCTCCCGTTCGCTGCTCCTGGGACGGGGCGTGGGGTCGGCCGTGCCGGGGCTACAGCCTCTCGGGGCGGCTCTGAAGTGGCTCTGCGTGGACTGGTCAGCGCATGGAGTGTCCCTTTGGTGGTCAGTGTGTCCCGGGCGTCTGCTCTTGCCCAGAAGCCAGGGCAGGGTCTCTGAGACTGGCCCTGGGGTCGTGCCGGGACGCTGGGAAGGGAGCTGAGGCCCGGCGGGCACTCACCACTGCCCACACCGTCCTCCCCGTTCACGCGAGTCTCGGACGGTGGGACCGTGAGGCGCAGTGAGACGGTCACCCAGGGGTGGTCCCCCGGCTGAGTGACGGGCCGGGTGAGCGTGCCTGCAGAGGACAGGACGGGGCACCCCGACTTGCTGCTGCAGGGTGTCTGCCCTCTGCCCTGCCCCCTCCGGGCTCTCCGTCACCTGGTCTGGACTTGGCGCCTGTGAGGCCACCGCCTCAGCGACAAACTGGGGCACTCGGCGTTCCCCGGGCCCAGGGTCTGTCCACCAGAAGGAGGAACAGGGTCTGGGGCGGGTGGGGTGCAGAGGGCAGGGGAATGACCTGCGGACTGTGGCTGGGTGGAGAGTGCGGGAGGACTGTGGGGGCTCGCCCGGGCGGCGGAGGGGCTGCTGGCGGGTGCCGCCCTGTTGGAAGCAGCTCCATCACACACTGCGTGAGGCCCAGCCGAGGTGAGGGGAGCAAGCCGGGCCGTGCGGGCTGCTGGCCCTGCCCCAGCTCTGGAGATGCGGGACTTGCTCTCGAAAGCTTTCCCATCTCTCCGTGTTGCAGGGCTTCAGCGCTTAACTGCAGTGCCCACCGGCCCCTGCGTGGCCTGAGTTCCGCCTGGCTGGGCCGAACGCTGGGGACCAGAGGACCAGTCCCGGCCCCCGGGCCTGGGCGAGGCTCCGAGAACGTGCCTGGACTCTGCAGGGGCGGCCTCTGGGGAGCTGCCCTGCACTGCTCCCGCGCGCTGGCGTCGTGACCAGACGCAGGGCCGGCTGCGCGCCCCTTCGAGAGCCGGTACTCAAGAGCCACTGCCAGTGTGAAGGACGGGGGTTTTACCCTGGGGCCGGCCGCCTGGAAGTTGGGGGGGAGGCTGGTCTCAGAGCCCACCCCGGGCCCCAGGTGACCGGCTGGCTCACAGAGGGAACCGCGGGAAGGAGGGCCCGAGGGGTTCCTGGCAGTGCGCGCGGTTTCCCAGCTCCGCCCTCAGTGGCCTCAGCGTCACCTCCTGAGAGTGTCCTCCGTGGGTTTGCCGCAGCACCGCAGGGTCACTGCCAACTCCGGGACGAGTGGTGAAGGCGGCGTTGCCGCTGGTCCCGCTGGCGCTAGCCCGACTCCTGGTGGTGTGGCCGGGCCGGCCGGGCCTCAGTCAGGCAGGAGCTGCGGCACGGGTCCCGGTGCATGCTGAGGCTGGAACTTGGGGCTCGTTTGGAAAGACCTTTGCGCAGCCGGGAAGGGACCCACCCCAGGAGAGAGGCGGCCCCGCCCTCCGGTGCCCGGAAGGTGGGTTTGGGCGCCCTGACCCTGTCCCGGCGTTGCCTGCGGCTGGGTCCTGTGCCGGGGAGACCCCGGGCCGGGCATTCTCTGAGCCGGGGGTGGGGAGGCTGTGCCGCCGTCTTCGCGGAGTGTGCGGAGGCTCAGCTGCGGGTCAGGCTTTCATGCACGTTTTTGCTGGAATTTGGCAAGTGGCAGTAAGAGGTGTCATCCTGTTGGGTTAAGTGATGTGGTTATGTGGCGAGGAAGCTTGAAGTGAGTTTCAGTCTGCTGCACTTGGAAGCTCATTGCACGGGCATCGCTTTAGCCCTGTGGCGCCGAAGATGGCTCGTGAGCGGAGGTGAGGCCGAGCCGCGGTCGCTGCCCGAGGTGTCCCCCGGGGGCAGCCGTTGCGCCTCCACGCGGCTGCGTGCCGCTGGGCGTGGCCTGCGCCTGGGAGCAGATGACCCGTCGGTTCCGAGCGGCGGTCCCTTTTGTGTGGCGGACGCGGGCGGGCAGGCCGGCCGGGCGGAGGGGAGGGCCTGGGCTGAATGGGGCCGCGGCCGAGGCAGACCTCTGGAACGGCCGCACTTGATCTGGGGAGAGTCCCCCTTTGTGTCCCCTGAATGCGCCATCTGCCGGGACGCCGGCAGTGGTGGGGACGCTCCGGCTGTGTGTGGCGGCCGTGCACAGACAGCCCTCTCACGAAGGCGGACGAAGGCCTGGCGGGTGCCGGCGTGCCCTCCGCCAGGACGGCCGCTCCGTTCCGGGGGCATGCGTGTGTGGAGTGGCGGTCACAGGCGGACCTGCGGATCCTCAGGTCCCGGCAGCCAGGCCTCCGCACCGCCCTGTCCCGGTGGCTGTGCCCCGGGGAGAGCAGGGTCTGGGGCCTGCTCCGCAGTGACTCTCAGCCCGTGTCCCAAGGGCTCGCCTGCCGGAAGCACCGGGTGTCACGGCAACGCCCAGCACTCAGTGCCGCCCTGCTCGAGGGCCCGGGAAGGGCAGCAGACATGGGCCTTTGTGACACCGATACGGGCGGAGCGGAGGGGACAGGCTGGATGGGGCTGGGTCGTGGGCGGGGAGAGCCCGGCTGTGCCGTTTCACTGGACCTCCTCCCTGCATTGTGTCCCCGTTGGCTAACTTTTTACGCTTTTGGGCGGAAGGGGTGTGTGTTTTTAAGCAGAAGCGCTGTATCGGGTGAAAAGCAGCAGCCCCCGGACTGGCGTGGGGTGTGCGCCAGTCTCCCGTTCCCGCAGGGCCGGGGCAGGGTGTGACTCTCCTCCTGGGCACGTCCCCCGTGGCCTGCGAGGGTGCGGGCCGCAGCAGAGCCCAGAGCAGGGGCCCCGTGCCTGCACGGAGCCAGGTTTTCACCGCCGCTCCTGGTTCAGCCCGGCACGCGGTTCGGGGCCCCTCGGAAGGCACGGCTGTGGCCGAGGGGCGGGACCCGCCCGGGACCCGCCCAGCCCATTGTCCTCGACGGTCCCCACTGCTGCCGTGTGTCTCTGCAGAGGCCGCCCCGTTGCCCCGTGGGTCCCCTCCCCCAGGCAGGGCAGGGCGCCAGGGAGCATTCAGGAAGGAGCCCCTGGCGGTGTGATCCGCCTCAGCGTCCCACGGAAAAGGACAGACCTCTTAAAGGGCAGCTGCACTGGTTGCCTGTGGAGGATGTTGGGGGGCCCTTCCACTGTGATCGGCAACCGAGGGCGTGAACCAGCACTTCCTCCCCCTGCACGCCGCGCCTCGGGGTCACCACGTGCCTCGGGGTCACGCCGTGCCTCGGGGTCACCACGCGCCTGGCTGCAGCCATCGAAAATTGAGGCTTTCAGGGGTGGTCAGTGAGCGGGGAGGCAGCCAGGGCTCCCCCAGTCCTGGGGGGGAGCCCCCTCGCCGCAGAAGAAGCGGATGCAGGTGTGGTGTAGGTGCCAGGTTTCCAGGCACCGGGGCCGCGGGCAGCCATCGGCGCCCAGCTGGTGGGAGAGCGCATGCGGGGCCTGGGGACTGGCGTAGCCCACCCGCCGTGCCTGCCAGCCGCAGCGGACGGCCCCTCTGGGACCCGGTCCAAACCCACAGTCCGAGCAAAAGTGGGACACCTGGGAGCTCTGCGTCCCGGCGGGTCGTGCGGCTCGCCAGGCGGAGAGCCCTGTTTGGGGAGGTGCAGCGGGTGGGCGCGGCCTGGGGGCTGCGGTGGAGGGGGGTGCAGTGGGGTAGGAAGGCGTTCGGGTGGACGCCGACACGGGGGCACATGGGCTGCTGCCTCGTCGTCTCCGGTCCACTCGGATGCTGGGGTTTCCGCCACAGAAACTTCAAAGACGAGAAAACACGCGGGTTTAAGCTGCTCCTCTTCTGTTCCCAAGAACGGTGACAGTGTGCTCGGGCCTGTGGGGGGAGGCGTCCTGGGAAAGTACGGAAACCACCTCCCAGGAGGTGCCGGGTGGTTCCTGGGGGTGTCCGGAACGACCCAGCAAAGCAGCCGGCTCTGGGGGGGGCGGGGGGACGGCCGTTCCCAGCTGTGTCCATCCGGGGCGGGGGCCGCAGCCCTGCCGCCAGTCGAGGTCTGTCCGTCCCCCCAGCCGGGCACAGCCCCGTCCTGTGCCTGGGAGGGCTGGGCGCGGGGCCCGCCGCACTCTGCACTGAAGGCCTCTCCCCTGCTTTGCAGACTGGGCCGCCGCCATCCGCGTCGCCGCCCTGGACTGCGCGGAGGACAGCAACCGCGAGGTGTGCCAGGCCTACGACGTCCACTACTACCCCACCTTCCGGGTGAGCACCCCCTCCCGCCCGCCGCTCCTGCCTGCGCCCAAGCCGCCTGTGCCGGCGGGCGCCGTGGGCAGCAGCTCGTCTCAAGCACGCGGGCTGCTTCTGGACGCCTGTTTCTGTGTGCGGAGGGGCCCCCCCTTTCACCCCACCCGTGGGGCTGGGCCGTCTCTGTGGGGCCCAGACGCGCACGCCCTGCGGGTGGGGGTGATCGGGCCTGCCGCTCAGTCCAGTCTGGGGTCTCTCTGCCCGGTGCTCCCTCCACCCCCTCACGTGGCCCACGTGCCGAGGCCGTTGGGCACCCCGGGTACCGAGCTGCCCGGGCGCCTGCGTGGCCGCCCTGAGCACGCGGTGGGGGCCCCTACGCAGGCCTGTGTCCCACCGGGGGGCAGAGGGTCCATGAGCCCGAGGGTCCGCACGCTTTCCCGACCCCTCGGTCGCTGCCCCTGGGCCGTTCAGTCCTCGGCCGCTGGGAGTGGGTCCCCTGCGGTGGGGGCACCAGCCCGGGAGTGCCATCGCCGGGTGGGGGCCGCACCAGCGCAGTCTCGGCTGCCCAGGGGCAGCGGCCCGTCTCCGCGTGTGGCTCTGTGTCACGCCGTCAGCGACTCGTCCGCTCGTGCGGTTTGCCTGTCTCCTCCCGGGCCGTCTGCCCGCGCCTGGTGTCCGGGGGCCTCCGTGCGGGTGTGACGCTGCCCCCCCCCCCCCCGTGAGCGGGGGCAGCGCCCCGCCCCGTGCTCAGCAGTCTGCACTGCGCCTTTTCACGGAGGAGGCTTTTGACTCTGACAGAAGACTCCCTCTCCTGCTCGGAGACGTTCGTCTGGGCCTGTCGTCCTCCCCGGGCGTCTCTGTGTCGCTGGGGTGGCGCCGCGGCCCGTGTGGCCGTTAGCCCTGCTGGGTCCGGTCGTGGGAACACTGGGCTCTGAGGGGTGCCGACCCCCTTCTCCCCGGGCCGTAGATGTGACTCGGGGCTGCGGGGCCGCGGGCAGACTCCCTGGAGGACGCGGGGAGCTCTGTCGCGGGGGGACGGGGAGCCGTTCTGCCGCTCACTCGCCCCGTGTCCCCCTCGCAGTACTTCAGGGCCTTCACGCGGGACTTCACGGCCGGAGAGAACTTCAAAGGTGAGTGCGCGGGCGGTGTCGCTCGCTCGGAGACGGGCCCCGGGGACCCTTCCGAGTGGGAGCGGCCCCGGAAGCCTGGACGCCCAGCTGCCAGGCCCGTCCCCCTCCCCTGCTGCCACCAGCCCGCCCGGCAGCCACCCGCGGGAGCTCCGGTGTTCCCGGTCCCAGTCCCAGTGGGAAGCTTTGTCTTGTGCTCTGCCTTCCTGGTGGGTGCGGTGGGGCCTTTTTAAAAGGGGGCGCGGTCACCGGAGAGGGTAGTGGGAAAGCCCCCCCCCCCGTGAGCTTCCACGAGCGAGCCCGCCGGGCAGCCAGCGCCCAGGTCAGGCCCAGAGCGTGACCCGTCAACTGGCAGGGGGCGGCAGGCTCCCCCCCCACGCGGCCTCCTGCCGGGAGACCCCCGCTGCCGTCCATGCAGCGCTCTGGCCAGGGGGCGGGGGGGGCAGTGCGGTGGGCACCCCGCGATGGCGGCTGTCCCCCCAGGGCCCGACCGAGAGCTGCAGACGGTGAGACAGGCCATGGTCGACTTCCTGCAGAACCACACGGATGCCAACTGGCCACCTGCCTGCCCGGCGCTGGACCCCATCCGGTGCGTAGCTCCGCCAGGCCGGCACGCCGCGAGCCCAGTTCAGCTCCGTGACGTGTGCACGCGCGGTACGCGGCCTGGGCCCTGGTGCCCGGTGGTCGGCTCACTGTCCCCAAAAGCACTGAAAGCTGCTTCTTCCTCCCAAAAGGCCCGGCGACGCGCTCTCCCTCATCGACAAGCGTGACGGCCGCTGCGTGGCGATCATGCTCGAGAGCAGCGGCTCGTATGTCGGACGTGAGGTACTGTGTCTGCGCCCGTCCGGGCCCCTGCTGCAGTGGGCGGGGTGGGGCCGGGGGGCAAGGGGACTGCGGGGCGGCCGGTTTGTGCAGCGGACTCGGGGGGCCTCTCCGAGGGCAGGACAGGGGCGGGTAGCAGGTGCGCCTCGTGCCCCGTGGGGCGCACGGCCCACGGGGAAGCGGACCTCGGCCTGGATGTGGTTCCCGGCTCCCATGCGCTGTGGTCACGGGTTCTTTCCTGTATTTTGAACTCTTAACTTTTCTGCTAAATCTGAGGTTCTGTAAAACGCGTTTCTGTCGTGAGCCTTTGCTCCCTCGGCCCTGCGGGTGGGTCCAAAGCCCCTGCCCTTGGCTGTCTTCGGCCCTTGGCCGTCTCGGGAAGACCCCGGGGCCCGACACCCTGGTGGTTGATGGGAGCCCCTGAGCTCTGCCGTCGGTGCGTGCCTGCCTGGACTCGCGTGGCCATCCGCGAGCTCTGGGGACACAGGCAGAGGCCAGGGCCGTGTGGCTCCACGGCGTGCTGGTGGCCCCCCAAAGGCAGGTGCCTGCTGCAAGGTGCACGGCCGTGGGTGTCAGGGAAAGCCCCAGGCGGGGAGCGGCCCGCGTGCACACGTGACATTCGATGAGGGCCGGCTTCCCGGGGGGCGTGCCGGCTCGGGCGGCGCAGCACAGGCTCACCGGCTCACCGGCGGGCCTCCCTTCCCCTCCCTGAGACCCTGGACCGGCGGCTCCGGCAGGTGCAGCGCCCCCTGGGGACAGCGCCAGCTGCAGGGTCGGTGACCCCTCCTCTCCGCCCCAGGTGATGCTGGACCTGATTCCCTACGAGAACATCGCCGTGAAGCGAGTGCTGGACGCCGACCAGGCCTTTCTGGAGAAGCTCGGTGTCTCCTCCCTTCCGTCCTGTTACCTGATTCACCCCAACGGGTCCCACGGGCTGATTGACATGTGAGTGCAGTTTGGCTGAGGGGTGGGTGTTTGAGACCCGAGGTGGCGCCTGGGAGCCCCGCAGGGCGGGGGGGCCCCCCCCGGGCCTGACGCGGCCTGGGGCTTCCTGCCAGTGAGCAGCGTGCGCAGTCGGACCCCGGGCTCCGCCCCCTCACTGCCCGCTCCTCTAGCCACGGCCCACGGAGACCACGAGGCTGGTGTTTGGCTCTGTGCGGGGGCGGGGGCGGCCCACACAGACCCAGCGTGGGCAAGGCTGGGCAAGGCTGCGCAGAGGGGAGAGGGGCGGGCCACCTCAGCCAGGCTTCCTTGCCTCAGCGGTGGGGGGGCCGCCCTGCTGCGTGGTCCCCACGCGGCCTGCTGGCCCTGGGGCCCTGGCCCTCTCACCTGCGCTCGCTCAGCCATCCTTGGTGGGTCACCACGTGCTGGGGACACGCGTCCTCTCCTGAAGGACTTCTGTTTCATCTTCTGAGAAGTTTGACTGGGGCACCAGGGCCCCCTCACCACCCGGAAGCCTTGAACACCCCGCAGTCCCCGTGTTTCTGTTCTCAACGGGGACGGCGGGATCCGGGGACGCGAGGCCGCTGTGGGGCTGGGCCGTCCTGCCTCCTGCTCCGCGGCCCGGCGTTCTGGGTGCTCCGCGCGCCTCGGCCTGCTCCCTGGGGCACCGGGCCCTGCCCCAGAGGCCGCGGGGCCCGTATTCACCTGGCTGCTTTGGAGGACCCCTGAGCTACCAGAAGTGCCCGGTGACAGGCTTCACACACCCTCGGGGCGTGGCCCACCCTGCCCGCGTGAGGGGTCCCACGTGCAGCAGGCTCAGGGGTGCCGGCCCAGGCCCACCCCGCCCCGCGGAACTGCCGCATGCTACAAAGAGGACACTGGCAGGTGCTCAGCCAGCTTCACAAACCGACTCACGTCCCCACTGAGCAGGAGGAGGGCGGTCGTGGCACTCACTGTGCCTGGGACTCCAGCCCGTGTGTGGGCTTGTCTGTGTCCCGGGGGGGCCAGCCCCAGGCCTGGGCCCAGCAAGGGGGGTGGGTGCCGGGGCCCGGTCCGCACTCGGCTCAGCCGTGCCCGCCCGCCCCTTCCTCGCAGCGCGAAGCCTCTCCGGTCGTTTTTCTCCTCTTACCTGAAGTCGTTGCCGCACGTGAGGAAAAAGTCGCTCTTGCTGCCCGAAAAGCCGAGCGCGGGAGAGAAGGCGGAGGCCGTGGAGTGGAGGGAGTTTGACAGGCAAGCGCTCCCCGCGCACGCGCGCCCCCGGGGGTGATGGAGGACGGCGGGGCTCGCTGGCTGGCGGCGCCCGTCCCCCGAGAAGCCCGGCAGCCACGGGCGGCTGCTGAGGAGTCCGCCGTGTCCCGCTGGGGAGGGGGCTCTCCTGGGGGGGGGGCTCGCGTGCTCTCACCGGGCCCGTCGCGCTGCCCCGCAGGTCGAAGCTGTACACGGCGGACCTGGAGTCCGGGCTGCACTGCCTCCTGCGGGTGGAGCTGGCCGCCCGCAGCTCCCTGGCCGGGGCCGAGCTGAGGGCGCTCACCGACTTCATCACCGTCGTCGCCAAGGTGGGTGGGGCCTGCCGTGGGCCGCGGGTGCCACCTCCGGGCCGGGCTGCGCATGTCAGCTGCACAGCTGACCCTGCTCGAGCCCCAGGGTGCAGTGCGTGTGGGGGGCCGGGCCGGGCTGTGGGTCGGAGGGCGGCTCTCTCCAGGGGCTGGTCTGAGGGGCACTTGCCCAGGTCGGAGGTTAAGTGCGGTGGCAATGGAGAGGCCCAGGAGTCGGTGTGTGGCCTGAGCCACTAGCCCGATGACAAGGGGAGGAGGGGGACAGGGAGCGGGGGGGTGGGGGGTGGGGGGCGGCTTCCTCAGAGAGGGTGCACACAAGGCCGCCGTCCTCGCCCACCCCCGCCCACGGTTGGGGGGGGCCTGCCGTGGGCCAGGCCCTGTGCGGTGGGCCCTGCATTTCAGTAGGAGGTGGAGCCGTGGGGGCTCCTGGGTTGGCCGAGCACGGTTCCTGCCAAGAGCTCAGTTGGCTCTGGGACCGGAATTGGGGCTCGGTCGTTTTCCCGGCCCAGAGCAGCTGGGCTGCCAGAGCAGTGGGACTCGGAAGGGTTAGACCGAGACCCTGTCCTCCCAGCCCCAGCAGCCCGGGGCGACCTCTGGGAGAGCCTGGGAGCAGGGCCCTCTGCCCGGGCCGCTGCCACAGTGGAGACCCAGCAGCCGCCGGTCACAGCGCTGCGGCCCGGGGCCCGTTATCACCCAGGAGACGACGTGGGCCTCACGCATGGCCCCTGGGCAGTGACTCGCACCAGCTCTGCGGGGCGGGCTGCGTCTGCCCAGTGTGGGTTTGGGGGGAAGGAAAGCAGTAGGGTCGGTGTCTGAGGGGGTCTCGAGTCTCTGGTGAGTTCAGGTGGGTGGAGGGGAGCTGTGCGCACAGGCCGTGACCCGCCACGGGCCCAGGGCTCAGGGCTCCCGGGCCACGGCCTCGTCCCCCCGAGGAGGCGCCCTGCTCATCTGCCCAGCCCGGGGCCACGCGGCCTCCTCGTCATGGGCAGCCTCAGGCCCTCACGTCTGCACCGTTTTTGTGAAGGTGCCTCGGACCTGAAACGAATGTGGGGAAACAGGTCGCAGTGCTGGGCATCCGCATGGGGAGCGGAAGGCTCTTCTGGGGCCAGCAGGCCGCTGCCCCGCAGCCTGTCTGCGCAGCCGCGGGGTCAGCTCGGGCTTACGAGCCCTTCCCCGCTGCTTGTCTGCCGGGCGCAAGGCTGCACGGCCCAAGCGGGACACTCCGGGATCCCGTGGGCGGCGCCCCTGCTGGGAACCCACGTGCTGCGCACACCTTCCCCGCACAGTCTCTAAGCGCGTCCCTCCCACCCAGCTGTTCCCTGGCCGGCCGCCTGTCCGGAGGCTGCTGGAGATGCTGCAGGAGTGGCTGGCCAGCCTGCCCCTGGACAGGATCCCCTACAACGCTGTGCTGGACCTGGTGGACAACAAGATGCGGGTGAGCCCTGCCCGCGCCCCCCCACCCCTACCCCCGGTGCCGTCTGCCTGTGGCCGAGCCCTCGGGTCGAGGACGGTCGGCGGCAGGGTGCCCTGCGCAGGCGGCGGCGGTTTCCCCAGCGTGGTGGGCGTGAGTCCGGAGGGAACGCCGGGTTTCCCACCTGAGGACGGACAGAAGTGACATGCCGAGCACGCGTGTGGGGGCCCCACCGAGCTGCCCTCAGGCCCGGCGTCCACCGGGAGGGCCTCCGAGAGCTCCGTGGCCCGGCACCCAGGGCCGCCCTTGCCCAGCCGTGGCCGGCACGCCCCTGCGGGAGCGGGAGCAGGAGCAGGTCGGAGTTCCCAGAGTTTGGGTAAACGTCCCCGCGTGTGGCTGCCGCCGGTCAGAGAACACGCACAAACTGTTTTTAGTCCCATTGTTTCTGTTACCTCTCGGCCTTTCCTTTCTCTCCCCAGATTTCTGGAATATTCCTGACCAACCAGATAAGGTGGGTGGGATGTCAAGGAAGCCGACCGGAGTTGAGGGGCTACTCGTGTTCCCTCTGGAAGTTGTTCCACACGCTGACCGTCCAGGCCGGGGCCCGCCCAGACGCGCTGGACGGCACAGGTGAGCACCCCCGCTCGCCAGGGCACCTCGGCCCCCTGACCCCGAGCTGGGGCCTGCCTGGCACCGCCGGACGGACGCTCGGCAGGGGCTCATTCCGCCGTGGGTCCTCGGTGCCCGGGGTCCCCCGCTGCGCAGGTGGGGGGAGCGTCTTCTCGGGCACCGGCCCCGATGGGAGCCCCGTTCCCACCGCTGCACATTCACGAGCGTGCCCGGCCGGCCCCTGTGTGGGAGCGCAGGCCTGGGCAGGTGCAGCCGGGAGCGCCAGCGTGGGCGCCTCTGCTGTTGCTGCAAGACGACGTGGGGGCAAGCGGACACACGCTGGACGGCATCTGCCTTTCGTCGAGCCCCCCAGACCCAAGCAGCTCAGGACGCCGCGCGCTGGCCACCTCCCGGCGGCTGGGGGTCAGGGGTCCCGGGTGGCCGGGCAGGGAGCGCCGCCTGGACTCGCTCTTGGCCGGTGGCAGCAGTCACGTCCACGTCGGCTGTGCTCGCCGTGGGTCCCTCCCCGGGCAGCCCCCTTCTCCGTGCCGGCCAGAGAGGGTGCCCTTCTTGGTGTGACCTCCGCCACTCGCGTGTGCTCTGGTCCCTGGGAGGCACCAGGGGCCCGGCCTGCTCACGGGCGGGGACCACGGGCCATTGCACAGGCCGCCTGCACAGGCGGGGAAATGACCAGAATCTGAGTTGGCTCTCACCGTCCCCACCACCGGGAGGGCTACCTCAGCACTGCCGTCCCTGTCGCACCCGCGACGCCCGCTGTGGGCGGGGCCGCACGGCTGCCGGCAGCGCGGGAGAGCCGGGAGGCCCACTGACGTGCGTGTGGAGTCGGGAGTGGGGCCCGGACTCACGCGGCCCGACGTTCTCTGCAGGAGGCCGCAGAGCCCTCCGACAGCTGTCCCTCGCTGCTCCGCAGACTGGCCCGCGGTGCCGGGGCCCGAACCCGCCACCGCTGGGTGTGCTCGCGCTTCCGGGTCTGGCAGTGCCGGGGCTCTGCTCTTGCACCCCTGGGGGCTCGCCCGGGCGCAGCCAGCTGGTCTGGACTCAGAAGGTGCGAGTCCCACAGGCCAGCCTGCCGCCCCCCGCACTCAGGGGTGGCGGGGAGCCCTCGGGGCCTCGTCTGGGTCTCGTCCAGCCAGACGCCACGTGAGGAGGCGGGGTCACATGCAGAGGGGCGTGTGGCCGTCTTTGGAAATTTTTGCTGCCCCACCTCTCCTCCAGGCGGCGCCGGAGTTCTCCTTCCCACGGTCTGGTGGGGGCAGAGGGGGGCTTTCAAACCACAGGCTCTGTTGGGAATCACACGGAGAAAAGAACAGAACAGCCTGATTTTCAGGAGAATCCCCAGAGCCCCCGGACCCAAGGTGAGGCCAGCAGGCCTCAGCCCTGCCCCTGGACCAAGGGTGCAGCCCTGGGAGGAAGTGCGTGTCCGGGTCCCCCGCCCCCCGGGGTCCTCCCCGGGACGAGCGAGCGCACTTGCAAGGCAGCACGGTGAGAGGGTGAGAGCTGGGGGCTCCCCCCCAGTGGACTCCGCAGAGACCGCGCCAGCCGAGGCTGCTGTCACGGGGGCGGCAGATGGCGGGGTGCACAGATGCTGTCCCGACTGGCGGTGGCGCCAATCACAGCGACACCAGGGGCGCAACCCCGGCCGCGGCTGACTGGGTCAGATGGAGACACCGGATTACGTCTTGGGAGGTTTTCCTCTCCTCCTTCCACATTTAAACCCGTCAGCTAAAAGCCCGCGCCCCCCCTCGTCCCCCACAGGTAGCGCCCTGTGGGTCTTGTGCGCTTTAAAGATTAGGGGGGGCCGCGTGTGCCGGGGAGCCAGGAGGATTACACGGCGATGGCCGGCAGATGTCGGCCCAGGGGTGCTGGCCACCGGTGCGGGCAGCAGGGCAGGGCCCAGGCCCGAGCGCGCTCACAGGGTCGGTCTCACCGTGGGCACCGCCTGGCTGCCCCGGAAACACTCCGCCCGGGAGGAGTCCACTCAGCTCGCTCCTCGGAGAGGGAAGCACGCGGGCCGCCCCGGCCTGTTTGGGGCCCCTCGCCCGGCCCGCTGGGACTAAGATGGATTGGGCCTCCAAAGCACGTCTTTTATTCCTGACATTTAATCTGTTCTAATCTCACCATCTCTTATCCGTGCGCGCAACCCCCGTATTAGTTGTCCGGAGGGGCCTGAGCTGCCCTGCGGCTTTCCCGGGGTCCCCGTGTCAGCTCTGCGCGGGCCGCTGCCTGCCGGGCCCGCACGGGGGCTCTCCCGACACCTTGCGGCAGGGGCTGCAACCCGTGGCTGGGGGGGCCTGGGGTCCCCACTCAATGCGGAACAACCGCACGTCTGGAGCAGCCTCTGTGGCCCCTGTACCAGCCCTTGGGGCCCAAGAGAGGCCGCACACAGGCTCCGACCGCGGCGGAGCCCCGGCTCTCCGGGCCCTGGGGCCGAGGCCCCACCGGAAGGTGCAGCGCGGCCCCCTGAGGGTCCTCAGAGTCACGGCTCACGCTCCGTGCGGGGCCCCTCGAGCCAGGGGCCCCGGGGCGGCAGGCGTCCGGAAGACGCCGGCTCCTTCCGCGTCTGTGCACGCACGCGGCACGTCCCAGGCCCTGCGAGGCGCTCGGCGCCCCCGTCCGGCCCCCGAGGGCCCCCGCCCCGTGGCTCAGGTGGACGCGGTGCCCCTCCCTCGGCAGGTTTGGAAGGCGACCCCCAGGCCGTGCTGCAGGCCATCAGGAGGTACGTGCGCACCTTCTTCGGGTGCAGTGAGTGCGGGGAGCACTTCGAGCAGATGGCCCAGGAGTCCCTGGGCTCCGTGAAGACCTCGGACCAGGCCATCCTCTGGCTCTGGGAGAAGCACAACCTCGTCAACAGCCGCCTGGCAGGTGAGCAGAGGCCGCGACGGCGGCCCTGGCCCTCCCACCCCCTGGCCCCAGCTGGGTCACCTGCTCTGGCCGCACGCCCGTGTCCCGATGGCCTTTTACGGGGAGCCCGGTCAGTCCCTGGGCTCTGGCGTCCTTGCTCCCGGGGGCTCACTCCCTGGGGCGCTGGGCCACGTGGGGACAGGCAGGCGTTGTTTGTCCCCCCCGGGCAGCCCGCCGGGACCCCGGGGGGGCTGGTGGTGGGAGGGCTGGGTTATAATTAATTTTCAGGAAGGAGTTTTAGTGTCGTTAAAATCTGGTCTCAGACGATGAACCCAACCCCTGGACGTGGCTTTGTTTAAAAATCTAAACAGGTCGCATATATTTTCTCAGACTTAAGTAATTCCAACTGTTCCTAAATCAGCGGCAGATTAAAATTAGGCTTAAAAATAATTCCACCGAGAAATAAATCTTAATAGAGATGAACAAAAAACGTCCCTAAACTACTGGTTTTTAGTTAATCCTCTGTGTTGTAAACACACATTACAGCTAAAGCACTAAAGAAAATTGGTTTTTCTTTGCACTCAGAGCTGCCTGCCGCGGCTCCGCTCACGTGGCCACAGCCCCACCCCCCGTGTCTGCTGGGTCTGCCGTCGCCCCCAGTGCAGGTCGAAGCGCTGCCCTGGGGGGCCCCGGTGCAGGGATGTGCCCACCTCTGGGTGTCCGGCCTCACCCTGCACCCGCCCGCCCGCCCCCCGAGCTCCCTGCAGCTGCTCCGCAGCACGCGGCTCTGCAGCGTGTGGACGAGGCCCCCTCCAGACGCCCCTGCCTCCTGACGCTGGAGCAGGAGCGTGCTCTCTGTGGCCACGCGACCGTCTCCCAACTCCGTGGTCCCCCAGTCCTCCCGTCCGGCCCCCAGGCTGTGGCCCACATTCCGCGGAGGCCCCAGAGACCAGAGACCTGGCCGGGGCCTCCCTGCCTGCACGGTGCCCGCCCACCAGGACTCCGGTGGGTCCTCGCGGGTCCCAGGGGCAGGGCCCGGGCCGCCCACGGCCCGCACCGCCCTCCGGGCTCGCGCGCAGCACACATTCCATGGGGTGGACCCCGCAGAGCGGCCGCACGCCCTCTGCATGCTTCTCTCCGTCCCAGGGAGGCGGGGCGCACTTGGAACTGCACGCGGTGGGGCCTCGAGGTGTGGGAAGACAGGTGGGAAGGACCCTGCTTGCGGCCCGCCGGGGGCAGGGGTGGGCTGCTGCGCTTGTCCATCTGCACACCATGGGCGGGGGGCGGGGCCCCAGGAGCCCCCGTGCCTGCGGGGCTGTGGAGACTCCAGGGCAGCCAGGGCCCCGGGCATTGTGGGCGGGTGGCGGAGGTGAGGCTCCCAGGGCCGGCAGGCTGAAGGTCAGGCTCGGAAGTGAGGACTGGGCAGGGACCTTGGGGCAGCAGGGAGCTGGGTGGCTGGGCGCAGCCTCTGGCCTGGTGAGGGGCACCGCTGAGTGCAGACCGTGGAGGGTGTGCGGGAGGGGCAGTGCCGACAGAGGGCGCTCTGGGGACACAGGCTGCAGGGAGGCGGGGCTGAGGGGAGCGGTGTGTCTGGACCCCACAGGAGGTCACCGTGGGGGTGGGGGTGGGGGAACGCCCCCCTGTCTGGGGTGGGCGGCTGCTCTCGGGCAGCCTCCCACTGTTGCCCCCTCCCGCTCCCAGGCCACCCGAGCGAGGACCCCAGGTTCCCGAAGGCCCCATGGCCGACTCCGGACCTCTGCCCGGCCTGCCACGAGGAGACGCGGGGCCTGGACAGCTGGAACGAGGGCCAGGTGCTCCTGTTCCTGAAGCGGCACTACGGCAGCAGCAACCTCGTCCACACGCACGCCGCAGCCCTGGGCGGTGAGGGCGAGCCTGCGGGGCAGGGGCCTGGCCACGCGGACCCCGGGGCCCAGAGCCTGCAGGCCCCCGGCGCGCCGCCCCACACGCCTGGCCTGTCCGAGCGGGCGCGCCCGGGAGCTGGGGCCGCAGGCCGCCAGGAGGCGGAGGCGGCGGCGCCCTTCCTGGGGATGGGCTTCTCCAGCCTGGACATGAGCCTCTGCGTCCTGCTGTACGTGGCCTCCTCCCTGTTCCTGATGCTGCTGTTCTTCTTCTTCCGCGTGCGGGCCAGGCGCTGGAAGGTCCGGCACCACCACCCGGGGGTGTAGCCGCCCGGGGCCGGGGCGCCTGTGGACGCAGCCCCGTGCTCGCAGCGTCAACAGCTCTGATCAGGGATGTGGACCTGAGCCTCGCCTGCCTTCGCGCCCCAAGGCATCCCTGCGCTGGGGCGGGGTGGGGCGTCTGCGCTCCCGGCGCACTCAGCAGGTGCCTCGGGCAGAAGACGGCAAAACGGCGTCTGTGCTGTCACGCTTCTAGGCCTGGACACGGGCGGGTGTGCCTTGCGTGGCGCCCTCGCTCGCCTCGAGTTTACTAGACTCCGCGTCCGTCCGTCCTGCAAGGCCTTGTTCTGGCACTGGGAGAAACCCTGCCCGTTCCTGCCGTGGAGACGAGGGGCGACCGGGGGCCGCCGCAGAGCCTCGCGGAGCCGGTGCTGGGCTGCGGAAGTGCCCCCTGCCCGGTGGGCGGCCTGTCATGAAGAGGGCAGTCTTGGCCCAGATCCGAGCGTGGGCCTGTGCGTGGGAGGAGGGCGGTGGCCCGGCTCCTTCCTCCGGGACAGTGCCTTCGCCCTTCCCTGTGTCACTCTGGTGACGGGAGAGAGCCCGTTGAGCGGGGGCCACCCCGGCCTGCCTGCTGTCCCTGGGCAGTTGCTGTCACCGCCCCGGTCGTCCGGCCCCTGCAGGTCTGCGGAGGACCTGGGCCCGGGGAGCTGGCCGCCCACACGAAAGGGGCGGCACAGCGCCTGTCCCCGGGCTTGGGTGGCTGATTGCTTGCCGTTTGCCGGTTTTAGCACATTATTTGTAAAACCCAAACCTTCGGAGGTGACCGGAGACAAATTCTGCTGGGGGCGTTGCCAGGGAGACCCGTGCGGGAGCTCAGCGGCGTATGCCCGGCGGGTGCGCATGCGCGTCACTGTGAAGGCCGCAAGGCGCTCCCTCCGCCCCGCCCGTTCCGGGCGCCTGTGCTGGCTCCTCGCCGCGGACGGCGAGGCTGTACTTGTGAGACCGCTGCCATGCCCGTGTCGCTGCTGCGGCCTGGGGACCTGAGTCTCCAGCGCGCATGGGCTTGGCGCCCCAAGCAGGGGGCGGGGCCTGCCGCCTGAGCCTGCCCCTCCCTCCCGTTTTAAAGCCCCTGAGCTGGTCCCTGTGGTCTGTGTGTGCCCGAGTCGCCGAGGACCCCGTGGTGGTCCTTTTCCGCCTGAAGCCCCGCAGGGTTCCCGGAGTCGGAGGGACATGCTTAGAGCCGTTCATTCAGCTGCCCTGGGTTCATGGCCAATGTCCTCCTCTTCCCAAAGCCGGTTTTTGCAGGCTGGGCGCCCCGTCCCAGGTCACAGCCTGTCGGACAGGCGGCGTCAGCTTGTAAACACCATGTGAGGGTCGTCATAGTGCCGCGGGCAGGGGTCACCACCCTGAGGGACACGCTCACGACTTGCGGGGGGGCTGGGTTTTCAGCAGTCGGTCCGTGGGGAGGGGTGTGCCAAGGCGGCCACGGCCGTGCGCCTCACGTGCGGGCGCGAGCGGTCCCGCACACCGCGTGTGGCCCGCCCGGCGCGGGGTGCTGCCTCTGGGCCAGGCTTACGGTTTATTTTCTAAAGCTGTAAATACTGAGACAAGGAATATAATGATGGTTCGGTAACTTAAACGTATTTATTTTTAATGGGAGAATTTTGATTACAAAGAAGCCAATTGACATGGGAATGTCAGTGAAATTTCTTACCTGCAAGGGAAGTGAACATTTTGTATTTAAGTAAACTGTACTTGTGCACATTTTGAAATAAAGAAACCTGACGTTTGAAGCAGCTGTGGTTCGTTTGCGACGTGAGCCACCGGAGACAGCAAGGGTGGCGAGTCCCCCACACCCGCATCCGGCGGAGCCAGAGGCTTCCGGAAGACAGCCCCGGGGTCCGGTGGGGAGTGGGAGGGGCGTAGGCAGTCACCGGTGGTCTCGGGGCCGGCGCACCGGGCACAGCAGGCTTCGTCTCCCAGCAGTGGCCGCCGAGGGTGGGGACAGGTGCACGGGGCTGCACCAGCGGCAGCCCTGCTCCAGGGAGCCCCTCGGGACCCAGGGCCCTAGCTGCTGGCCACGCAGCCCGGACGTCAGCTTTTACTGGACATGGCCTTCCTAGGCCCCCCCTGCCTCGGAGCCCAAATGCCCCAACCTCTTGGGGTGGAGGACCCAGGGCTCTGCCCCGGACCCCTGTTAGCTGCCTCAGATTCCGAACTACTCAGCTTCCCTCGCCCGCCTCCCCCCTTGGTTCTGCGGGGGGAGATGGGTCTCAGCAGCCCCGTGTGTGGCTGCTGCTGCTGTGGATTCCTGTCCCCGGCTGACTGTGTGGAGGCGGGTGGGTAAGCCCCTCCCTGCTCTGCCCAGGCCCCTCCCCCGGAGGCAGCCGGCCACCAGCGAGGGTCCAAATGGTGCTGGTGTGGGCATGGGCTCGCCCTCAGTGGCCCTCATTCAGGCCCAGGGTGCACAGAGCTGTCTGCCCCTGAGTCCTGCGAAGTTTCTGTTCGGGGGCACCCTGGGTGCCCTTCTTCTGCCCCCCCCCCCGCCCCGTGCCCTGGGGGAGTGGAGGCGGGACAGTGGCCTGAGATACAGGCGACACTGAGAGTTCAGGAGGTGGTAAATGCAGAACGTTCCTCAGGCCAGTGGCAACAGTTGGCCACCTCTGAGCCACACCTGGAGCCAGGGCCTGGCGGGGCCCTGGGCTGGAGGCGGAGGGAGCTGGAGGGGCTGCCACCGCCGGCGGCCTGGTAGCTGCCGTCCAGAAGGCTGCGCAGGAGCAGCGGGGTGGAGCACCCGCTTGCAGCGAATCCCTTGCCTGGTGGCGGGGGAGGTGGGGAGGCGGGGAGGCGGGGAGGCGGGCGGAGAAACAGGGGACCTGGGGAGGTGGGCGGGGGAAGGTGGGGGAAGGCGGGGAGGCGGGTCAGGGCACGGCGGGCGGCGGGGTGGTGGGGGGCAGGAGGAGAGAGGGGAGCTAGAGAGAGAGGAGTCGGGCGGCCGCGCGAGAGCCTCCTTCAGCACCTCGGACAGCGCCTGGACCCCGCGGCTCCCGGGCTGGCCCACGGGGAGAAACGTGGGCGGCTCAGAAAGGGACGCCCGCCTCGGGCTGCCCCACACCCGCGGGGGGATCGCGCAGGAGGAAGGCGGGGCGAGGCCCTGCCCCGGCCAGGTGGCAGCGATGCTGCTGGAGACGGAGCAGGACCGAGACAGGCCCGGTGCCCCCTCGGCCGCTGCTGTCTGCGCCTTCGGCGGGACTCGGGGTAAGAGCCCCCAGCCTCCAGCCCGAGCAGGAAGGCCCCGAGGGGAGAGACCGCAGAGGCAGGCAGAGGGACGCCTGGGATTAAGGGGCACAACCGGAGAGCAGAGAGGGAAGGAACGTCTCAGAGACCAGACCTCGGAAGGCCAGGAGGGACGGGGCACGGGTGAGGGAGGCCGGGGGTGGGGGGCCCGGAACTTCCAGCCACGGTCCCTGAGTGGTTTGGGGACCCAGACCCAGCGCCCCAGAACAGCAGGGGCCTCTCAGGCGCTGCCAGACCGAGGAGTGGTGCGGGTCGGAGGTGCCAAGTTCCCCCAGAGACCCACACCCCTCGGCTCCCACGGAGCCCAGCCTGGACCGCCCTCCCCAAAGGCCATTCGCTGGCCACGGGCGCTGGGGAGTCACGGAGGCACTGTGGGTGGGCCAGCCAGACGCGGAGCTGCAGCGCCTGGGGCCGCCGCCCCACCCTCCGCCCACCCGGAGCCGTCCCCAGTCAGTCCACACGCGGCCCCTCCTGGGCAGGCCTCCGCAGCAGCCGGCACCCGCTGGGCTCCAGGGCTCCGTCGCCCAAGTCCCGTCCCCTGGGTGCCAGGCGCCCTGCGAGGTGACGGGGAAATGAGGGGCTGTGGGCTGGCTGCAGGGGCCTCTGATCAACACTGAGAAACCCCAGACCTGGCGCCTGGAGGCCAGGAGAAGTGGGGGGAAGACCCCCGGGTGGAGGGACGCGGGGAGGAGGGCTTCGACCTCTCACCCCCTCGCCCTTCCTGGGGCCCCGCCCTCTCCGAGCCCCACACTGCGAGGGGCCGCACCGCTGTGTCCTGACGGCGGTGGCTGCAGGTGGCTGGCGCCGGCCTGTGAGCCAGAAAAGCTACCGGGTGGGGAAGGGGGGTGGTGCCGGCTCTCCATCCATGCCGGACAGGTGAGCCCCCGCAGGCCCACCTGTTCCGACTGGGACGGAATGCTGGAAAGCCAGGTGCAGGAGCTGCCTTCTCTGCAAACCGAGGGGCTGAGGGTGGAGGGACGTGAGGGCGAGCCTCGGGCTTCCCCCGCTGGTGCCGTGGCCACCGGTCCAGGCCGAGGACCCCGCCCTGCCCCCCCGCCCCCGGCGCCCACTCGGCCAGAAGGTCCAGCAGGGAGGCCCAGACGCGGCTCAGAGCCAGGAGATCTGTCTGAGGTCAGCTCTGGCTCCTCCAGCCCTCGGGCGCCACACTCACCCTCTCTGGGCCTCGGTGGCGTTCGTGCGGACCAGGCGTCGTCACCAAGTCTTCCGGGTGCGGGTCCAGCTCTTGAGTCTGAGCCTCAGCGGCCGTAGGACCCGGCTCCCTCCCCGACCCTCCTGCCCAGACCCCCAGCCTGCGCGCGCACCCGCGTCGGAGTTCAGGCCGCAGGCCGCAGCCCGCGCCCGCAGCGCAGGGGCAGGAAGCTGCGCGGCCCGGGGTAGAGCCCGCGGGCAGCCCTGGCCCGGCTCCTCCTCTGACCTTCCCAGCCCTCCGGCCGGCACTCGGGGTGGCGTCTGGGCACAACGGGTCCCCGCGCAAAGGCGCTCAGAGTCCGCGGACGCCGGGGGCGGCGAGGCTCAGCGACCCCCAGCCCCGCCCCGCGCCGCGGCCCCGCCCCCGGCCGCTCCGCCCTCCGCGCCGGCCGAGGCTCCGGGCCCCTGGGCGGCCCACGGGCGCAGCGCCCAGCAGCGCTGGGAGTCGCTCGGACGCCGACGGAGACCGCTGAGGCCGTAGCCTCCCTGGGCCCCGAAAAAGTTCGGGGCCGGATTTCGGTAGCGCCGGTCGGCGGGACCCATGGAGGCGCGCGGGGAGCTGGGCCCGGGCCGGGAGTCGGCGAGCGGCGACCTGCTGCTGGCGCTGCTGGCGCGGAGGGAGGACTTGCGCCGAGGTGGGTGCTCCGCGGAGCGGCTACGCCAGAGACGGTGGAGACCCAGCGGTTTCTGCTCCTTTCCCGGCCTGAGCACAGGACCTTCGGGACCGGGGTGGGAACGTTTTCGGGGCCCCAGCTCGTCCGCGCCTGGGCGCTCGGGCAGCAAGTTTGCGTCGGGGCCTCTGGAGCCGCGCTGTGGAGTGCGCGGTCATGGCGTTGCGCGGTTCCCGCCGGGAGCCCTCCGACTCCGGGACGGGCTGCGGAAAACCTCTGCCCGGTCGGGAGAAGAGCGCACGCAGCGCTCATGGGGCCCAGTGACCACGGGGAAGGAGGGTCCCCGGGAGGATAGCCCCCATCTAGACCCTCCGCGCTGTCCTGGGAAGAGAGTCCGGTGCGGGGCCCAGGGTGGAGCTGGCCGGCATGTGTAGATCGCCCCTAGTTGGCACCTGCACCCCACGCACCTGCCGTGGGCCCGCCCTGGGCTGGTCCTCTGGACCCTTCCTTCTACAGCCAAGACCCCAACTTTCCGGTGGCACCAGCCTCGCCCCCAGCGCTTTGGCTCCCGGAGATTCGGGACCATTCTCAGGGTGCTTCTGGGCTGGCGGAACCCGCGGGGTGGAGCCGGGGGCAGCCTGGTGCCGTGGGGACCAGCGGGACAGGGCAGGTGGGAAAGGAGTTTCGACCCGGCTGTGGGGTCTCATCCTTCCCTACTTATTTATTTATTTATTTGTTTTCCGACGGTTCTTGGGAGGGGTTGGCCGCAGGGGCTGTGAGGAAGGGGTGGGAGGGCGGTGAGGGGGGAGGGAGGGAGGGAAGGCGGGATCGCAGGCGCCAGCTCAGGAGGGTCCGCGGCTCTGCGGGGCCCCGCCAGCGCCCAGGGTGGGAGCTCCGCCGCGGCTGGAGTCGCCATGCAGCGTAAGACCCGGGTCGCCAGGGTTCTGCGGGGAGCTCGAGCGAGCGAGGGGTGCGGCGGGGGTGGCTTTTGCCTGACGCGGGTTGCGAGGACAGCGCGGCCAGCGCGGCCGGGCGCTGTCCGGGCCGCGGTGCTGAATCGCGCTGCGAGGGCCGGTCCAGCCATGGGCGCTTTGCGAGGTGCCCTCGCCGCTCTGCCATCGGCCCCCCACAGTGAGGGCCGGGGGCGCCCAGCAGACCCCCGGGCTCTGCTCCTGGGGCCGGAGTTTTGCCCGACGCGGGGCCGCGTCCCTTGCGGGGCTCCCGCTGCTGCCGGAGAGAGGTCGGTCGGTTCTCCGGCCCCAGTGAGGCCCCTCTTCTGTCCTCCCACCTGCTGCCCACCGGCCAGCAGCCAGAGGGGCCTGGGAGGGGGGCAGCCGCCAGGTGAGCGTGGCAAGGTGGGTGCAACGTTCGTGTAGGTTCCAGCTGCTGTGCGTGGCGCTCTCCTCTCTGGGAGACCTGTCTGAATTAGCGGGGAGTCCTCACCCCATGAGCACCCTGAAAAGCCCCCCACGGACGCCCGGCGCTCCCGCAGGCCACCCCTGAGTCTCAGCAGCCGGGCTCCCCAGAGGCCTGCAGAGGAGCGGCCGGCCGGTGGAGTGATGTGGCTGAGTGCTCGGCGCCCACGCTGGAGCCTGAGGACCGCGGGCCCGTCTGCCCAGCCCCCTCGCACGGCGGGCGCCCGTGGCTGCCGGAGATGGGGAGGGTGTCGGTTTTTA